TTTCTACCGTGAAGCAGCTGTGTTTGCATGGCTGTGTTTCGGTTTGAAGGGTGGGATATGGCGTGAATTTACTGGGTACAGAGGAATAACATCTGAGTCCTCAGGAATGGCAACGCATGGGGGGTATTATGGGCGAAACAGTATACTTTGTTATGTCCATGGTACTGCTCATGTCTATAGGCGACGGTTACCACTTTCCATCAAGTGGGCCGTCAGCTTGTTTGTCATTTTAAGTTGTATAAAAAAAATCCAATATTATTTTTGGATAACAGACTTTTAACATATACGTTATTGGACCAAGTACATAGATATTATAAATGAAATATATAGATATTGCTATATGTATATTACTCAGCTCTAATGCACAGTTGTTTACATGGTCGAAATAAGATCAAGTTAATCCAAAGGTCATCAACGTTTGTGACCCCCGAAATATACTTGCTTAAAACACGTTACTAAGTACTAATATAAACAACGTGCAAATAAACGTGTAATATAAACAAGGCTGGCCTATACTTTGGTCAACGCATTTCCATTGCTATTCAGCGTGGAAATGCAACAAGTACTAGGCACCCTACCAGCTGGCAGTGATCTCAAAGAAATTTTTTTACATTTAAATATTTTATTTTTTAATTTACTTGTCTCTAATTATATATCTAGGTTATTTATACGTCAATGTAATTAACATGTATCAAAACAACGTGTTATAATTCGTAAATAACATGTAATAACACTAGTATATAATTAGACATCAAAAGTCACGCCTCTTTTGTACAGTGGTTTAATGATAGCTTCCTCTAAGGCATCTGTAAACAGTCCCTAATTTATTGACCAATTAATTAAGTATTTTAATGGTTTAATCATATAATCTATGGTATTTTTACAACATGCTTTTAAATACCGTCATGTCCACAACAATTCACTGCCATCTCGCACCCTTCAAACCGAAACACAGCCATGCAAACACAACTGCTTTACGATAGAAACACGAATAGAATACAGGCCAAGCAAATGACTTTTGTACAAAGTCTTCCTCTGGTAATTATCGTTAGCCTACCGTGATGAATTCCATTAGAACTAACCACGATGGTTTTGGGGAATCCCATTGCTAGCAATATACCCAACCAGGTCGACCTCCTCGCGGTTCTCCCTGAAAACTATCATGGTTAATTCCTGATGAATTAATTCATCATGATGGGCTAACTGGCCTGTTTTCATTCTCATCTATCACCCTTCACTGGTGCTCCGTCAGCGTATCCCGTTAGCGCAGGCGGGGTTACCATACCATTTTCACCCATAAAAAAAAACCACAATGGTTTCCAGGGGGAAACCGCGTGCAGGTCGACCTGATAGGGTGTATTGCTAGCAATGGGCCAGACCCCATTACTAAAATAATTCAAAATAGCTGTTCCAAAGTATCTTTTAGAAAAAGTTAATAGGTCTTTTATGGAAATGGGTATTAAATGTTACAATAAGATACCGAAGGATATTTTGGGTCTAACTTTTAATAAGTTTAAAACTGTTATTAGAAAACATTTATTAGACAAAGCCTGTTCATCACCGTCATCATATCAGCCTTTAACTGTCCACTGCTGAACATAAGCCTCCCCCTTGGGGGATTTTGCCAGTAGTTGCCACGCTTGGCAGACGGGTTGGCATCCGCAGTCGGTCTTTAAAGATATTTTAAAAGGGATACTGCTACCCATCTCTAGCTCTATCTTAGTCGCCTCTTACGACACCCACGGGAAAGGAAGGGGTGGCCTATTCTATGCCGGGACCACACGGCCACTATACACTATAATATATTGCCTTATGGTCTCGGACCATAATAGATAAATAGAATGGATTGTTAGTAATGCCTGTTCGCATTACTAATAAACCCCCCCCCTAATAAATAATATTGGGGGGAAAGGGATTGTTGGCAATGGAGTTTGACAGCCCCATTGTTAGCAATATGCCCTATTAGGTCAACCTCCACATGGTTCCCCCTGGAAACTATCGTGAGCAATTCTTGCTGAATTCGTCACGATGGGCCAACTAACCTGCTTCATCCTCATTTGATAGAACTGACGCAAGGATGCGCACACATTTGTTCCACATCTAAGAACAAGGAATGATAAAATAAAAACTGTAAATCATATGGTTGCCTCTATTCTTCTTATGCAAATATAATTAGTAAAAAGAGGACGAAAGATACACAATCAGTTGCTATTTTTAACAATTCATAGCAGCAGGCTAGTGTATAAAAAATGTGTATATAAAGTTTTTGTTCATTTATATTACTAGATTATATATTCGATACAGTTTATGTATAAAGTATGCAAGCGGGTTGCATCTGAATTTGGTAGGGTTATACGGCCGTATAACATTTTCTTCAAGAAAGGCGGCAACCATATGATTTACAGTTTTTATTTTATCATTCTTTCTATGTAATTCCTCGTTCTTAGTTCCACATCCTAGCTCTAGAGTATCTAAGTTTGAGACTAACCTTTAAAAATATTGATTCAACGCAAAATACACTGTTTTTTATTTCCACATAAAATAAATCCAATATGTACATGTTTTTTGCTACGTCGTATGCTTAAAATTGATATTATTGTGTACTATTTTCAATGTAAACTGGTAACACTGTCATGAGATGTCAATATTTAAATTTAAAAATAGAATCCGAATAGTTTAACAAATTACCTCCAGCCAGGGTCACAGGTTGCCAGATTCGAATTTTGATTTTTACACAAACTTCAAATATTTGTTAAAATGTCAATGTAATTTAAAAGAATGACAATATCAAATTTTCCTGCGAGCGCAACCTCGCATCAGCCCTGTTAATCACTATTTATTTTTCTACAAAAATTCAAAAGTTTTAAGGTTTGTTACAACATCAAATTTGCAATTTATACAAAAATTTACCTGAGAGAGACTTTGTACAAAAGTCGTTTGCTTGACTCTGTCCTCTGTCCCATTCGTGTTTCAACCATGAAGCAGTTGTGTTTGCAGGGCTGTGTTTCGGTTTAAAGGGTGCGGTATGGCGTGAAATTACAGGGTACAGAGGAATAACACCCGAGTCCCCAGGAACGGCAACGCATGGGGGGTATCGTGGGCGAAACAGTATACTCTGTTATGTCCATAGTACTGCTCATATCTATAGGCGACGGTTACCACTTTCCATCAGGTGGGCCGTCAGCTTGTTTGCCATTTTAAGTTGTATAAAAAAAGATAGAATATAAATAAATACTCTGGTTGGTACAGTAAGAACATTTGATATATTTATCGTTTCTAGTTTTACTTAAATAGGTATATTGTAATAAAAGTTTTAGAACAACAATAAGACAGTCTCGTAGCAGTACAGTGTCACACAGACGGCGTCACTATCGCGCGATGAATATAAACATTTGCAGGGTAGTATGGTGACCGCTGCGCTGCACAGCCTACCCGCTACTTCTATGTAGGTCCGCCATTGTCTAGGCATGTGTTAGTGTTAACACTGATCCTTTCCTTCTCTTATTCATTTTAATACTTTTATATACATTACAAATATTAAAGTTCTCAAAAAAAAAAATTACCTAACATTCTCGAAGCCCATTTCAGTTTTCAAAAAATTCCAAGAATGTTATTTCTCCAAAATTTCGCATACAGAAATTTTTTTACGCAAAATTACGAAAGGTACCCGATCTGGCAACACTGAAGGACTATCGAGCCGATTCCAAGATTTCATGTTCTTAGAAGCGATTGTCTATTTAACAAACGTGGCGCGATCACTTCGTAGTAGATTGCTAATTGTTAAAAATTGCATTAAGTAACACGAAATTGATAAAAACGAGGCGTAAATCTTATAAAATTTGTAAAGTTTATATACACACATATATTCCTCTCTATATATACATACATACATATATATATATATATATATATATATATATATATATATATATATATATATATTCTCTATTGCACTTATAAATTACATTGTTAATGCATTTATAAATATTGTGAGCAAGGGTGGACTTATCTCTGACAGAGATCTCTTCCAGTCAACCCGATACAGTTTTTTTTAATGGGTGAAAATGGTATAGTAACCCCGCCTGCGCTATCGGTATACACCGGCGGGGCACCAGAGAAGGATGATAGGTGAGAATGAAACAGGTCAGTTAGCCCATCGTGATAAATTCAACGATAAATTAGTCACGATTGTTTCCAGGGGGATCGGCGTGGAGGTCGACCTGATAGGGTATATTGATAGCATTGGGGACTAACCTCCGCATTACTAACAGTCCTTTCCCGTATCTATATTTAAATATTTAATCAATAAAATAAGTGTTTACGCATTAAAAAGATGCAGAAATTATAAGACAAAATAAATATAGAAGTTATAAAGGAATCACTCGTAACTATTTGTCACGCAAAATTGTATGAAAAAGTTGAGCCGCTTCTCTCGAAGCATTTGTATGGAGACACTCTATCTATATAATCTAAGATGAAAAGACATTCCTACCATCATTTCGACCATGAAGCAGGAATGCGTGACATGATAATTAAAGTCTGAATGTTAAGAAAACTAATACAAGATTGACACCTGCAGTGTTGCTAGATAGATTATTTTGCTATTTTTTATGCAACTTAGAATGGCTAACAAGCCGACGGCCCACCTGATGGGGAGTGGTAACCGTCGCCTATAGACATGAGCGGTACCATGGACATAACAGAGTATACTGTTTCGCCCATGATACCCCCCATGCGTTGCCAGGTGTTATACCTCTGTATCCTGTAAATTCACTGATATATCCCACCTCTTAAATTGAAACACAGCCATGCAAACACAACTGCTTCACGGTTGAAACGCGAATGGGACAGAGGTACCCAAGCAATCGAATTTTGTACAAAGTCTCCCTCTGGTATAAATCCCTGTGGTATTAGCACAAGTTCTATAACTTTCCAAATGAGTTATCAATCTCCGACCGCTATTCTGTCCACGCACGTTTGTTAATAAAGTATTTATTTACCTCATGATCTTTTACAGATCACAGCACGTCCTCGTGACGACATTTTGGCGGATTTTCTATTTCTGAAACAAAACATTAAGCGAATATTAGATAGAGGATTGGCAACGCATGGGGGGTATCATGGGCGAAACAGTATACTCTGTTATGTCCATGGTACTGCTCATGTCTATAGGCGACGGTTACCACTTTCCATCAGGTGGGCCGTCAGCTTGTTTGCCATTCTAAGTTGTATAAAAAACAAAAGGTTAACTGCGAGAGAATGCTGTATATTATAACATTAATTCCGCCTCTGTACCAGACACATTTTTTTATTGTCCGTCTCTTGCGCCACCTACCCACTTCCATATGTTCTCCTTTAACCAAAGGTTGTCTGTAAGAGATTGCCCTAGCGATAAGACCGCCTTTTGTACCTTTACGTGTATATTTTGATCTGTACTCCATACTACTGTATTTCACTTGAATTGTTTATATGTCATTGTTTATTTTTATGTTTTTGATGCAATAAAGAGATAAATAAATAAAAAATGATTATTTATAGTAGCATTATGTGCCGCGTGGTCCCGGCATAGAATGCGCCATCCCTTTTTGTTCCGTGGGTGTCGCAAGACGAGACATAACGGTCGAGAGATAGACAGCAGCGTCTCTCTTAAAACATCTCTAAAGCCTAACTGCGGTTGCCCAACCAGCCTGCCAAGTGTGGCAACTATTGGAAATGGATTGTTAGTAATGAAAACTAAGGAAAGGACCCCATTGCTAACAATGTACCCAACTTGGTCAACCTCCATATGGTCCCTCCTGGAAACCGACGTGCTGAATTAAAAATCTATTCGTCACGATGGGCTAACTGACCTGCCTTTTCATCATCACCTATCATCCCTCATTGGTGTCCTGCCAGTGTATACTGATAGCGCGGGCGGGGTTACCATTCCATTATCACCCATTATTAGTACATTACTGCAGCGGCCAGCAACTGAGACATTGATGGACGAACGTGCAAATGTGGGCCGAGGCGTAGCCGAGGCACACATACGTGAGTCCATCAATGCCTAGTTGTGGCCAAGGCTTGTATAGTACTTTTCTCAAACAATTTCACTTTTTAAATCAAAAACACAATTTTACTTTTTAAGTTCAATGACGAATAACGAACGATATTAGTTACCTCCTTGGTAGCCATCTTTAGAAGTAAAAGGTCATTCCATTTTTAAATTACAGGACAGATATGAGTTTACATAGTAATTTATCTGGCCGCAAAACACGACAGATATGGATATTCATACAACTTTTGCCGGCAGCTGCCCGCATGTATCTGGCCAGTACGGCAATTTTGATTTATCTCGAAGAAGATTGTCAAAATAATGCTTACATTTCCAAGCATGTTTGAGAAAAAAGAAATAACATACCTTTGGTACGCAATGAATCTAGTATTAACTCCCATAAAAAGTTACTAAATAAAATAAGTACATAGGTGATAAAGATTGTGTTGGCGCCCGATTATAAATATACTTGTAATTGTGGTATTCGGAACCTTGAGAGATAAATTACTTCATAATATTAATAGGAAATGCCGTGTTGCGGTCGGTTTGTACGTATCGGATGTCTACTACTGTATTTATTGTTATTCCAGTTAACTGTCCGCTGCCGATAGAATTTTTAAACTTTTGCCAGTGGTTGCCGCGCTTGACAGGCGGGGGTTTTTTTTTTAATTAATGACAAAGGAATAGTAACGTTGTGCTGTAGTTTAAAAAAAATGACGTTTTAAATGCTTGTAAACAAGTCTATTTTTTTTTATCGATGAAAATGGTATGGTAACCCCGCCTGCGCTAACGGAATACACTGGCGGAGCACCAGTGAAGGGTGATAGATGAGAATAAAAACTGGCCAGTTAGCCCATCATGATGAATTCGTCAGGAATTAACCATGATAGTTTCGTAGTTAGTCGACCTGGTTGGGTATATTGCTAGCAATGGGATTCTCAGTCTCCATTATTAACAATCCCGTTCCCCCTCTGGAAGGCATGTTGGCAACCGTAGTTAGGCTTTGGTGACGTTTTAAGAGGGACGCTGCTGCCTCCCTACAGATACTGTAACATTACTGTGTGTTTCCGGCATAGAATGGGCTACTTGTTCCCTTCACGTGGGTATTGTAAGAGGCGTCTAAGGAAACTTGACGGTTAAAGGATGGGTAGCAGCGTCCCTTAGAACTTTATCAAAAATTAAACTGCGGTTGCCAAGCATGACAACTATTGACAAAACTCCCCTTATGGCGAACCGACCTGACAAGATATTGCTAGAAGTGGGTATTAACAATCTTCTCCCCTCCTCCCATCCTTAGAATGACAAAGGGAAACTTTTTACATCGTCGATTGCTTGGGTACCTCTGTCTCATTCGTGTTTCTATCGTGAAGCAGTTGTGTTTGCATGGCTGTGTTTCGGTTTGAAGGGTGGGATATGGCGTGAATTTACTGGGTATAGAGGAATAACACCTGAGTCCTCAGGAATGGCAACGCATGGGGGGTATCATGGGCGAAACAGTATACTCTGTTATGTCCACGGTACTGCTCATGTCTATAGGCGACGGTTACCACTTTCCATCAGGTAGGCCGTCAGTTTGTTTGCCATTCTAAGTTGTATAAAAAAAAAAACACAAAAGAGAAGAGTAAAGAAGTAAAACTAAATACACCATAATAAAAGCCTATAATACTTTTATGGATACCTTCCTTTTAACTAAATAAACTAAGGCCCAACAGTGGGAATTAGGGTTATACCAAATCCACATACATAAGTAAAATAGCGTACAATTACTAGGCTACCATAAATGGCAGGATAACTTTCCACGAACTTACAGAAAGAGATAAAGTATAAGGTCAAATACAATAAATAATGGATTTTATCTGATAGTACAGACTGCATTTATGATAGATTAATATTATTAGCATACTTTTAAGGGAATAAAGTTGCACTATTACTTATATGTAAATAAAACAAAAATGTAGTAATGGTAAGTAACTATGATTCTTGGGTCATATAAATATAATCTGTGCACGGTACATGCGCGTGTCCCACCCACGCGACAATAGCATGGCGGCAATTTAAATTTTAAATTTAGAACAGTGTATCTCTTATCGGAGCAATACTAATTCTTACTTTGAATTGTCTGACAGATGGAATTTAATCTTTTAATATGACACAGATAAAGATATGAAACAAACGAACCAGTTCCTGAGTTTAATTATGAGGCAACAGAAATAAGCTGCACAGCTATGTACTATGTGAGATTTGATGTAGATAAAATAAACTTTCATTATGTCCGCTTCATTATCACAGCTATTTATCAAATTATCAGCGGACGGACGGGTAGATAATGAAATATTGTCTCTGGACTCGACTGTCGAAGGGACAATAAAATATTAAAATTGTATTAAATGCTTAATAGGTAGATCTATATAAATGGATGAAACTTTATTACCATTACATGCATTAAGTTGCTATAAGGTAATAAATTAACAAACTCACTTTCGTATTTATAATATTAGTAAGGGCAACTAAAAAAAAGTGTGTATGTTTGTTACCTTTTAACACCTTAACGTCTTATCCAGTCACCATGATATTTAGTATAGGTACTTATTTATTTATCTAAAACACAAAATACATTGGATACATACAATATAGGATAGGATACTACATAACAACATTATAAAAACTATAAAATTAAATTATAGTTCATTTAGAGTCAAATACAATTCAAATTCAAATTGTTTTTCTTTTTTTAATCGTAATAATATTCAGTCTACTTCGTAACTTAAATAATCAATACATACAATCAATACAGTTATATAAATAGATTAATTATTTCACACTTACTTTTTGTTTTTTATATATAATATTTTATATATAGTTTAATATTTTTGCATATTGTATAGGGTGAAGAAGCTCATATGTTTCTTTTTATTCTGGTCAGTAAACATATCCGGCCACGCAAACGAAATAGTGAGTAAAAGATAGTCATTATTTAAAAATATAAAATTATGTTCCACAAAAAAAAAAAAACAACTGCAAACGCGCCAAAACTAGTCGCTTTGATTAAAAAAAAAAACTCACTAAGCAATTTAAAAAACACTAAAAAATTAAAAAAAAAATTTATGGTCCCACAGAATTCTATGTGTACTGTAAGTATACCCTTTCAGATAAAAAAAATTCAAATCGGTTTACAACTGGCGGAGTTATGAGTGAACATAAAAAATAATAAAATCGAATTGAGTACCTCCATATTTATTAAATCGGTTGAAAATTGGGAATCATCATAACATTGTGTTTAAAATAAACAATTTATACGCGTTTAATTAATGAAGCAATTAAAGTGCCGATAATCTTTTAACCTCTTGTTAAATCAAAAGATTTAACGTAATATGGATAATGCGTCAATAAAGTCAATGACACAAATAAATATCAAACACATTGCCAGTGACTTTTTAAAAAGTTCTCAATCGGTGTTTGTTAGTTTTTTTTTAATAATAATATAGTTGTATTGGCTATGATTTCAGGTATAAAGCATTAGATCTTATAAATTAAAAGGACCGTACTTTGTTTTTTATGCTTGTTCCTTCAGAACTATATCGTTTATAAACCGATTTGGATATTTTTTTTTTATCTGGAAGATTCTAGATTTGTTCTCACAGAAGTTTTTTTCGAAATCGTTCCGGTAATTTCGTTTTTAAGTCCAAATAATTTTAATATTAAAAAAATCGACTGCAAACGTGGGAAATCTATAAAAAAATACATTATATTATATAAAATATAGAAATTTAGATTTAAAAATGTGGACGAATGAAATATAATTATAAAAAAATAATGTATACCAAGTAAAAAGAAAAAAAAAGTGTACCAACAAAATATATATTTCATGTCACTAAAAATACTGTGTATAAAATAAAAAAAAAAAAACAATGCAAAAAGGTGCATCGTGCATATTTTATATTACATTTCTATATTTTATGTAATTTAATAATTTTTTCCACGCTTTTCCTACGGTTAAAGTAGTTTTTTTTTTTTTGTGAAGCAAATTTTACTGGTGAATAACTCTGACATTGTGGGAAACATTCTGTTCAGAAAAACCTATTTATTACACACTAAACGATTACTTGAATGAGAAGCGTGCACGGTGTTAGTGGATCATGCGCGGGCTGCCAACGACCGTATAATATTAGATATAGTACATTTAAATAAACACACATAATGTTAACAGAGATTTAAAAGAGTAACTGTTGAGTTTCGTGGAAGAAGGGATTGTTAGTACCTAATACGAACTACCAGTCTCATTGCCAGCAATTTGCCCCGTCAGGTCGATTTCCACGTCCAGCCCCCCCCTGCAAGTTGCAGGCTGCAACCCATCATACTGAATTCTAGGCGTATTTTTTTTTATTGGATGATAATGGTATGGTAACCCCGCCTGCGCTAACGGGATACGCTAGCGGGGTACCAGTGAAGGGTGTTCTATGAGAATGAAAACAGGCCAGTTAGCCCATCATGACGAATTCATCTGGAATTAATCATGATAGTTTCCAGGGGGAACCGCGAGGAGGTCGACCTGCTTGGGTATATTGCTAGCAATGGGATTCTCAGTCTCCATTACCCCCCCCCCCCCCCCCCCCCCCCCCCCCCAGGCGTATTCATCACGATGGACTAAGTGACCTAACTTTCCATTCCCACCTATCATCCCTCACTGGTGCCCCGTTAGTGTATACCGTTAGCTTACCATTTCATTATCATCCATTAAAAAAACTGTTGAATTTCTTGCGGGTTCCTCTCAGCAGATAAAAATATTTTGGCCCCAGCTATAGAATCATAAAAAAATAACTATTTAAAAATACTGTCAAACAAGTCTTTTTTTTTATACAACCTAGAATGGCAAACAAGCTGACGGCCCACCTGATGGAAAGTGGTAACCGTCGCCTATACACATGAGCGGTACCATGGACATAACAGAGTATACTGTTTCGCCCATGATACCCCCCATGCGTTGCCATTCCTGAGGACTCAGGTGTTATTCCTCTGTACCCAGTCTATTTGAATACATATAATATTTATTTTATTCCATTTTTTTTCGTCACATGTCACGTTTTCCTTTATGGTAAGGTAATAGTTCATAAAAAAACCTCTATCACTGATAGAAATAAAAATTAATACATTTTTATGATCTTTAAATAGATGAGAACGGGTAACCCTGCCTGTGCAGGGGGGAAACTATCATGGTCAATTCCTGATGAATTCATCATGATGGGCTAACTGGCCTGTTTTCATTCTCATCTATCACCCTTCACTGGTGCCCCGCCAGCGTATCCCGTTAGCGCAGGCGGGGTTAACATACCATTTTCACCCATCATAAAAAATCCGCCACCGCTAACGGTATACGCTGGCAGGGTACCAGTGAGGGAAGATTGGTAAAGATGAAAAGGCAGGTCAGTTAGCCCATCGTGACGAATTTAACGATAAATTAGTCACGATCGTTTCCAATGGGAACCGCGTGGAGGTCGACCTGGTAGGGTGTATTGATAGCAATGGGGATTAACCTCCCCATTACTAACAATTCCCCCCAGGCAGGTCAGTTGGCACATAGTGACGAATTCACAACAATGGTTTTCAGGAGGAACAGCGTTAAATTAACTCTATAAATATATAATTGGCATGGTGATGTGGAAAAAAATAAAGGTGTACCGCTAGGATCCATTAGATAGATTAAGAAGACTGTCAGTAACAGGCACTAGGAGGCCCATTGCAAGCAATATACCCAAACAAATCGACCTTTGCACTGTTCTCTCTAAAAACGCTGCGGTTTGAAAACTCAAAAATATTTATGTTTCGGCCACGTATGTTTTTAAGTTGTTTTGTTTCTAAAATAACTACTATCGCTGTATTTTCAGCCAAACTTATTTCGAAATTTCAAGTTTTTGAGAATAAAGATGTGAATGATTTATATCATTACCCATATATGATACGAAATCACTAAGGTCTATATTGAGATAGGTCACAGCCAATGAATTAATGCATTGCATTCAAAGTAAACATGCCTGTGCCACTTTGATTTACAAAAAAAATAAAAGAACACTAAAAAATATAACAAACATACCTTCTAGTTGTAAATAGCCAGTTATTTAATTAAAAAATTGAAAAAAAAAAACAGTTTGGTAACACTATTTTGCCCGTATTCTTTTTTATTTAATTTGTATCAACTTTTTTTTCACTACCCTCCATGATTTGATTTAAAACTCTAAATAGGATTACAACTTAGAACAAGAATAATATCTTTGGATTACATTATAATTGTAAAGATAGTGCAATATGAATAATATAAATAATCTAATCTATTTATCGATAATAAAACAAACGTAATTATAAGCGCAAGTAACACACCCCTTTCTTGTTGTTACAGCAAAGTATCATATTTATTAAGCTTATTAATAATATAGATTAATATTTCAATCTTCACTAATTGCGTAATTGTTACTTTAGTATAAATTGACATTTATCTGTAAGAGCTGTATACGCCTCTAATTCATATGTTCATCTAGCCTTAATCTTATAAAGAAAGAAAGACAGGAATATTTTTATTCAAGTTAACTTAGGTTCAAGCATTTTTAAATAGTCATTTTTCATTACTTATAACATTATACCTAGTCTGTTTAATTAATGAACATATTGTTGGTATAGCTTTATAAATAAATAATAAATATACGATACGTGTTTATTGCTATTTAAAAGACAAAGGCTAGGCTAGGCTTGAAGAAGATACTTCATTTTCTTTATCTTATATATACTACATTTATCGTACGGTAGCAAAAGTAATAAATTAAATAGTTTTTCAAAAAAGAAATGAAACCGATAATTCTACATAATATTTATTTCAATATAAATAATAGTCTCAATGCTTTAAAATATAAGTATAGAATTTTACAACAATATTTAATTTTTAATGTTTATAATGTTTTCCTCTTCAACTACTTAAATGACCGTGTATGAAGATCAAGGTTCAGGTATACAATGTAAAATGTAATAACTAAACGCAAAATAGGTATGTATTTAGAACATTTTTATTTTTAACTAATTAAAAAACAAAAATTGCAGAATTTTTAATGTCAAAATAAATCGACCAATAAACACTGAAATTATTTGCAAATAATTATCGACACTGACTGACAGTGACAGCTAGCCTAGAGAAAGGCGTAGAAAAGAAAAGCAGGCAAAACAAAATGGCCGATGTTTCGAGCAAGGTGTGTCGCGGATACTAACGAGTTGAAATCGGCGATATACCATTGATTTACAGTGAAAAAGTTCTGGTGTTTATTACTGCTGGTTCGTAACTTTGTATTGTGATTAATTAAGGTGGATTTAGTATGTTTGATGTTCAGCTGTTGCCGCATCTGAAGGGTGGAGTTTCAATGGAAGCTATGGAGTACAAGGTGGTCCCGCTGAGTCGCGTTTGGCCCGTCCCGTGGGGCCCGCCGCCGCGTGAGCCCGGAGGCTGCATGTTCGCCTCGCGTGGGCGCCTTCGTTCGCGTACAGCCTTCCCGAAAGGCATTTCGTGATAATGCCCGCGCGCCGCTTGCGTGAAATTAAGAATATCGGTTATTTCCAGCGGCGCTGCGGGCATCGCGTCGGCCCCGTCGCGTGGCACCGCCGCCCGCGCCCTGGGGCTTCGCCCCCGCGTCTCGCCGCGCGCGTTTGGAGCCCTCGCTCCAGCTGAATCGTGAGCGGAGCGCTAAAGGTAAGCTCACATTTTGAGGTGAACAAAAATCAATATTGGTAGCGGCCATCTTGTGAAAGCTGGTAAAAATAGAACAAAACATTTTGGAATCTAAAGCAGGACAAATTACAATTAGTATTAATGAAAGTTATTCTTAAAAATATGCATTTATTAACCATATTTCTGTAACAAAAGATTTGCTTAATGCAAAAATACTAGGTTAGAACCTTACAGGTGATGACCTGTTAGGTTTGACCTAAATTCGAAATTCAAAAAATCAGATTAGTAATGTCCAGATAAATTATTTAAACTCCTTTAATAATTTATCTCCATTTAAAAAAGATACCCCAATATGTAATGTTTTCTGCTGCCACTAAAGAGTTCATTGTTTTATTGTCATAATAGACAATAAAAAAAAATCTAGAAATATAAAAAAAAAACTGATTTCAATCATTATTCTGCTATATAAACTCTTGGGAGTATATAGTTTCCCAATTGTATTTTGTGTAATAAAAATACAATGAATTAAGTGCATACCTTTATACAATAGATGCATGAATGTAATCCTATACCAGGCTGTTAGATGCAATGCCAAGTTCTTAACCCTTTGCACTTATAATTATGCTTCAGAAAGTTAGCAAATAATTCTGATTTTCTTTCATGTTCGATCAAGATGAATTTGTTTGTATGGAAATGTATTCCAATGTAACTAGAAGGTTCACCAACCTTAAATTAGAAATTTAAAAAATATACTCCCTGTATACACCTCTCGATCTAGGAAGGGAATGTAGCCAATATTGATAAAACAACTGATATCTTCCATAGGGGACATATGAGTACAAAGGGTTAAATATCTACAGACATGTGTTCCCGACAAACTAGTTCAACAAATCTTACATACAGACATTCCCTATGAGTCTGTTATAGTCACCTAGGTGTATTGAAGCCCCCTACTAAAATAACATATAAAGAAATTGGAAAACAAAGTGCATTTATTAATTAATGGATCTAAGGGGGAAAGGGGTTTAGTAATGGGCTCTGGCCCATTGAATAATATACCCTATCAGGTTAAACTCCATGCGGTTCCCCCTAGAAACCACTGTGTTCAATTCTTATCAAATTTGTCATGGTTGGCCATCTGACCTACTTTCATCCTAACCTGTCATCCCTCATATGGTGTCCAGCCATAGCATACCAATAATACAGACAGGGTTACCATTTTATATCAACCCTTAAAAAAATTAAAGAAAATATATAATATATACTAATCTATAATATGTCCTATTTAAAATAAATAAAACAAGTATAAGAGATGAGAGTCTTTTTATATGAAAATTAGTAAGTATAATAATCCCTTCAATATCATCATCATCATACCAGTCATTAACTGTCCATCGTTGAACATAAGCCTTCCCCATAAAGGGAAGTTTTTCTCCAGTAGTTGCAACACTTGGTAGGCAGGTTAGTAACCGCAGTTAGTCCTTAATAATCTTTTAAGAGGGATGCTGTTCACTCTTGAACATTAAATTTCTTTTAGTTGCCTCTCACAACACATATGGAAAAGGAAGGCATGGCCTTTTCTATACCACAACCACATGGTTATAATAATTCCTTGTACATGGGAAATTATAACCTAAATATACAATTTTTTTTTATACCACTGAGGTGGCAAACAAGCATGCGGCCCACTTGATGGTAAGCAGTTACCATTGTCTATGAACACTTGCAATACCAGAGGTATTACTCGCGCGTTGCCGACCCTGAAGAAACCTCTTTACCCCCTTTTGAAGAACCCCATGCTGTAGTCTCTTGGGAAAACCTCGGCAGGGAGCTCATTTCATAACCTGAGTGTTCGTGGGAGAAAACATGTCTGAAACCGCGTTGTAAGCGACCATTTAGGCTGTAAGGTATGAGGGTGAACTCCCTGTCGATGACGAGCTGTACGATGATAGAAAGTGGCCGTAGGCATCATATTGAATAATTCCTCGGAGTACAAGCAGTAGAACACGCAGAGTGAGGCAAAATCTCTCCTAAGACTTAAGGGTTCGATACCGCTTGCAAGCCTGGGATCATCGACAATTCTCATAGCTCCTCGTTGCACTGAGTCGAAGGGTTCAAGCTGGTATCTATCTATATTAGCTTTTACACATAACTTTGCTCAGTTGAGCAGGATATATTTACTCACTAGGACATAAATGGTATATATCCTTGTCCATCCCATATAGTACTTATGTGTATACCAAATTACATAGTGATTGGCTAATTTGTTAAGGTGCTATAAGACATTTTTTTTATACAACTTAGAATGGCAAACAAGCTGACGGCCCACCTGATGGAAAGTGGTAACCGTCGCCTATAGACATGAGCAGTACCATGGACATAACAGAGTATACTGTTTCACCCATGATACCTCCCATGCGTTGCTATTTCTGAGGACTTGGGTGTTATTCCTCTGTACCCTGTAAATTTACTGCCATATACCACCCTTCAAACTGAAACAGCTATGCAAACACAACTGTTTCATGGTTGAAACATGAATGGGACAAAGGTCGACCCAAGCAATCGACTTTTGTACAAAGTCTCCCTCTGGTAAATTTTCATTTAGTTTTGTGATTTTCATTTAGCACCAATTGGCCTGCTTTTATCCTCACCTATCATCTCTCACTGGTGCTCCGCCAGCGAGCAATTAAAAAAAGACTGATAGCGTATTACCATTCCATTTTCAGCCATTAAAAAAAGACCCATCTGTGACTTAATTGTTACATTTATTTATTTATATTTACCAACCTTAGCTCCCTTGGAACTCGACAGTTTCCTAATTTGCTCCCTTAGCAATCACAATATACTTTTTTTAAATAACTTATTGTCATTCTGGGGTACTCGATAAGTTTATAAGTCAATACATCCAAGTCGGGATACTAGCTCGTGACACTGTCAAGCAGAGTCAGTATCGGTGTAATGGTAACTACTCTCTTCTGTACATACAAATGGAATTATTATTGTTGGTTATTCATCATTGAACTTAAAAAGTAAAATTATGTTTTTGATTTCCACGCATTGTTTGAGAAAAGTACTATACAAGCCTTGGCCACAACTAGGCATTGATGGACTCACGTATGTGTGCCTCGGCTACGCCTCGGCCCACATTTGCACGATCATCCATCAATGCCTCAGTTGCTGGCCGCTGCAGTAATGTACTATTGCTGTATATCTATATACTTATAGGTTCAATAAATATATAATTTTAGTTACAATATCTATATGTAGGTCCAATAAAGAAGATGTTCAAAACCTGTTACTATATATTATATTACCCATCTTTTATCATCATCCCTACACAGTATAAAACAAAGTGGCTGTCTGTCCGTCCCTATGTAAGAATAAATCTTTAAAACTACGCAATGGCTTTTGAAGCCGTTTTTTTTTTATAGATAGAGTGATTCAAGAGGAAGGTTTATATGTATAATACATGCATAACATAGTAGAGGAACACTGATAATTTTAGAGGTTTCTAATGTGATGTAATGTAATGGGTCCCTAGTAATGAATAATATAACACAGAAAATATTTTTTTTTACTTAGAATGGCAAACAAGCTGACGGCCCACCTGATGGAAAGTGGTAACCGTCACCTATAGACATGAGCAGTACTGTGGACATAACAGAATGTACTGTTTCGCCCATGATACCCCCCATGCGTTGCCATTCCTGAGGACTTAGGTGTTATTCTTCTGTACCCTGTAAATTCACGCCATATCCCACCCTTCAAACCGAAACACAGCCATGCAAACACAACTGCTTCACGGTAGAAACACGAATGGGACAGAGGTACCCAAGCAATCGACTTTTGTACAAAGTCTCCCATATTACATATTGTAAAAGGGTTTTAACCATTTAATAATATTGTTTTAAACTCATTAATTAATTTTATAATACACAGGGTTCATAAACAAACCTGTTTCAAAATTTACCAACCACATTGTGGATTGGGGGGGGGGGGGGGGGAAGAATTGTTAGTAATGGAGATTGAGAATCCCATTGCTAGCAATAATCCCAACCAGGTCGACCTCCTCGCGGTTCTCCCTGGAAACTATCACTTCACTGGTGCCCCGCCAGCGTATCCCTTTAACGCAGGCGGGTTTACCATTCCATTGTCTACCAATAACCACATTGTGGGATGCAATAAGAAACAAATATGTTTGCATGTGTGCGTACATTTACTGTTTATGTATGTATGTAGTTGTGAAATGTATGTGTATTCCATATATAGTGTATTGTTCCTTTAAACTGTCTGTCCTTTCCCAGGATGTCGTCCCGCAGGAATGGCTCGGTGTCCCGGGCCGCGGAGACGGCCTCGAAGAACAGACTGCACATGGACAGGAACCCGCAGCATTCGAGGATCACTGGTGAGACCCGAGATGATGGAGCATGTTGATTATAATAGGCTAGCTTTTTAAATATTTTACTGAACAGGCCTAGGAATTGTATCCTTGCCTGCGGTAATATAGTATATGTCATATATGTGTAAGTATATTTGTTATTCATATATATTTATTCGTTTATATATGTAATTTTAGTATGTATGTATATCAATAATTAGTAGTACCGCATTTGAGTATTCTGACACTTGCCTATGGTCGACTGGGAGAGAATGCTTTTAGCATTAAGTCCGCCATGTACACATATTTGTACTAATGAATAAATATATATATATAAATAAATAAATGGTATATGCTGAGAGTGGGGATTGTTAGTAAAGCAGACTGTTCCATTGTTAGCAATATGTCCAACCAGGTCATCTTTGACGAATCCACATTCGAAATTGCGAAAACGGAAGAGGAAGAAATGGATACGGGCCTACCACCCTCGTTCCTGAGCCTCTTCTAGCCAGTTCGTCTGCGGCATCGTTACCATAAGATCCACTGTGCCCTCTTATCCATTGGAGGATAACTCGGTTATTGGAAGATATCCTATCCAGTGAATGGTGGCATTCAATTATCAATTTGTTGTTTGTCTTGTTGTTTCGTAATGCTTTTAGTACTGTTGCGCTGTCAGATAAGAATCTAATGCTAAAACCATTTATTCCTAGCTTATGTACAGCTGCAGCAGCCTCGGTTATTGCAACACATTCGCATTGGAATATTGAGCTGTGTACGCCAAGCCGTATGTGCACGTTTATATTCAGGTCTAAGGAAAAGACTCCGGCTCCTGAACCGTTCTCGGTTTTGGAGCCATCGGTGTATATGCGTAATTCATGTACACCGGATTGGTCCTTTTCCTCTTCTTGAATTTGTATTTGGTATTTTTTGTTAAATATATAATGATTATGAGTCCTGTCACACGGAGCCGCAGTCAAAGGTTCATATTCGATTGCCTGGTTCAGAATAGAAGTGTGGGGACTGTAGTGATTTTTACCCCATAGATCCAGATGCATTAGTCGGATAGCGGCTAACGCCGCTTCCTGCTGTATGTGCAGGTCTAGGGGTGTTATGTTGAGGGCTAACTCTATTGCTGTTGTAGGAGCTGTTTTCATGCAGCCGCTGACAGAAGAGCAAAAAGAAAAGAAAGCTTTTTAGTTTGGCGGCGGTGGTCGATAGTTTTGTCCTCGGCCACCAAACCAGTGCACCATAGACCAACATTGGCCTGATTACAGCTCTGTACAGCCATAGAGTTATTTTTGGCGAAAGACCCCATTTGTTTCCTAGCATCTTTTTGCACTGGTAGAATGCAATTGTGCATTTGTTAAGTTTGTAGTCAAGATGTTTATTCCAAAGCAATTTACTGTTTAGTATTATGCCAAGGTACTTGACTTCTTCCTTAAGTTTCAGTGGTTCCCCCTGGAAAGCATCTGATTTATTGTTAGATTAAAAAAAAAAACAGGACTACCTTCACGTGCCCCTATATCATCAGTGCCTAACGTGCCTTCATAACGCAGCCTATCCTAGCATGAAGGGCAGGCGATTAATGTTTTTTTTATCCAACTTAGAATGGCAAACAAACTGACGGCCCACCTGATGGAAAGTGGTAACCGTCGCCTATAGACGTGAGCAGTACCGTGGACATAACAGACTATACTGTTTCACCCATGATACCCCACATGCGTTGCCATTCCTGAGGACTCGGGTGTTATTCCTCTGTAATGTAATGGGGGGGGGGGAGTACTTATTATTATATGTACAGTATAACATAGTAACATGATAATTATCCTCTAGTGAGTCGCTTTTCTCCCATAGGATATTTTATATACTAATTTACGTAGGCAAAGCCGTGTGATATAGCTAGTCTAGAATATAATGCTCGACAATACTATGATTGATTGCAGTTTTCTACCAGTCTGAAGTTTGTGATAATCATTTTGCCCATTTACATTGCTTTTTTTTTTTATAAAAATAATAGCTTTACAGTCTATAATGGCCTAATTTGTTAGTAATATTGCAGTTAAAACTCTTAACCAGTTAAAAGTATTATTGACTGGTAAAATCAGTCAAAAGGACTTTTGACCTTATGATTTAGTCAATAAACTTTTGTCTAAAATAACAGTTAAAAGTACCTAACCTAACCGTAAATTTGTGGGAGGAAAGGATTGTTAATAATGGGCAGGTTAGTCCCCATTGCTATCAATAAATCCTATCAGATTTGACCTCCACGCGGTTCCCCCTGGAAACCATTATGACAAATTTTTCATTGAATTCGTCACGATGGGCTAACTGACCTGCCTTTTCATCTTTCCAAACTTATACGACAACATAACCTTCAAGAAAAGATTATATTCCTTTTTAAAAGGCCGGCAGCATACCTGCAATGCCTCTGGTGTTGTGGGTGATCATGGGCGGCGGTAGTCACTTACCATCAGGAGAGCTGCATGCTCGTTTGCCCCCTGTGTTTTAAAAAAAAAACATAACCTTAGTCTAATGTTAGTACATTTTACAATAAAATAAATGAATAAAAGAAACAATAGATAGATAGATAATTTATTTGCATTACTTACATAAAAAGCGAGATAATATATATATATATATATATATACAGTTAAAGGCCAATATATATATATATATATATATATATATATATATATAAGCCAAGTACAATGTTTCCTTTTGTGCGTGTGCCATAACAATACAAAATGGTCACAACTCAGTTTATTGCTTCGCCCTCAAAAGAGGAAAGCACTGATATTCTGTAGCGGCCAAGGGCCAATAAACAAACTTGGTCACCGCTGAAGCGTCCCATTTGAGGATACCACAGTGACCAGGATACTGTTGGAGCTGCCTCGTACCCTACGCACCAGTGACGCGCATTTTTTACGTATTTTTTTTTTGATGGGTGAAAATGGTATGGTAACCTGCGCTAACGGGATACGCTGGCCGAGCATCAGTGAAGGGTGACAGATGAGAACGAAAACAGGCCAGTTAGCCCATCATGATGAATTCATCAGGAATTAACCTTGATAGTTTCCAGGGGGAACCGCGAGGAGGTCGACCTGGTTTGGTATATTGCTTGCAATGGGATTCTCAGTCTCCATTACTAACAATCCCTTTCTCCCCCATTTTTTACGTATTGTGCCATAGAAGCAATCTATGCGGGCTTCTGCAAACATCTCTAATGCACTACAATATCGTAGGAACCCCAAAATAAGGGGAAAAGGGATTGTTAGTAATGGACATTACTAGCAATATACTCTATCAGATCGACCTCCACGCGGTCCCCCCTGGAAACCATCGTGATTGATTCATTTGTGAATTTGTTACGATGGGCTAACTGACCAGCTTCATCTTCACTTATCGTCCTTCACTGGTGCCCCGCCAGTGTATATCGATAGCGCAGGCGGGGTTACCATTCCATTATCATCCATTAAAAAGAAACTCAAATTCGATTCCATGCCCGTTATTCTCAGTTTAAATTGTCTACGGAACTGGCCGGTAGATTCATAAAAAAAAAAATTACTATTTCAATATGCTTATAATTAAGTTTACTTGAATAAAAAAAAATATTTCTATTTAATTATTTTTTTTAATTTTTATTTATTTATAAATGCTTGCTTTCTTAATACTTTGCAAGCGTAAACCAAAAGCGCAAGCAGGGATGCCGTACTATTTTCATGCATCAACCCCCCCCCCCCTTTTTATTGGATGATAATGGAATGGTAACCCCGCCTGCGCTAACGGTATACGCTGGCGGGGCACCAGAGAGAAATGATCGGTAAACATAAAAAGGCAGGTCAGTTAGTCCATCGTGATGAATACACCAGGAATCCAGCAAGATGGTTGCCAGAGAGGTCATGTGGAGGTCGACCTGATAGGGTGTATTGCTAGCAATGAGACTGATAGTCCGCTTTACCAATAATTTCTTTCCAAAAACCTTTAGATCCGTCTAATCCGGCCGGACGTCGTAAGGAGATAGACAACGTGATGAAGAGAGCCCGCCAGGCGTCCCCTGGCAGCTGGGACAGGAAGCTTCTGGAAGTCGAGGAGAAAGATCCCAATAGGTTAGTGAGATTTAACATAAATTTATTTTTAACCCTTTATTTGCACCACTTAAAGAATTAAACAAATATACAGGGTGGAAGGGAAAGGTTGGGCAAAACGAAAACAGCTGATTCAGATGAAAGGTCTGAATCAGATGGCAGATTGTTCTCCCGCCGGTAATGCACCGCAGCCGTATAATTAACGATACTTAGTGTTGACGCCGCGCAATGTATTTGAAATATTACGATCCACACGACGCGTGATACCTACACCGTGCGGTCAGTGGCGCTTCTTCGTAGGTAGTGTCGTAGGCTCCTGGCATTGACCTCACACAGCTGATTCCGTGCGTCGCGGCGTCGTGGTGGGATTTTAATACGTGTATTACATTGCTGTTTTCGGTTACGCACAACGGCCCAAATTAGAGACTAAGCGCGGAAAATGAAGTCCTATTCAAATTTACATTGTGTTTTTGGTATTTCGTAGTATTTTACTATAAAATATTAATTCTTTATATTATGACATAATATCATAGATTATAAATGATTTTAAATGAAAAAAAAAAGGGAAGATATATTTTTTTCCAGAAAGAGTTTGCGTTGGTTTTCAGTTTAAACATGTTTCAACCGTAAAGCAGTTGTGTTTGTATGGCGGTGCTTCGGTTTGAAGGGTGGGATATGGTGTGAATTTACTGGGTACAGAGGAATGAAATGAAATGAAATGAAATATTTATTTGCTTTAAACAGACATTTAACATTATAAGGGCCATGTGACACAACTTTTTGGCATCTGTCTAATTGCCTTAAAATTGTAGGCATGCAAATCTAATTTATTCCTTAAATAAGGATACAAATTTAATTTATACTAATACATTATTATGATCATAGAATAATAAAAAAAAAGAAAAAAAAAAAGAAAACAATGCTCAAACAATTATCGAGTCAAATTACATATTCAATATCGTCAAATAAAATTAACAATTACATTATTATTAATAACATCTGAGTCCTCAGGAATGGCAACGCATGGGAGGTATCACGGGCGAAACAATATACTCTGTTATGTCCATGGTACTGTTCATGTCTATAGACGACAAAAATCACTTTCCATCGGGTGCTTGCCATTCTAAGTTGTATAAAAAAAAACTTTTTATTTGCTTGTTCATGCTCATGTATTTAGTAAGTAGTCGGACGACTAAAGGGACAAAATGGTCGAGGGATGGGCAACAGCATCCCTCTTAGATGAGCGTGGCAACTACTGGTAAATTTCCCATCAGCTGATATGATAATGATCCCTGTGTCAGTCCCAGCATAGAATAGGCCACCCCTTCCTTTCCCGTGGGTGTCGTAAGAGGCGACTAAGGGAGGGCGAGGGACGGGCAGCGTCCCTCCTAAAACATTACCAAAAGCCTAACTGTAGTTGCCAGCCCGCCTGCCAAGCGTGGCAACTATTGGCACAACCGCCCTTCTGGGGAAGGCTTATGTTCATCAGTGGACAGTTTATGGCTGAAATGATGATGATGATTGTAATGGCCATGGTACTCTTAATTTTTTTTTTCTGTGAAAAAATGGTGTTCCTCTGTATCCTGCAATTTCACTGCCATATCCCACCTTTCACAGCTGCTTCATGGCAGAAGCACGGGTGGGACAGAGGTGTTGATTTATTTATATATCTTTATATTTATAACGAACAGAGTTCCGTGCTTATAAGTGTTTATAATTACTCCTCTCCATCCAAAGGTTGGCTGCAAGAGATCGCTCTTAGCGATAAGGTCGCCCATTGTTGTCTCACTGTGATCATTTCTTGTAATTGTTTGTATCTATAATAAGTTTACTATTGTAATCTTATGGAGGAAACAATGAAGATTATCTATCTACCCAAATAGATGTCGACTTTTCTACAAAGTATGACAAATATTTGATTATTTATTAACAAATTACTCCACTAGATGGCGCCACACGGGCTACAAGCAGATGTACCTGGACGGCTCGGGTTCAGTGTCACCCAGGCGGTCTAGGTCGCCCGTGGCCGGACGCAGGTCTAGGTAAGAAAGTACACTTTTAGATATTTCAGTTTCCGTTCACTGCTGGACATAAGCCTTCCCCATAAGGGGAGTATTGCCGGTAGTTGTCACGTTTGGCAGGCGGGTTGGCAGCCGCAATTAGGCTTTTAGAGATGTTTTAAAAGGAACGCTGCTGCCCATCCCTCGCTCACCTTTAGTCGCCATTTAGGACACCCACGGGAAAGGAAGGAGTGGCCCATTCTATGCCGGGACCACACTGCATAATAAACGTTAGCATTTGTAAATAATTTTAATTTATAATAGTCTTGATTGTTGACTGTGGATCACCGGAAACCATTTATTTCAGGTCTCCGCTGGTAGGGCGCCGCTCGCGGTCCCCTGTGCGGCGTTCGCCGAGGAAGTCTCGCTCGCGGTCCCTTCGCCGGAGCCCCCGTCGAAGCCCTCGCCGCAGCCCTATTAGGTACTGACATTGAAAAATAAAAATATACTACTCTGTTGTAATAAATAAGTGATTTTAATTGTGAGCCGCTAAATAAAGCGCTGCAGCAATACGCTGAGCACGTACCTACTTCACAGAACATTGCAACATACACGCACACAAGTACACATTGGCACTTAACGATATATTTTAAATTTAGGCTTCAATTGCACAAAAGTTGTTTGCTTGGCCACCTCTGTCCAATTCGTGTTTCTACCGTGAAGCAGTTGTGTTTGCATGGCTGTGTTTCGGTTTGAAGGGTGGGATATGGCAGTGAATTTACTGATTCATATGTTTTCGCTGTCAACCTGTCCTTTTCACCCTATATATATTAAATTACCATATATCTACCCACCGGGGTATTATTAATGGAGAAGTTTTTTTTTTATGAATGATAATGGAATGGTATCCCCGCCAGCGCTGACGGTGTACTCCAGTCGGGTACCAGTGACAGATTTTTTTTATTTTTTTATACAACTTAGAATGGCAAACAAGCTGACGGCCCACCTGATGGAAAGTGGTAACCGTCGCCTATAAACACGAGCAGTATCATGGACATAACAGAGTATACTGTTTCGCCCATGATACCTCCCATGCGTTGCCATTCCTGAGGACTCAGGTGTTATTCCTCTGTACCCAGTAAAATCAAGATAATGGCTGAGAGTACCTATTTCAGGTAGGTCAGTCAGCCCATCGTGATGAATACACTTGGAATTCAGCACGATGGTATCCAGGGAGGACCACGGGGAGGTCGATCTGGTTGGGTATATTGCTGGCAACAGGGTCCTCAGTCTCCGTTACTAACAATCCCTTCCTCCTAATGGAAAGATTAATGTGGCACCCGTTTCAGACGCAGTTCCCCGGCCGTAAGACGTCGTTCGCCGCGTGCGGGTGGCCGCTCACCCGCCGCGGGAGGACCGCGGCCGCGGGCCCGGCCGCCGCCCGCCCGCGGCCCGCCGTCGCGTCACGCCCGCCCGCCATCCCCTCCATCCCCCAGGAAGGTACATATACATCTACTCATTATGGGTGCCTTAACTGGACATATGCCAATAAGGCCGTACTGGTTACGCTTCAAACTCTTTTCTCCTACGTTCTTCACGACTCTGGAACACGCTTCCTGATGCCATTAAGAGACTACCGACTAAACCGTCTTTAAAAAAAACTTTCACACCCACTTTTTATCTTTATCCGAGCAGTAAGTGCTTTATATTATTCTCAATTTCGTGTATAATATAGTATATATCATATATGTGTAAGTATATTTGTGATTCGTATATATTTATTCGTTTATATATGTAATTTTAGTATGTATGTATATCAATAATTACTAGTACCGCATTCGAGTATTCTGACACTTGCCTATGGTTGACTGGGAGAGAATGCTTTTAGCATTAAGTCTGCCATGTACACATATTTGTACTAATGAATAAATAAATTAATATGCCAATAAGGCATATACTACACAAGATGGGTCTATCTTCGGACACACTGTGCAGACTGTGTGGGGAGAGATCGGAATCCATGGAACACTTGATGTGCTATTGTGATTCGTTAGCGAACATGCGCATGAGTCTACTGGGAATGGCTTATCCAAAGCCAGGGGACTGCAGATATCTTAAGCCGCGGAATATCGTTAGGGTAACACAAAGGATCTATGAAATGATGATATAAGGCATGGGGAAGCACAAAAGATCCCGATGGGTCGACGTGCAACAGCTTAGCTGACCCCATATGGGAATATAAGATTAGATACATATACATGTAATAACATAATGTACATAGAATGAATAGTCGCCGTGTATGTCCCGGTATAGAATGGACCGCCCTTCCATTCCCGTCATTCCGCGTTCCATTGTTTCTGCCTACCCTAATGGGAGACAGGCGTGACAAATATGTATGTATGTATCTATGCTCAATATTTGCCAATAGCCACACTTGGCAGGCGTTTTAGATATTTTAAGAGGAACAAACAGGAATGGTTTTTTTTTAATCCGTCTCAAATGGATTGGTCATACTTTTTAACTAATTCCAAAAAAAGCAAGAAGCTTTAAATTCTATTTTATATTTATTGTTTGTCACACCACATAACTCTGTCAGTTGTAAAATAGATTTGGAAAACTTGTTATTTAAAAAGATATACTGTACAATCTGTAATCGTTTCTATCGAAATTGTTTGAAATATAGTCCAGCAATGAATTGATTAAAGTCAGGTTTTTCTGTCAGCGTTTTTTGTCTTAAATTATTTGGAACTAACTATTTCTTGGCGGGACATCAGTGTTTTCTAATTTGTTTAATTACCCCTGTTCCCTGTCCCCAGTCGTCGCCTTCTGGATCGTCGATGAGCAGCTGCTCGGACGAGTCGTGCTCGGTGTGCTCCGCCAAGAATAAGAAGACGGCGCCGCCGCCGCAGAAGCCCGTCAAGCCGAGGTAACTGCTCTTTAATCGATGAAAATGAAATGTTTTTGCTGACGGTCCATCTGATGGAAAGTGGTCACCATCGCCTATAAACTTGGACATAACAGAGTATACTGTTTCGCCCATGATATCCCCTATGCATTGCCATTCCTGAGGACTCGGGTGTTATTCCTCTGTACCCAGTGAATTCACGCCATATTGCCATATATATACGCCATACGCCCTTCAAACCGAAACACAACCATGCAAACACAACTGCTTCACGGTTGAAACACGAATAGGACAGAGGTACCTAAGCAATCGACTTAACATATTTGTTGTTGGACCACTATATATATATATATATATATTGTAGCTAAAATATATACATATTGCTATATATTATACACCCATAACATAGAGGTACTCAAGAAGATGACTTATACTAAGTTTCCCTCTGTTATTATTCCTTCAGTTATGTAACAGATGGTTTGTAATTATACAGGGTGTCCCCGCCTGGTCCGGCTCCAAGCGCGGCGAATCGCAAGCGACCACCGCCTACTGCTAGAGCTGTGCAACCTACCAGGGAGTTGCTGAAGGCCAGGGAGGCCAGCAAACGCAGCAGAGAGGAGAAGGTAACTACAGTGACAGAGCAAATAGACTTTTTTTTTTTATACAACTTAGAATGACAAACAAGCTAACAGCCCACCTGATGTAATATGTTCTTTATTGGGACAATATATGGATATTATATACTGCAATATATTGCTATATATTACCAACCCTGAATTATTATACGACTTAGAATGGCAAACAAGCTGACGGCCCACCTGATGTAAAGTGGTAACCGTCGCCTATAGAAATGAGCAGTGCCATGGACAGAACAGAGTATACTGTTTCGCCCTTTGATACCCCCCATGCGTTGCCATTCTTGAGAACTCAGGTGTTATTCCTCTGTACCCAGTAAATTCACGCCATATCCCACCCTTCAAACCGAAACACAGCTATGCAAACACATCTGCTTCAAGGTAGAAACATGATTGGGACAGAGGTGACCAAGCAATCGACTATTATACAAAGTCTCCCTCTGGTAAAAATTGGGTTGTTTTGAATATATCAAAATGTCTGTTGAACAGGTGTTGGAATGGCAACGCTCCCAAATGGCGGTCCGCCCGCCGCCGCTGGCCGCCGCGCACATCAAGCGCGAGGGCGAGCGGCGGCCGCCGTCCACGTCGGGCGCCGCCGCCGCGCCCGCCGCCGCCGCCGCCGCCGCCGCCGCAGCGGCCGCAGCGGCCGGCAGCGGGCGGCGGCCGCGCGGGGACCGGCCGCCCGGCGAGCGCGGCGTGTCGCCCGCCGCCATCGCCGCCGCGCTCGCCGACAGCGACAGCGACAGCGAGTCCGATGCCAGCTCGGAGCCGCAGCCGCAGAGGTTCGTTTGCTTTTAATCATAATGGAATGCTCACTCCGCCTTTTTTTTTAACGTTTGGAAAATGATTTATACAGACCCATACGTCTTGTGGGAGGTGAATGGGTACTGTGGGAATTCCCCCGTAAGGTGGGGGTGTACCCACCAAAAACCAGACGATATACCCTCGAGGTGCCATATATCGGAGACATGGGTTCGCTTTCGCATTCACCACATCTCCGACGGCATGCTCACTCCGCCTGCACTAGCAGTATACGCAGACTGGACGTCAGTGATGGATGATAGGCGAAGATGAAAACAGATCATTGTGACGAATTCCACAAGAATTATGAATGAATGAAATGGATGAATGGAACAAAGAATGCGCCAGCAAATTCCCTTCTCATATATGTTGTGTATTTCTTTTTACATCGTGCAGCGAAGAAACAAATCACAAATAATATTGTAAAAGCAAAAACGATGATCAGCAGGTCTAGCTTGCTGTAACTTATGTCATGCAACATGCTCGTGTCTGCCCGATTGGCTGCTCCAGTTTGAACGATTATTACTTACTCTTTGCTTTGGTTTTTTTCCATCTTGTGCATTGAGTTAGAGTGCATTAACTATTTCACAGATTGTCAATTACAAGAGAGATTGATGTGTAATGAATAATCATTGTGCAATATTACATGTAGGCACAAATTAACCGTGATAGCTTCCAGGGGGAATCGCGTAGAGGGCAGCTTAATAGGGTATCTTGTTAGCAATGGAGTTGTTATTAATAATTCTTGCCCCCCGAGGTTAGTTTATAGTATTGGTTACTTCTAGAACTTGTGGAGGTAAGGGGGGGACTAGTAATGGCGCAAGGACGTTCTTGCAGCACTCTTACTAGCTCAATGTAGCTACTGTGTTAATTTACTTGTGTTAGTTACATCCTTTTGGTGGGTAATGGGAGGCGAAAGTGATATCTGCAGACATCAATTTGTTGCATTAACAATCGTGCGGTTACGTTATCAGGAGCTTGGCTGAAAGTGAGCCGGGCGTGTCGCCTGCAGCTATAAAATTACTTGCGTGAATAGTGATAGCAAGTCGGATGTATTAGTTACTATTGGAAATAAATGGAATGTTATACTAACTAGGATTTAACTGCATATAAAATTTATTATAAAATACAACACACTTGACATGGTACAGACAAAGCATAGAGTATAGAGACAGATTTTTTTTATAACATGGATCTGTAGGATCTAAGTTTGATCGCTAACAGTTGTGAGGCGAATGGAAGTAAATGGTGGCGTACACAGGGGAATGTCATCTATAACCATTGTAATTCTGTCCGAGATGCTGTTACACTACTGAGATCGGTATGTTGTGCTGATTGCTATTTCTGGTATGAAGGTATCCATACCGTTCGTACCTTATGCTTTTCTCCCTTTACTAACAATCTTTTTCCCCACCTTGTGCAGGTTGACACTGTCGGAGCGGTTCGGCAAGATGGCGCAGTGGTCGGCGGACCGGTCGGCGCGGCTGGAGAACATGCGCATCACGCGGCGCGAGGCCACGCTGCACGTGCGCATCGAGCGCCCCACCGGCGACGAGCCGCCTGCGCTCGCCGCGCTGCCGCCGCACGCTGACCCCTACCCGTTAGTACAACACGTTATGGGCCCAGGTGCAGGAAATAATCAACACGTTAAGGGCCCAGGTACAGGGAATAGTCGACACGTTATGGGCCCAGATTTTGGAAACTGTTAACATGTGATGGGCCCAGGTATTGGGAACTGTTAACGCGTTATGGGCCCAAGTAATGAGAATAGTCAATACGTTATGGGCTCAGGGAGTGGGAATAGTCCACACGTTATGGGCCCAGGTACTGGGAATAGTCAACACGATATGAGTCCAGGCACTGAGAATAAGCAACATGTTATGGGCCCGGGTATTGGGAATAGTTAACATGTTATGGGCCCAGTTACTAGAAAATTGTTTTTCTAAATTATTTAATAGTAATAAATTGTGTATTAAATTAATGCAGTGGATTGGAGCCTGCGCCGGTGGGCAGCTACCCCGAGGAGCTGCTGGCTGCAGCACCAGGCGGGCTGCCCTCCTGGGACGACGTGAGGGTACGCTACGACTACTACAAGAAGAGGGGATACCTCAGAGGTACGGATTCGTAATCGTTTACAACCGATTTCAAAAAGAAAGCATTTAGTTTGGTTATATATTTTTTATGTTACCTCATAACTTCGTCAATTATAAACCTATTTGGATTTTTTTTATTTGAAAGTATATACTTTCAGAATGATCCCATAAATTTTTTTTCTAAATCGATGTAGTATTTTAGTTTTTAAATCAAAACTGGTTTTATCACAAAAGAAATTCCTTTTTTTCTATGGTAAAAAATAGATAGATGCTCTTTGTTTCCTCCATAAGATTACAATAGTAAACTTATTATAGATACAAACAATTACATGAAATGATCACAGTGAGAGAACAATGGGCGGCCTTATCGCTAAGAGCGATCTCTTGCAGCCAACCTTTGGATGGAGAGGAGTAATTATAAACAGTTTGATCGGAGGCGCGATGAGAATTCTATTATTTCTAAATATAGAGATATGATACATGTAATGATGTAAATATATACTGTTGGATAAAAAGAAGGGTAAAGGACAAACCTGGTTCACGTTGTCCCCGTTGTGTAGTTCTTTTGTACTCGTTCTCGTTCTCTCTTCTAAATATCCAACACTTGTGTTGATTTCGCTGAAATACCACTGTATGTTGCGCGGAGATCGCGGCTGATTGAACAATTCGCAACTGGTGGAGCTTTTTTGTGATCTTGGCGGAACTTGATCAGCTCGACACGCAGTTGGATTATAGACTGATTTTGTCCATCTACCCCCCAAAGTGATCCCAGATTTGATAGGAAATATGGATAGGCAAGGAGGGTAGAAGGATGTTGCGTTCGGAAATGTTTAAAGCATATACAAATGTAAGATTATATTTACCATACCTACTCATTATATATATATATAATTTTTTTTTTCAACTTAGAAACTAAAACTTTTAATGGTAAACAAACTATATACTAATGAGGACAGAAAGGGAAAAATGTTGGGACACTTGATACGACACGACGAACTTATGAACATTATAATAGAAGGTAAGATGGAAGGAAGGAGGGGTAGAGGGAGACCGAGACATAGTTACATCAGGCAGATCAAGGAAGGAGTTGGTGTCGTGTCGTATCAAGAGGTGAAGAGACTCGCTGACAATCGTTGAGTGGCGCAGCTTTTAAATAGATATATATATATATATATATATATATATATATATATATATATATATATATATATATATATATATATATAAACACACATACAATCTACTACAAAAATCTACTTGTCTACTCTATTTGTGTGTGTAACCCAGGATTCGCATGTATCAATGTGTTGATCGCATTACAGGGCTGACCCTCGGAGACTATGTGAAGTGGGAGGAGTGGTGGTACAAGTACCAGGAGTGGCTGAAGAGGGAGCGCGCTTACGAGCGCTGGGCTGAAGGCGAGGTTGGCATGGTGAGTGATGGGAATAATACGATCCAGAGTAATAAGCTTTTGTAATAGATAATAATGGAATGGTAACCCCGCCTGTGCTAACGGTATATGCTGACGTAAGGCACCATTGAGGGATGATAGGTGAGGATGAAAAAACAGGTCAGTTTTTTTTTATAGGTGATAATGAAATAGCAACCCCACCCGCGCTATTGGTATACACCGGCGGGGCACCAGTGAAGGATGATAGGTGAGGAGGAAAGGCAGGTCAGTTAGCTTAGACGAATTTAACAAGAATTGTTAACGATGGTTTTTAGGGGGAACCACGCGGAGGTTGACCTGATAGGGCATATTACTAGCAATGGGGCTGTCAAACTCCATTGCTAACAATCCCTTCCCCCCATGCAGGTCAGTTAGCCCATCGTGGTGAATACATCTGAAATTCAGTGGTTTTCATGGAGAGGTTGACCTGTTAGGGTATATTGTTAACAATGGGTCTGTTTAATTTTTTTTTACAACTTAGAATGGCAAACAAGCTGACGTCCCACCTGATGGAAAGTGGTAACCATCGCCTATAGACATGAGCAGTACCATGGACACTAGTAGAATAATCCCTTAATAGAATGTCAGTGATTAAGAGTACTGTTTTATTTACAGTATTGAGATTACAGACTGATTTGCTTGATGGTGAATGGTCGTGGATGGTTTTTTAATGGATGATAATGGAATGGTAACCCCACTTGCGTTATTGGTATACACTGGCGGGGCACTAATGATTGATTATAGGTGAGGATGAAAGCAGGTCAGTTAGCCCATCATGACGAATTTAATAAGAATTTTCGACGAAGACGTCAACCTTATAGGGTAATATTGTCAGCAATGCGGCTGTCAAATCTCATTACTAGCAATAGCATGGGGGTATCATGGGCGAAACAGTATACTTTGCTATGTCCATGGTACTGCTCATGTCTATAGGCGACGGTTACCACTTTCCATCAGGTGGGCCGTCAGCTTGTTTGCCATTCTAAGTTGTATAAAAAAAAATTACTAGCAATCCCTTTCGCGAATCGGTCGCGGACGGTTGTTGTTGTTTCCCTGTTGATAACGTAGCGGCCCTGTTGCAGGTCCGTCGCGAGCGTCGCAAGCGCGGCGGCAAGCACCGGCGCAGCTGAGGACGCGCCGCCCCCGCCGCCGTCCTCGTGGTGGACCTGGCGGCGGGGGCGGCGGGCGCCTCGCGCTAGTCCGCCCCGTGTCAGTACTGCACTGCTACACACCGCACTACACGCTGCACACTGCACACTGCACACTACACACTGCACACTACACGCCGCCGTCCTCGTGGTGGACCTGGCGGCGGGGGCGGCGGGCGCCTCGCGCTAGTCCGCCCCGTGTCAGTACTGCACTGCTACACACCGCACTACACGCTGCACACTGCACACTGCACACTACACACTGCACACTACACGCCGCCGTCCTCGTGGTGGACCTGGCGGCGGGGGCGGCGGGCGCCTCGCGCTAGTCCGCCCCGTGTCAGTACTGCACTGCTACACACCGCACTACACGCTGCACACTGCACACTGCACACTACACACTGCACACTACACGCCGCCGTCCTCGTGGTGGACCTGGCGGCGGGGGCGGCGGGCGCCTCGCGCTAGTCCGCCCCGTGTCAGTACTGCACTGCTACACACCGCACTACACGCTGCACACTGCACACTGCACACTGCACACTGCACACTACACGCCGCCGTCCTCGTGGTGGACCTGGCGGCGGGGGCGGCGGGCGCCTCGCGCTAGTCCGCCCCGTGTCAGTACTGCACTGCTACACACCGCACTACACGCTGCACACTGCACACTGCACACTGCACACTGCACACTACACGCCGCCGTCCTCGTGGTGGACCTGGCGGCGGGGGCGGCGGGCGCCTCGCGCTAGTCCGCCCCGTGTCAGTACTGCACTGCTACACACCGCACTACACGCTGCACACTGCACACTGCACACTGCACACTGCACACTACACGCCGCCGTCCTCGTGGTGGACCTGGCGGCGGGGGCGGCGGGCGCCTCGCGCTAGTCCGCCCCGTGTCAGTACTGCACTGCTACACACCGCACTACACGCTGCACACTGCACACTGCACACTGCACACTGCACACTACACGCCGCCGTCCTCGTGGTGGACCTGGCGGCGGGGGCGGCGGGCGCCTCGCGCTAGTCCGCCCCGTGTCAGTACTGCACTGCTACACACCGCACTACACGCTGCACACTGCACACTGCACACTGCACACTGCACACTACACGCCGCCGTCCTCGTGGTGGACCTGGCGGCGGGGGCGGCGGGCGCCTCGCGCTAGTCCGCCCCGTGTCAGTACTGCACTGCTACACACCGCACTACACGCTGCACACTGCACACTGCACACTGCACACTGCACACTACACACTGCACACTACACGCCGCCGTCCTCGTGGTGGACCTGGCGGCGGGGGCGGCGGGCGCCTCGCGCTAGTCCGCCCCGTGTCAGTACTGCACTGCTACACACCGCACTACACGCTGCACACTGCACACTGCACACTGCACACTGCACACTACACACTGCACACTACACGCCGCCGTCCTCGTGGTGGACCTGGCGGCGGGGGCGGCGGGCGCCTCGCGCTAGTCCGCCCCGTGTCAGTACTGCACTGCTACACACCGCACTACACGCTGCACACTGCACACTGCACACTGCACACTGCACACTACACGCCGCCGTCCTCGTGGTGGACCTGGCGGCGGGGGCGGCGGGCGCCTCGCGCTAGTCCGCCCCGTGTCAGTACTGCACTGCTACACACCGCACTACACGCTGCACACTGCACACTGCACACTGCACACTGCACACTACACGCCGCCGTCCTCGTGGTGGACATGGCGGCGGGGGCGGCGGGCGCCTCGCGCTAGTCCGCCCCGTGTCAGTACTGCACTGCTACACACCGCACTACACGCTGCACACTGCACACTGCACACTGCACACTGCACACTACACGCCGCCGTCCTCGTGGTGGACCTGGCGGCGGGGGCGGCGGGCGCCTCGCGCTAGTCCGCCCCGTGTCAGTACTGCACTGCTACACACCGCACTACACGCTGCACACTGCACACTGCACACTGCACACTGCACACTACACGCCGCCGTCCTCGTGGTGGACCTGGCGGCGGGGGCGGCGGGCGCCTCGCGCTAGTCCGCCCCGTGTCAGTACTGCACTGCTACACACCGCACTACACGCTGCACACTGCACACTGCACACTGCACACTGCACACTGCACACTGCACACTACACACTGCACACTACACGCCGCCGTCCTCGTGGTGGACCTGGCGGCGGGGGCGGCGGGCGCCTCGCGCTAGTCCGCCCCGTGTCAGTACTGCACTGCTACACACCGCACTACACGCTGCACACTGCACACTGCACACTGCACACTGCACACTGCACACTACACGCCGCCGTCCTCGTGGTGGACCTGGCGGCGGGGGCGGCGGGCGCCTCGCGCTAGTCCGCCCCGTGTCAGTACTGCACTGCTACACACCGCACTACACGCTGCACACTGCACACTGCACACTGCACACTGCACACTGCACACTACACGCCGCCGTCCTCGTGGTGGACCTGGCGGCGGGGGCGGCGGGCGCCTCGCGCTAGTCCGCCCCGTGTCAGTACTGCACTGCTACACACCGCACTACACGCTGCACACTGCACACTGCACACTGCACACTGCACACTACACGCCGCCGTCCTCGTGGTGGACCTGGCGGCGGGGGCGGCGGGCGCCTCGCGCTAGTCCGCCCCGTGTCAGTACTGCACTGCTACACACCGCACTACACGCTGCACACTGCACACTGCACACTGCACACTGCACACTGCACACTACACGCCGCCGTCCTCGTGGTGGACCTGGCGGCGGGGGCGGCGGGCGCCTCGCGCTAGTCCGCCCCGTGTCAGTACTGCACTGCTACACACCGCACTACACGCTGCACACTGCACACTGCACACTGCACACTGCACACTGCACACTACACACTGCACACTACACGCCGCCGTCCTCGTGGTGGACCTGGCGGCGGGGGCGGCGGGCGCCTCGCGCTAGTCCGCCCCGTGTCAGTACTGCACTGCTACACACCGCACTACACGCTGCACACTGCACACTGCACACTGCACACTGCACACTGCACACTACACGCCGCCGTCCTCGTGGTGGACCTGGCGGCGGGGGCGGCGGGCGCCTCGCGCTAGTCCGCCCCGTGTCAGTACTGCACTGCTACACACCGCACTACACGCTGCACACTGCACACTGCACACTGCACACTGCACACTGCACACTACACACTGCACACTACACGCCGCCGTCCTCGTGGTGGACCTGGCGGCGGGGGCGGCGGGCGCCTCGCGCTAGTCCGCCCCGTGTCAGTACTGCACTGCTACACACCGCACTACACGCTGCACACTGCACACTGCACACTGCACACTGCACACTACACACTGCACACTACACGCCGCCGTCCTCGTGGTGGACCTGGCGGCGGGGGCGGCGGGCGCCTCGCGCTAGTCCGCCCCGTGTCAGTACTGCACTGCTACACACCGCACTACACGCTGCACACTGCACACTGCACACTGCACACTGCACACTGCACACTGCACACTGCACACTACACACTGCACACTACACGCCGCCGTCCTCGTGGTGGACCTGGCGGCGGGGGCGGCGGGCGCCTCGCGCTAGTCCGCCCCGTGTCAGTACTGCACTGCTACACACCGCACTACACGCTGCACACTGCACACTGCACACTGCACACTGCACACTGCACACTACACACTGCACACTACACGCCGCCGTCCTCGTGGTGGACCTGGCGGCGGGGGCGGCGGGCGCCTCGCGCTAGTCCGCCCCGTGTCAGTACTGCACTGCTACACACCGCACTACACGCTGCACACTGCACACTGCACACTGCACACTGCACACTGCACACTGCACACTACACACTGCACACTACACGCCGCCGTCCTCGTGGTGGACCTGGCGGCGGGGGCGGCGGGCGCCTCGCGCTAGTCCGCCCCGTGTCAGTACTGCACTGCTACACACCGCACTACACGCTGCACACTGCACACTGCACACTGCACACTGCACACTGCACACTGCACACTGCACACTACACACTGCACACTACACGCCGCCGTCCTCGTGGTGGACCTGGCGGCGGGGGCGGCGGGCGCCTCGCGCTAGTCCGCCCCGTGTCAGTACTGCACTGCTACACACCGCACTACACGCTGCACACTGCACACTGCACACTGCACACTGCACACTGCACACTGCACACTACACACTGCACACTACACGCCGCCGTCCTCGTGGTGGACCTGGCGGCGGGGGCGGCGGGCGCCTCGCGCTAGTCCGCCCCGTGTCAGTACTGCACTGCTACACACCGCACTACACGCTGCACACTGCACACTGCACACTGCACACTGCACACTGCACACTGCACACTACACACTGCACACTACACGCCGCCGTCCTCGTGGTGGACCTGGCGGCGGGGGCGGCGGGCGCCTCGCGCTAGTCCGCCCCGTGTCAGTACTGCACTGCTACACACCGCACTACACGCTGCACACTGCACACTGCACACTGCACACTGCACACTACACACTGCACACTACACGCCGCCGTCCTCGTGGTGGACCTGGCGGCGGGGGCGGCGGGCGCCTCGCGCTAGTCCGCCCCGTGTCAGTACTGCACTGCTACACACCGCACTACACGCTGCACACTGCACACTGCACACTGCACACTGCACACTGCACACTGCACACTACACACTGCACACTACACGCCGCCGTCCTCGTGGTGGACCTGGCGGCGGGGGCGGCGGGCGCCTCGCGCTAGTCCGCCCCGTGTCAGTACTGCACTGCTACACACCGCACTACACGCTGCACACTGCACACTACAAACTGCACACTGCACGCTGCACACTGCACACTGCACACTACACCGCCCCGCAGTCTAACGACAAGCGATTACATAGAAGGAATAATAATAATATACTTTTCTCAAACATGCTTGGAAATTTGAGCATTATTTTGACAACCTTCTTTGAAATAAATCGAACTTGCGGTACTGGTCGAGCAGCGGCCGGCAATAGTTGTATGAAAATCCATATCTGTCGTGTTTAGCGGTCAGATAAATTACTATGTAAAATCATATTTGTCGTGTAATTTAAAAATGGAACGAGCTTCTACTCCGCAACATGGCGATTAAAGAGGTAACTTATCAAAGGTTTAATTTAAATTTCGAACTGGCTTGCACATAGAAAGCTGTTTAGTGAAAAAAAAAAATACTTTGGCGCGTAAAAAACTATTGTTATTAGTTGTTCGTCAACTTCGTCATTGGTTTTAAATACTTTTGTATTTAACAAAATGAGTTCAAGTGAAGACAATGAGTGTAATGAAATTATTTTAACGCCACCTGTAATTCAAGAGGCAGCAAGAGCCGTAGTAGAAAACTTGTTGCCGCCAAAATCTAAAGAAAAATATTTGAAAATCTATGAAAATTTTGTTTAATGGAAGAACGAAAGAAAATCGAAATCCTTGTCCGAAAATATTTTTCTGGCTTATTTCGGCGAACTCGCCAAGAAAGTGTAGCCTACAACGCTTTGGGTCATCTATTCAATGCTAAAATGCACAATTTTAATGAAACATAACGTGAATTTGAATAATTTCCGCGCATTATTTGAGAAAAGTACTATACAAGCCTTGGCCGCAACTAGGCATTGATGGACTCACGTATGTGTGCCTCGGGTTCCCCTCGGCCCACATTCACACGTTCGTCCATCAATGCCTCTCTTGCCGGCCGCTGCAGTAATGTACTATTTCTCAAACATGCTTGGAAATGTAAGCATTATTTTAACAATTTTCTTCGAGATAAATCAAAATTGCCGTACTGGCCAGATACAAGCGGGCAGCGGCCGGCAAATGTTGTATGAAAATCCTCTGTCGTATTTTGCGGCCAGATAAATTACTATGTAAACTCATATCTGTTCTGTAATTTAAAAATGGAATCATCTTTTACTTCGAAACATGGCTACTAAGGAGGTAACTAATAAAAGATTTTATTTAAATTTCGAACTGGCTTACAAATAGAAAGCTATTTATTGAAAAAAAAAAAAACAAAGGAACATTATGACGCGTGAAAAATTATTATTGTTCGTTATTCGTCATTGAACTTAAAAAGTAAAATTGTGTTTTTGATTTCCGCACATTGTTTGAGAAAAGTACTATACAAGCCTTGGCCACAACTAGGCATTGATGGACTCACGTATGTGTGCCTTGGCTACGCCTCGGCCCACATTTGCACGTTCGTCCATCAATGCCTCAGTTGCCCATGTATATATCCGTCAGTATTCTATGCCTATGACGATTTATACTAAACACAACAATACACACGTACATTACTATCAAAATCCCAAGAAACCTGACGGCCTACCATGAAATATTTTCCGAAATTTCGGGGACAAACGAAACAGAAATTTGATGTTAAAATTACATGATACATGCCGTTTAAAATTATTAAAAATGTTAAAATATCGTTTCTCTGGACTATTACTGGATAGGATGCATGATGAACGAAATGTTAAGCTCCATTTACTTGGTCGATTTCGCTACGAACAAACACACGAAATTGAGCGCGAAAATTCTGAATTTCATTTCATGGTAGACCACGTGATATATAGACATTGGCCAATAACGACGTACAATTTACTATTTTTTTTTTTTTAAATCTATATTGTAATTAAAATAGATCTTTCTCTTTACAGGCTGATTGTCTATGTCCGAAGATATAGTGAGAAGCATGGATCCCTGTGTTTAGACAATAAATATGTGTGTATCACTGTGACAGTGTCGGTGAAATTTTAAACTATTCATAAATAGGTATTAGGAACAAATTTAACTATTATAGTTAAGGTGTCATCCGCTATGTTAAAGTGTAACAAAATAAAAAAAAAAAAGTTTTTAATAGTGATAACAGAATGGTAACCTCGCCTGCGCTATCGGTATACGCTGGCAGGGCACCAGTGAAGGATGATAGGTTAGGATGAACGGTCTGTTACCACATCGTGATCATTAGTTTTCAATACCTAAAGGCCCTCCTGACTTACTCAAGTCTCCTAATAAAGAAACGTGGTAGTAATGGATTGTTAGTAATGGGTCTATCAGGGGGATTTCCACGCGGTTCCCCCTGGAAACCGTCGTGGTCAATGCTCGTTGAATTCGTCACGATGGGCTAACTGACCTGTTTTCATTCTCACCTATCATCCTTCACTGGTGCCCCGCCGGTGTATACCGATAGCGCAGGCGGGGTTACCATTGCATTATCATACATTAAAAAAAAAATTCTTAGACAATGGATTTGTTGCTTGAGAATAACTTAGTCTTTTATTTTGTTAGATTTTATTAAAGCGGTTATTGATTTAAGATTTTTGTCTATGTAATTTTATTAAATAAGACCAATGTGGATATATAGTCATTCTATGCCCCACCTCTGTAATATTGACGTATTTAGAGGGGGAAGAGATCCATATTGTATTTTGAGATAGATTTAAAAGTGTAACTGGTTGAGTTTCTCACGGGCTCTTCTTAACAGATAACAACTTTCCGAACCCTGCAGTAGATTAAAACAATAATGACGATTTAAAAGTGCTTGTAAACAAGTGTATTTGATTAAAGATGATTTGGATTCGAATTGGAGATGCTCTGTAAACAAAATACATTTTAATAAGTCATATTATTTGTAATGTCCTAGTTTCTAGTATTGACACGTGATTGTACATAGTTAATGTAATTCAAGCCCCCCATACTAACTCGACAGCTGGACACGTCGCGTCAGTATGGGATGTTCGACGTTTCTCGCCCCCTTCTCGCCGTTTCTCGGGCCTTCTCGCCGTTTCTCGGCCCTTCTCGCCGTTTCTCGGCCCGTGCTCCTTTGATTAACATGTTCAGTTTCGTCACAGACATAATTCTTTCAATTTTCAAAAATAATTGAGGAATTTTTAATATTTCTGACTAATAAATACTGCACTAGATTACGCGCTAAACATTTTCTCTCCTAACTACACCAAGCCATGGTTGCATGAGATCTCTTACAGAGACGAACCCACCTTTGCTAACAAGTTGTAAATATATAATTTAAAAAGTGCTCTTTATACGAACTAAAATGTATTTTGACTCTTCGACTTTCCCCATGCGAGGTCGGGGAATGCAGCTAGTATGTCTATGTAAATTCGAAACGTTAAATAAACGACTCGAAAACGGCTGGACCAATTCAGTTCTTTTTTTTTTTTTTATAACAATTTTTTTTTCGATAATAGTTTGTACGAAAAGAAAAAATGTTAAAATGTGTTTTGTTCACATTAATAGTGCATTGTTTGTTAGTATTGTATTACATTTGTATTACACGTGTATGAGAGCCAATTAACACTTCATACATACGTTATAATCACAATAGAACTTGACGGGAATGTAAATGAATGAATAATGATGTATGACTCCACTATAAAACAGTCTGCCTGATGTCCAACAACAGGGAATGAAATTCCGAACTTTCGGGCTTAATTTCGTGTTTTTGTTCGTACCTAAATCGACCCAGTAAATGGAGCTTAACGTTTCATTCATCATAAATCCTATCCTAATAGTCCAGAGGAACGATATTTTAACATTTTTAATAATTTTAAACGGCATGTATCATGTAATTTTAACATCAAATTTCTATTTCGTTCGTCCCCGAAATTTCGGAAAATATTTCATGGTAGGCCCTCAGTACGGTAGAATCTCGATTATCCGGAATTCGATTATTCGGACTTATTCTTCACGTCTCCAATAATCGATTTAGAAATGGTATTATGTATTGGGTAAATAGGTATTATTTAATCCGTTATTTTTATAGCTCGTAATTATTTTTTTTTTATATCGTATTGTCTAAACGATGTATGTATAAATAACCCTTTACATAATACAAAAATAATAAAATTTATAGGTTTTAACTTTAAAATCGATTATTCGGAATACCGCTGGTTTTATTTGATTCGAATAATCGAGATTCTTCTGTACTAATTAAAAGGCGACCAATCGACTGGACGTCTCGACCCGTCACTGATTACACTCGGTGAGTGCTCCCGGGGTGGTCACAACGGGACACGGTTACGTTTTAATCAAGTTTTATTTAAAATATTACACCTCTAGTTATACAAATCATAATTATGTTGACTCATACAAATGTATGTAATGTAGCAATATCCTCAGGAATGGCAACGCATGGGCGGTATCATGGGCGAAACAGTACACTCTGTTAGGTCCATGGTACTGCTCACGTCTATAGGCGACGGTTACCACTTTCCATCAGGTGGGCCGTCAGCTTGTTTGCCATTCTAAGTTGTATAAAAAGCAAAAAAATAATAATGTTAGTATAATAACCCCTTGTATATTAGTAAGTTTTAGTTTTTACCAAAATGAGTTTGGTAAATGTAAGGATTTTTTTTTAAAGTCACTTTTCGCCCCTTTTGCTAAGATTTAACCCAACCTAACCCATCCTTCTTTCACTGATTCACTGGTGCTCTGCCAGCGTATCCTGTTAGCGCAGGTGGGGTTACCATACCATTTTCACTCATCAAAAAAAACCCATCCTTCTAATCAACCAGCTCGCAACTAAATATGATATATATATATATATATATATATATATATATATATATTTTACGTCTGATGTAAATTGTAAATTAAATTTTTTTTTTACTTTCCCTAGAGTTTTTCAATAATGAGTTTGTAATTCATAATATACTTTTTAATTTAATAGTATAATTAATAATATCTTGTAATTGTATGGGTGACTAAAATATAGTTGATTTTACATAATTTAATAATCATACAATTTCATTATAAAATTTTTAAATATTCATGAAATTAAAGAATGTTAGGCAAATTGTTTCTACATCATCACTGCTGTTATTTCTTCACTGATGAATGCTCCTAGGTCCCCACCTATTGAAAAGACTTTTTTTTATGGGTGAAAATGGTATGGTAACCCCGCCTGCGCTAACGGGATACGCTGGCGGGGCACCAGTGAAGGGTGATAGGTGAGAATGAAAACAGGCCAGTTAGCCCATCATGATGAATTCATCAGGAATTAACCATGATAGTTTCCAGGGAGAGCCGCGAGGAGGTCGACCTGGTTGGGTATATTGCTAGCAACGGGATTTTCGCTCTCCATTACTAACAATCCCTTTCTCCTTTATTGAAAAGACTAGTACTACGCCAGTGGTTGCCACGCTTAGCAGGCGGGTTGGCAATCGTAATTAAGTTTCGAAGTGACTGCATTTGATTTCAGCAAGAACTGAAATTAAAAAAGGTATGACTTTTTAATTTCTAATCTGTGCCAACCCTAAATGCACTTTTTTAATGGATGATCAGGGAATGGTAGCTGCGCCTGCGCTAACGGTATACACTGGCGGGGTACTAGACACTGGTACTGGCATGAGTACACCTGGAATTCAGCACGATGGTTTCCATGAGGGACCACGAGCGGGTCGACCTAACAGTGTATATTGCTAGCAATGGGGCAGACAGTCCGTTTTATTAACAATACCACCCCATCCCCCCTATCCCCCATCCCCCCTATCCCCAATCCCCCCTATCCCCCATCCCCCTATCCCCCATCCCCACTCCCCCTATCCCCATCCCCCCTATCCTCCATCCCCATCCCCCCTATCTCCCCATCCCCCAATTATATGTTCACTCAACTATTGGTCGTTCATTTTAGTTACTTCATATAATGTATATTAATATTTAGAAATAGTACACAGGGTAATATCAGAATGGAAAGCAATTGTTCCAAGGGAGTGTTCCACCGGCGATACTGAATATGTACACCGGTGTTTCCCAATGTGGGGCCCACGCCCCACAGTCGGGACAATTTGATAGTTGAAGGGGACAAATAAAAAATAGACTCGAAGCGATTTTAACCCCCTTGCTCCGGGCCATTTAAATGCAACGCTACGAGTAGACATCGGTGCCAAATTTAACAAAAAAAGTTAATTTAAAAAAAAAAGCTGTAAATATTTATTAGGTAAAATTTCGTTTGACGTTACCAAAATATTAACTGGGCAATAAGAGCCGTCGAGTAAACTTTACCGGAAAAAATTATGTATAAAAATTTTAGAAATGTTCAAGTGGGGCATGCCACCAAAAAGGTTGGGAAACACTGGTGTACACCAAAGGGGCACGCGCCAAGAAACGGCGAGATATGTCGAGCTCTCCATACTTACTCGAGAACTGGACGTGTTAGTATGGACGATCCAACTTATATTGTTTAAAAAAAAAATATTCTCTTACCGGTAGAACACTCCAAAAATTTTAAATTACATGGTACAGAGGCATAACACCTTAGCCCTCAGCAATGGCAACGTGTGGAGACATCATGAGCGACACAGTATGCACTGCTATGTCCATGGTGCTGTTTATGTCTACATGACGGTTACCACTTTCCCATACAGGTGGGCCGTCAACTCGTTTGCCATTTTAAGGAGCGTTAAAAAATACATTTTACCCTGTTTTAAAATAAATTAATATAAAATTAGGTCATAGTGCTTTTAAGCTATATATTGTAGTGTTGACTTCCAAACGATGTCCTATAATTATAGCACAGAAAAGTGGATATCACAGTATATATACTGTGCAGTCCACACAGCAGCTATACTAATAGTTTAAGTAATTGTAATGTATTAAATACATAGTGTATTAACGATTGAAATTGCATCGATTGGTAGCCAACATTTCCAATCGCATTAACATTGTTAATGTAAAAAAAAAAGTAAAAAAAGATTAAAAATTATTAATTAATAACTAATATAGTAAGTAAATACGTTTGTATATAATATACGTGGATAATCTCAAGTCGTAATTGTATTTATTATTAGTGACATAGAATTTAGTTGTATATTATAACGTATCGAATACGGTGTGATAGTGTATTTGTGTATTCAATCGAACGGCGATTCCCTAAAATAACAAACACTACGTGATTGACAGTCGTTGAAAAAATGGTATTAACCCTTTCCATTCCAATGTCGAGTGTTACTCGATATTGATTTTGTTCCACTAGCTCCACTGTCGAGTGACACTCGACATTGATTTTGTTCCACCATCTCCACTGTCGAGTGACACTCGACATTGATTTTGTTCCACCAGCTCCACTGTCGAGTGACACTCGACATTGATTTTGTTCCACCGGCTCCACTGTCGAGTGACACTCGACATTGATTTTGTTCCACCATCTCCACTGTCGAGTGACACTCGACATTGATTTTGTTCCACCAGCTCCACTGTCGAGTGACACTCGACATTGATTTTGTTCCACCATCTCCACTGTCGAGTGACACTCGACATTGATTTTGTTCCACCAGCTCCACTGTCGAGTGACACTCGACATTGATTTTGTTCCACCATCTCCACTGTCGAGTGACACTCGACATTGATTTTGTTCCACCAGCTCCACTGTCGAGTGACACTCGACATTGATTTTGTTCCACCGGCTCCACTGTCGAGTGACACTCGACATTGATTTTGTTCCACCAGCTCCACTGTCGAGTGACACTCGACATTGATTTTGTTCCACCGGCTCCACTGTCGAGTGACACTCGACATTGATTTTGTTCCACCATCTCCACTGTCGAGTGACACTCGACATTGATTTTGTTCCACCAGCTCCACTGTCGAGTGACACTCGAAATTGATTTTGTTCCACCGGCTCCACTGTCGAGTGACACTCGAAATTGATTTTGTTCCACCAGCTCCACTGTCGAGTGACACTACATAGTGTAATACTTTTTGCGGACAATTTTAAAAAAAGGTGGGATTTTTTTATACTAAAATTTTTGATAAAGCCATCTCACACTTATTACGAAACGTGGCAACAGCGCTGATTTCTACAAGTGTCACCGATTGCACTGTTATACAGAATTATTATAAATGCTAATTTTAGCGTGGAGCTGGTGGAGTAAAAAGAAAAAATGGCTTGGACTGGAAAGGGTAGTATGATTGCTTTGGTATTGATAGATGGATTAAATGCACTTTTTTCTATAAAATATTGCCATTTGGGATATAGTGAGTATCAGCATTTGCTTCCACATTCATCATCATCGTCATATCAGCCGTTAACTGTCCACTGCTGAACATAAGCCTCCTATTGGGAGATTTTGCCAGTAGTTGCCATGTTTGGCAGGCGGTTCGGCAACCGCAGTATGACTTTGGTAATGTTTTAAGAGGGACGCTGCTGAACCTTGGACTTTAGTTTCTTAGTCGTCTTACGACATGCACGGAAAAGGAAGGGGTGGCCCATTCCAAGCCAGGACTGCGTGGTTTCCTAATTGCTTTTCAGTAATAAAAAAATATGTCAAAAATTTATATAAATAAGTTTTCGGTCATCGTAACCCTTTGCTGTTAAACAGTTTGGCCGAAATATTTCCGATTGAATTATTATTAACGGATGTATTTCCGATTGGATTGTAATTTGTACGATAGGTCTTCCTATTTGTATCGCTATAATGATATCGTTCAGTCGACGAATAGACTTTCGCATTCTCGTCCACTTCTTTTCATCTCAATATCGGCGATTGATTCGATTGAACAATTTTATTGGCGATTGAATAAGTATGTGGATCATAATGCTGGATTCATATGTTTGAACCAATCACAATTACAAACGTTTTGGGATTTGATTTTGTATGTTCGTTTGGGTAATGTGTATGTAGTGTTCTTAGTAGAATTGTTATATTTTAACTCTTTTTTTTTTTTTTTTTTATATATACGCATAAAATCTGCTAACTCTTTTAAACTAATAAATTTAATTTAAAAGGTGGTGTTAATTTGTATAGAAAGTGTATTTAAGGGCTTTAGGTATTTGGAAAACGTGTAAATCCAGCGTGAAGCCTAGTTCAGATTGCTTCAATGGAGTTAGTCGCTCAAATTGATAACTCCTTGACTAAAATCGAATAATTAATCGTGAATAATTTGTATTAAGTTTGAAATACATTTGTGACTACCCTCCCGATCTATGGTGGGTGTAAAGGTAACAAGTACCAGAGGGAGACTGTACAAAAGTCGTTTGCTTGGATACCTCTGTCCCATTCGTGTTTCTACCGTAAAGCAGTTGTGTTTGCATGGCTGTGTTTCGGTTTAAAGGATGGGATATGGCAGTGAATTTACAGGGTACAGAGGAATAACACCTGAGTCCTCAGGAATGGCAACGCATGGATGGTATCATGGGCGAAACAGTATACTCTGTTATGTCCACGGTACTGCTCATGTCTATAGGCGACTGTTACCACTTTCCATTAGGTGTGCCGTCAGCTTGTTTGCCATGCTAAGTTGTATAAAAAAAGTACATTTTGAGAGTAATACCCCATTCACAAAGTGAGTGTCGCTGCCACCAAGTTTGTTTTTATGGTGTTGGTAGTATTGCATTAGTTTTTAGTACAAATCGTACCATATTGCTTCTGTACTTGCCGCCTCTGTAATGTTAGATTTAACATTTTTATGTTAACCGTTTAATATTTGTATCGGAGATCAATAATTATATTAGATATAAACTAATCATGTCTTAGTATATAGAAATAAATTTATTTATAAAACTTAACGGTTTCTTATTTGAAATGCCTTATTTATTTACTTTTATATACTCGTTATTGCACCATTTAAAATATTATTTATATATTTTTTGGTGACCATACTTACGCTATCGATATACGCGGCCGGGGCACCAGTGAGGGATGATAAGCGAGGATGAGAGCAGGCCAGTTCAGGAATTAATACCCGAATTAGTTTCTTGGATGTTTACCTGACAGGTTAAATTGCTATCAGTGAGTGAATGATTTTTAATGGATGGAGAAAATTTGCTGGCAAATATGGAATTAGTAATAAGGAGGGTTAAAAAAGAGGAATTATAAAAACTATTGAGTACAGAAGGGGGAAAAATCTTGGGACATTTGATACTACACGACGAACTTATGAACATTATAATAGAAGGAAGGAGGGGGAGAAGGAGACCGAGACATAGTTACATCAGGCAGATCAAGGAAGGAGATGGTGTAGTGTATCGTATCAAGAGGTGAAGACTCGCTAAAAATCGTAGCGAGTGGCAAAGAGTTCCACCGAGAAGAGCGCAGCTTTCAAATTGGATATAAAAAAAGATGGGCTAAGGCAACAGTACCTGGTACGTTCTATTAAGTTGACGAAAGCAACCTAAAGTTATGACGTTAGTATCGCTACTAGCTTATCGTTTTATTAACAAAAAAAATGCGATAAATATATTTGACTTTGATACTTGTACAAAAGTCGATTGCTTGAGTACCTCTGTCCCATTCGTGTTTCAACCGTGAAGCAGTTGTGTTTGCATGGCTGTGTTTCGGTTTGAAGGGTGGGATATGGCGCGAATATACTGGGTACAGAGGAATAACATCCGAGTCCTCAGGAATGGCAACGTATGGGGGGGTAAAATGAGAGAAACGGTATACTGTTTTTATTAGGTGGGTCGTCAGCTTGTTAGTCATTCTAGTTTCATAAAAAAACTACAGTAAACCGCCTGTTTGTCTAGGTACGCTTATATTATAAAAATAAAGGATAGAATTATAATAGATAATTTCAAAAACTATTCGACTAATTTTTAAAAAATCTTCCATCTAAAAAAGCTACATTGTCGCTGATACAATAGGCAACATAGAATATATGTTATTTTAGAAAACTATCTACCCGTGCGAAGTTTTTTTTTTGTATGAAAATGGTAACTCCGCCTGCGCTAATGTGATACGCTGGTGGGGCGCTAGGTGATCGATGAGGATGAAAACAGGCCAGTTAGCCCATCATGATGAATTCATCAGGAATTAATCATGATAATTTCCAGGGGGAACCGCGAGGTGGTCGACCCGGTTGGGAATATTATTTATGTTTTATCATTTATTTTTCCCTATTAAAGTAAAAAGATTTTTTTTTATACAACTTAGAATGGCAAACAAGCTGACGGCCCACCTGATGGAAAGTGGTAACCGTCGCCTATAAACATGAGCAGTACCGTGGACATAACAGAATATACTGTTTCGCCCATGATACCCCCCATGCGTTGCCATTCCTGAGGACTCAGGTGTTATTCCTCTGTACCCAGTAAATTCACGCCATAGCCCACCCTTCAAACCGAAAATGAATACAACTAAACGATATTTGTACATAGCAAAAATGTTTATGCATTAATCCATCACACCAATCACCTTTATCCATTAGAGACTTCAATTACATATTATTATACAGAAATGGGTATATATTTGGTATTTAGTACCTATCGTATTACGAACCTGGCACGTCATAATCTTTCTTATCTCTCGCCACACGTGACCTGAGACGGGCACCTCTGGCTAGATTATGCGGAATGTCACCCACAAAAGCGCAGACGCTAAACATTTATTATTTTTCCCCAAATTTCAAATTGTTTTCTTCGAAAGGATACGTTTTTTTTTTCGTTTTTATCTAATCATGAAATTATATTGTCTGTTTTAAGAATTTAAAATTGAAAAGCTAACCAGGTTCTGTTGTATTTATCACAAGAACACATGGCCGTAGCAAGAGGGGGGGGGGGGGTCATTGAGGGGCAATGCCCTACCTTGGTGGGCAAGGCATTATTAGTAATGGGACTAGAGGCCCCGTTGCTAATAATATCAGTTCGACCTCCACACGGTTCCTCCTGGAAACCATTTTGATTGAATTTGATTTTTTATGAATTGATCACTATGGGCCAACTGACCTGCTTTCATCCCTCACTGGTGTGCCGCCAGTGTATACCGATAGCGCGGGCGCGGTTGCCATTCGATTACCTTCCTTGAAAAAAAAAAAGAAAACCCAAAGAGTATTTAATCAAGGTAAACTAGTACCGATAGGTACTTATTTTCCGGTATTATAAAGCAAAAAGAAGACACTTTTTATTATTGTTGTTTTTGTTTTGAAATTCGTCCAAAATGGACAGGCAAAGAGCATGGCCTACACAGCCTAGTCATAAGTTAATATCAATTCTTCAAAAATGGGGTGAAAATTATTTCATACGTTTCATAGGAGTTGTAACTACCACGCGTCAGAGTTCTTCATAAATACAATTCTTCTCATATGAAGTGGTTTCCATTTTAACTTACTCTTTATGTATAGGTTAATGATAAATTTATTTCGTAAAGTTATAGTTGTATACACAATAACTTTTTTAATAGTAAAATTGTAATTAGTAATTTAATTACTATATTAATTCAATGACAAGCCGTATTTTATTTTATTCACCCTTTTTGTAAAAGGATAGACAGGGAACAAAGCACATACAGCCTAGTTTGACTTGGTCATACTTATATTTTTTTTATAAACCGGTTTGTGTGCAGACTGGAGGTCATCGATAAGGAAAAAATGAGATTACTCACTACTTATATAACGCGGTACAAAAATTGTAGACACTCGGTGTTTGTTACACTGATGTAACTGGGTTTCCCGTCTTCGTTTGGGGGCATCCATTAATTACGTGAGCTCAGAATAGGGATAGGGAGGGGTCTAATAAATTCTCATCAAATCTCATTTAAACCGAGGGGGGGGGATAATCAAAAATCTCACGTCAACTTTAAAAAATATAAAATATTAAAGATATTACTAAAATATTAAAGATAAACGTAGACGTTTCCAGTGATTGTCTTCCTGCACTACTAGAAATCCCAGATGATATGTGTCCAATTATTTCGATTGAAAAAATACACGAGTCTCCATGGATTGAGTAAAAATTTAAAAGAAAGTGTTGTTTTTAGGTTTTTACTTTGAATTTTATTTAATTTAAATAAATTAATTATAGTATACCTGAACGATTTATTATTTTCCCGAATAATAATTAAGGTTAAAATATTTTTGGCGTCAATCTCACCTAAGGGGGGGGGGGGGTCAAGGCAAATCTCACTAAATCTCACCTAAGGGGGGGGTAGGAGTCTAAACTGATCGAAAAAGAGCTCACGTAATTAATGGATGCCCCCTTTTAAATAAAATGAGCATGGTTTTTTTTAATAATCCACTGTAAAGAGAAAAGTTTTTGTTGTTTGCTTGTTTGTTTTTTAATGGATAAATCCAAAAACTACTTAATTGATTTTAAAAATTCTTTCACGTATAGAATTGTACATTAACACAGTAACATTGTCAGTAAGTAACGTAAACTCCTATATTATTATTTCCTAAATTTCTATGCCCGTGTGCAGTCGGGCTGTGTGTCTAGTATTTTATAAAAAGTTGTGTATTATTATAATACCGAGGCGGCAAACAAGCATACGACCCACCTGATGGGGTGGGGGGGGGGGGAAGGGATTGTTAGTAATGGAGACTCAGAATCCCATTGCTAGCAATATACCCAACCAGGTCGAGCTCCTCGCGGTTCTCCCTGGAAACTATCATAGTTAATTCCTGATGAATTCATCATGATGGGCTAACTGGCCTGTTTTCATTCTCATCTATCACCCTTCACTGGTGCTCCGCCAGCGTATACCGTTAGCGCAGGCGGGGTTACTATACCATTTTCGCCCATAAAAAAAGACCCACCTGATGGTAAGTGGTTTCTTTTTTTTTAATGGATGATGATGGAATGCTAACTCTGCCTGTACTATTGGTATACACTGGCGGGGCAAAAGTGAAGGGTGATAGGTGAGGATGAAGTAGGCCAGTTAGCCCATGGTGATAAATTCACTAATGTATCAGTCATGATGGTTTCCAGGGGGAACCGCGAGGAGGTCGACCTGTGAGACTATATTGCAAACAATAGGGTTGCTAATCCTCATTACTAACTATCCCTTTTCCCACCGATGGTAAGTGGTTACTGTAGCCTATGAACGCTTGCAATACTAAGAGTATTACGCTCGCGAAGCCGACCCTTTTTTTATACCACTGAAGTGGGATAATTATGATTTTAAGGAAGCTAATGTTTATTTATATATTTATTGTACACTTTATTGCACTAAGTAAAAAGAAAAATAACAAATACAGTAAATATTAATGAGAAATGATACAAAAAGCGGCCTTATCGCTAAGCAATCTCTTCCAGACAACCTTTTGTTTTAACTTTTCGAGGGAAAAGTTAATAAATCGGATTAGTAACCCCATTACTAGCAATACATGGTGTATTGCTAGTAATGGGGTTCATCGTATCAGGTCGACCTCCTCGTGGTTATAATAAAGATTTCGCTGCGATATCAAATTGATAATTTAATTTTAGTAATAGATTTATAGAAATGACGCCTTAAATTTGATAACATTGTATTAAATTTTAGATGCATCAATTTGTGAACCGAGTTAACAATGTCATCAGCAGGCTACTGGAATAGTTGTTATTTATATTTTGCATCGTTGAATCAGTGATAGTCGTGTATCCGAGCTCTTTGTACGCGTTTCCTGAGACTTTTAATTAAAAAAGAAATAAGTCATATTTTTTTTTAATCGTGTTTACGTCTATGGTTTGAAATCAAAATGTAAATTTAATTTATTTAGTGTATTTAAATTTCAGTTATATATTATATTTGTATAAGTGTTAATAAATACAATTTTTATTATTGTATGTGTACTTAAGAATATTTGGCGGGAAGATGATTATAAATTTTCTTTTTATTATCTGTGCTGCCGTTGTCTCTGCGCAATATGAAGGTACGTTATAGATTTTTGTAATTGTTCGATTCCAGACAAATTATCTTTTTGAAGACTAGGCAGCATGGTCTCCGACCTTAGCCTGTTCCAAACGGAACAAACGTACTAAAAAAAAAAAAAAAAAGGTACGTTATATTTTTTTTTTTTTGTTTTTTTTTTTATTTCTTTTATTAATTTTACAGAAAGGAAGGGGTGATCTATTCTATGCCGGGACCACACGGACAAGTAATGACGTAGTAGTAGATTATAAATCTATGAAATAAACGGATTTAAAATGACATATCACATTAAATAATTAACTTATATTTAATGACACGATATCATTAAAAAATAATTTTAAACAACTATACAAGAAACACGTTCTACGCTCTTAATTATGTTGGGGAATTCCTTATGTTACTAAGATTATTGGACAGTATTTTTTCAAACAACTTGATAAAAATAAAATGACCATATTTGAATACTGCCCCTTCCTTTCACGTGGCTGTCGACGCACAATGGCCCAAATGAGAGGCTAAGTGCAGAAAATGGAGTCCCTTTCACGTGGCTGTCGTAAGAGGCGACTAATAGAACTAAATGGTTCAGGAATGGGCAGAAGCGTAATAGTAATAAATTTATTTGCATTAAATAGGGTATTTTTTTTTAATGGGTGATAATGGAATAGTAACCCCGACTGCGCTATCGGCATACGCCGGCGGGGCACCAGTGAAGAATGATAGGTGAGGATGAAGCAGGTCAGTTGGCCCATCGTGACGAATTCGACGAGTGTCACTCGACAGTGAAGCTGGTGGAACAAAATCAATGTCGAGTGACACTCGATATTGGAGTGGAAAGGGTTGAAACATCCACAAAACCTAACTGCGGTTGACAACGCACTTGCTAAGTGAAGTAGATAGATAGATAGATAATTTATTTGCATTACTTACAGCACACAAACAGCAAAAAATACAAAAGCAAAGTGAAAAAAGATAAAAAAAGATACATGTACAAAAGATTAAAAAAAAAAACAACAAAAACAAAATCAGAATGCATAAAATTAGTAAAAAAACTTTTTTCTTCATGCGTATGCCACAGTAATACAAAATGGCCACAACTCAGTTTTTTGCTTCGCCCTAAAAAGAGCAAAACACTGATATTCTGTTGTGGCCAAGAGCGAGCCGCGAAATATCACCAAAAAAAAAAATAATAAAAGAGAAAGAAATACAGATCAAATACATAGTGTGCGTTCGTTATATTCGCTATATTTGCTAAAGTAACTACTGCCATAACCCTGGGGGAGGCATATGTTCAGGAGTGGACAGTTAACGGCTGAATAGACAATGATAATGAGGGGGGGGAAGGGATTGTTAGTAATGCAGACTACCAATTTCATTGCTAGCAATTATACCCTGTCAGTTCAACCTCCATATCTCCCTGGAAACCATCGTGCTGAATTCCAGGTATATCAATCACGATGGGCTAACTGACCAGCTTTCATTCTCACCTATCATCCCTCACTGGTGCTCCGCCAGTGTATACCGATAGCACAGGCGGTGTTACCATTCCATTATCATCCATTAAAAAAAGTACAAAGTAGAGACTAAAAGGTAGTGTGGTATTTTTTTTTTACAGGTGAATCTTGCGTCAAAGATGGAGTAGCTGGGACATGCATCAATATACGAGACTGTCAGTCTGCTTTGGATGATTTTAAGAACCGAATACCACCACAGGTAACACTACTTTTAATTAATTTTTTTACGATTTTGTACACAAGTCGTTTTTTTTTGATGGGTGAAAATGGTATGGTAACCCCGCCTGCGTTAACGGGACACGCTGGCGGAGCACCAGTGGAGGGTGATAGATGAGAATGAAAACAGGCCAGTTAGCCCATCATGATGAATTCAACAGGAATTAACCATGATAGTTTCCAGGGGGAACCGCGAAGAGGTCGACCTGGTTGGGTATATTGCTAGCAATGGGATTCTCAGTCTCTATTACTAACAATCCCTTTCCTCCCCTACAAAAGTCGTTTGCTTGGTCACCTCTGTCCCATTCGTGTTTTTACCGTAAAGCAGTTGTGTTTGCATGGCTGTGTTTCGGTTTGAAGGGTGAGATATGGCAGTGAATTTACAGGGTACAGAGGAATCACACCTGAGTCCTCAGGAATGGCAACGCTCAATGGGTATCATGGGTGAAACAGTACACTCCGTTATGTCCACGGTACTGCTCATGTCTATAGGCGACGGTTACCACTTTACATCAGGTGGGCCGTCAGCTTGTTTGCCATTCTATATTGCATAGAAAAAATAACATTACCTTTTATTATCCAGAGATGCGGCTTCTCCGGCTTCGACATCATGGTGTGCTGTGTAAACAAGCAGAACCCATCACCAGCTGCGACCACAACAACACCCCGGCCACAAGTTACCACTACCACGAAGAGGTAAGCCACTATCCTCTCCATCCATACCAACCACCCATCTCGCTAACGACTACTAGTAAACAGGAGGGGGTGGGGGGGGGGGGAGGAATTGTTAGTAATAGCGTTTTTAATTAATGATATTGGAACTGTACCCCGAATGCGCTATCGGTGTACATTGGCGGGGCACCAGAGAGGTATGATTAGTGAGAATAAAAAGGCAGGTCGGTTAGCTCATTGTGACGAATTCAACGATAAATTAATCACGATGGTATTCAAGGAGAAGCGCGTAGAGGTCAACCTAATAGGGCATATTGCTAACAATGGGGCAGTCAAACTCCATTGCTAACAATCCTTTCCCCCCCCCTTAGTTATGGAGTTAGAATGGTGACCCCTTCTGCGCGAACGGAATACGCTGGCGGAGCACCAGTGAGAGGTGATAGGTGAACATAAAAAGGCAGGTCAGTTAGCCCCTCGTGACGAATTTAATCATGATGGTTTCCAGGGAGAACCGTGTGGAGGTCGACCTGATAGGGTATATTGATGGTAATAGGAACTAACCTCCCCATTAGTAATAAACAGTAATGGGGTATAGCTCTTTCATTGCTAGCAATACACCCTGTCAGGTCGATCTCCCCAGCCATCCTATCTTGAAAGAGGAGACCTGCCCTTACCATCAGGGGGCGGGTCGCTGTTGGAGATGTGGTGAGTGCGAAAGCGAACCCATGTCTCCGACATATGACAGACAATATATCGAGGGTATATTGTCTGGTATTGGTGGGTACACCCCCACCTTACGGGGGGATTCCCACAGTACCCATTCACCTCCCACAAGGTGCATAAAGCATTTTTCAGAGGTAAAAAAAGGTCGATTTCCTCGCGGTCAATCCTGAAGGTCACCCATTCTACGCCGGGATCACACGGTGTTATAAAAAAAAAAATGTATACTTAAACATAAATAATTATATATGAAAATGACCTCTCATCATACTAATATCTTATAATATTTAAATAAGGCATATTTTCCTCAATAAATATGGAAACAGATAAACGGAACCGGTTTATAACGAGGTCGATTATTGTGTAAATTAAATGTTCAATTGAGAAAATATGTAGGCACCTATAATTTTCAAAGCGCTACAAAATAATTTATTATTTTGTTCCACGATTTATTACACTGAGCTCTTCATTGTTCTAATAATTTCAATTCATATGCACGAAGGGACTTCTTTCATTATCCACAGTTTACATGAGTTTTATTTAATTATAATTACTACATTGTATAACTATACTATAATTAGAAATGTAAAACACACACACACACACACACACACACACACACACACACACACACACACACACACACACACACACACACACACACACATGTGCACGCCAGCACTAACACGTTCACACGCACGCACGCACACACGTGCGCACGCATACACACACACACACACACACACACACACACACACACACACATGTGCACGCACGCACTAACACGTTCACACGTACACACGCACGCACGCACACACGTGCGCACAGACGCACGCACGCATACACACACACACACACACACACACACACACACACACACACACACACACACACACACACACACACGCACGTGCGCACGCGCACACGCACGCACGCATGCACGCATGCACGCACGCACGCACGCACGCCCGCACGCCCGGACACAGGCACGCACACGTACACACGCACACACAATGAATAATCTATACGTACATTTACAAAATATTATTTATTTTATTTAAACTTTAATGCACTATAAAACTATGTATGTATGTACATATGGCGGACTGAACACCGGACGGTGTTCTCTACCAGTCGACCATTGGGCGAACAGAGAAATAAGGAGGCGGTGCATTATTGAATAGAGGAAACATAAAAATAAAATACTATTGCGCATTTTTCATATTATTGATGTTTATTTATGAGGAAAGGGGTCTAGTGATCTAAGACACAGGCAGCTCGCTGCCCAGTTTAGACGCCAGTCTACCACAACTATGTTTAGTTACATGGTATTGTTGCCAAATAAATTGTAGTTTGGTTGTGGTGGAGAGATAAAAAATGGTATTATTATTAAATTACATTAGTGTAGAAAGATTGACTGACAATGGAACTCAAACTGTTTTTTTTTTTACAACTTAAAAAGGCAAACAAGCTGACGGCCCACCTGATTGAAAGTGGTAACCGTCGCCTATAGACATGAGCAGTACCACGGACATAACAGAGTATACTGTTTCGCCCATGATACCCCCCATGCGTTGCCATTCCTGAGGACTTGGCTGTTATTCTTCTGTACCCTGTAAATTCACTGCCATATCCCACCCTTCAAACCGAAACACAGCCATGCAAACACAACTGCTTTACGGTTGAAACATGAATGAGACAGAGGTACCCAAGCAAATGACTTTTGTACAAAGTCTCCCTCTGGTAAATGTATATACCGTATAACCCTACCAAATACAGATACAACCCGCTTGCATACTTTCTACATAAACTGTGTCCAATATATAATCTAGTAATGTAAAATTTGTCATTGACAAACAATTGACATATCAAACATTTTCTATACACTAGCCTGCTATGAATTGAGAAAAATTACCACTGGTGGTGTATCTTTCGTCTTCTTTTTACTAATTATATTTGCATAAGAAGAAAGGAGGCAACCATATGATGTACAGTTTTTATTTTATCATTACTTCTATGTAATTCCTTGTTTTTAAAGTAGATTTTTTTTGATGGGTGAAAATGGTATGGTAACCCCGCCTGCGCTAACGGGATACGCTGGCGGAGCACCAGTGAAGGGTGATAGATGAGAATGAAAACAGGCCAGTTAGCCCATCATGATGAATTCATCAGGAATTAACTATGATAGTTTTCAGGGAGAACCGCGAGGAGGTCGACCTGGTTGGGTATATTGCTAGCAATGGGATTCTCAGTGTCCGTTACTAACAATCCCTTTCCCCCCTAGAGTAGATATTAGATGTCAATGAATTACGTATTTCCTTTTTCTTTCCAATCTTATAAAAAATAACCTTTCAGAACCACAACAACCACGGAAGAATACCAGCCAGAGGTCAACGACTATGTTGATAATGAGACCGGGCAGAAGATAGGGGCCAGCACCGGCTCCTGCGCCCCGCTACCACCGTCGCAGACGGCTGAAAAGATTGGCAAGAAGGCCTGGGACAGTGAGTATATTTTTGTTGTCAAATACATTGTCAGTTCTGTAGGTAGAGTTTAATATAGATAGATTGACAGATAGATAGATACTCTTTATTGTTTCCTCAAAAAAATTACAATAGTAAATATAAACAACTAGCGGCCCGGTACGTGCTTCGTGTATAAAGTTAAATTATATATATATATATATATATATATATATATATATATATATATATATATATATATATATATATATATATATATATATATATATATATATTTGGATGGATAGGAGTAATTAAGTGATATAGGTACGTTATATAGATTCAAAATTCAAAATTCAAAAATCATTTATTCATGTAGGACATTTTAGCCGCTTATGAACGTCAAATTTTTACATTATAATTTTATATTTACCCTACCGTCCAGTTCGGTATATAGGTCCAATTGAGAAGAACTGGCAAGAAACTCAATTGAATTACTTTTTTTTTTTTAAAGCCAGTTTATTTACAATGTATATTTATATAGGTGTCTATGTCTAATGTTAAATGAAAATTCAGTGCATGAACAACTATTGCCATGCACACTCGTCATTCAAGTAATCGTTTAGTGAGTAATAGGCTTTGCTCAGTAAATATGATTTAACAGATGTTTTGAATTTATTTAAGGGTAATTCCAACATATCCTTTGGTATCTTATTGTAAATTTTTATACCTATTCCCATAAAAGACCTATTAACTTTTTCTAAACGATACTTGGGGACAGCAAGTTTGTCTTTAAATCTAGTATTAATATTATGAATATTGCTGTTTTTTGGAAATAAGTCAAGATTTTTATGAACATATAGAATATTTGAATATATAAATTGAGAAGCAACGGTGAGAATATTTGCCTCTTTGAATTTCTCTCTTAATGAGTCACGACTCTTCATACAGTAGATCGCTCGAACGGCACGTTTTTGTAATATGAATATATTCTTAATATCTGCCGCTTTTCCCCATAGTAATATTCCATAAGAGAGTAAACTATGAAAATAACTAAAATAGACTAATCTAGCAGTATCAGTATCAGTGTACTGTCTAACTTTACGCACGGCAAAAGCTGCTGAACTTAGTTTCGCTGCAAGGCTTTGAATTTGTGCACCCCATTGTGTTTTATTATCTAGTGTGATTCCTAGAAAGACAGTAGATTCTATAAATTCGAGAGATTCGTCATTTAATTTAATATTGCAGTTAGTATTAAAACTTTTAGATAGAGAGAAATTAACACATTTTGTTTTTTTAGCGTTTAACATAAGATTGTTAGTTGTAAACCAGTGCAGGAGACGCCGCAAAGCACTATTTACATCGTCATAATTATTAGTCATTCTATTAACTTTAAAAATCAATGAAGTATCTTCTGCAAACAATACTATGCCGCATCTATCCTGCTTTTTACATGCTGATTACATGCCCTATCCAATATGTGCAGTGTTGCCGATCTTCTATCGGCGGAAGATCGGCAACATATTTTACTTTCTGTAATGCGCTTCATTTAACGACTTGTAGGCGCCGTCTGCTCGCATTGGTAATCCATATTTAAACTAGCTGTCCATGGCTTCCCCCACGTCAATCAGTTTATGAATTATGACGTGCGTTAACTAGCTTTCTACCGCGGCTATGCTTATTTGAATTAGTACATAAAGTATATTATTTATTAAGTAGGATATATTCTATCTGTGTAGCAAATTTTATTCGAATTCATTCAGCTTTTTAAGTATAACTAATAAATGTAACAAATATCCAAACATCTTATTTAATATTTTAGTAAGATGTGTTTAGTGGATGTGTGGATAAAGTGGATGCGTTTATCCAATCTCTGGATGAATGAAAACTTTTTATTATTCCCAGATTACAAAGATTAACAATATATACACAAACAAAATGGACACTTAATTACATAAACTTAATTGCATAAAAGCAAGATATAGAGGCAACAATGGGCGGCGTTATCGCTAAATATCGATCTCTTCTAGGCAACCTGAGCAATCTCTATATATTCTTATTCTATTTTTCCATCGCGTAAATCATCATCAGTAATAATCATTCATGGAACAAATTTGAAACCAACGCTGTAAGATTTAACTGTCGACTTTTAATGTAGCTGCAACTTTCTGTCGCCGATCTTCCGCCGTAGATGATCGGCGACCGTAAATGTATAATGCTATGTGCGATGCTAGCCTATGAGTGTATCTTATCCTCAGTGTGTGTGGAGTACCAGCAGACCCTGGTATACCCGTGCGAGAAGTCAGTAGTCCTAACTGGTGCCCTGGGACGAGCTAACTATTGCAACCACAATGCTGACGAACTGATCATTGGTGGTGAAGATGCTGCTAAGAACGAGTTTCCTCACATGGTAACATATCTGTATTTCTTTTTAATCCAACTGGGATGCACAGAGGGAGACTTTATACAACTTAAAATGGCAAACAAGCTGACGGCTCACCTGATGGAAAGTGGTAACCGTCGCCTATAGACACGAGCAGTACCATGTACATAACAGAGTATACTGTTTTGCCCATGATACCTCCCATGCGTTGCCATTCCTGAGGACTCAGGTGTTATTCCTCTGTACCCAGTAAATTCACGGCCATATCCCACCCTTCAAACCGAAACACAGCCATGCAAACACAGCTGCTTCACGGTTGAAACACGAATGGGGCAGAGGTACCCAAGCAATCGACTTTTGTACAAAGTCTCCCTCTGGGCTTATTGTACACACTTGTAATATATTAAATATATGACAGAGGTAATCAAATGTACAAAGGCGAGCTTAACTCTAAAAGAGTTCTCCTCCAGCAACACCCAAATTGGAAAGGAGGTTCAGTGTCAAATGACTATGTTATATTCCCAGGCGTTGCTCGGCTACGGACAGCCACCGGACATCAAGTGGCTGTGCGGCGGTACAGTCCTCAGTGATCGATTCATCCTGACTGCTGGACATTGCATAGCACACAGAGACTGGTATGATATTATTTATTTATTTATTTATTTATTTAACTCCTTATTGCACCATAAATTTTGTTTATTTATATACCATGACTGGAGGAATCGAATTAGCAATGACGAGGTCCTGCTTAGGGTTAAGGAAAAAAGACAAATTATTAGAACTATTGAGGACAGAAGAAACTTGTGAACATTATAATAGAAGGTAAGATAGAAGGAAGGAGGGGGAGAGGGAGACCGAGACATAGTTACAGCAGGCAAATCAAGGAAGGAGTTGGTGTCGTGTCGTATCAAAAGGTGAAGAGACTCGCTGACAATCGTAGTGAGTGGCAAGAGCTCCACCGACAAGAGCGCATCTCTTAAATAGGATAGATAGATATACAATGACAAGTGAATAATTCAAGTGTAATACAGTAACATAAATACAGATTGAAATATACACATAAAGGTACAAAAGGCGGTGTTATCGCTAGGGTGATCTCTTACAGACAACCTTTGGTTGAAGGAGAACAGATAGAAGTGGTCAGGTGGCGCAAGAGTGGATTAATGATTTAATTATCAGCCTTTTACCGTCCACTGTTGAACATAAGCATCCCCCTTGGGGAGTTTTGTCAGTAATTTCCACGTTTGGCAGGCGAATAGGCAACCGCAGTTAGGCTTTAGAGATGTTTTAAGAGGGACGCTGCTGCCCATCTCTCGTCCTCCCTTACTTGCCTCTTACGACACCCACGGGAAAGGAAGGGGTGGCCTATTCTATTCCGGGAACAATACGACCCATTAATAATTTATTTCCTTTCTTCTAATTTGTTTTTATACCACTTTGGTGGCAAACAAGCATACGGCCCACCTGATGGTAAGTGGTTACCGTAGCCTATGAACACCTGCAATACCAGAGGTATTACGCGCGCGTTGCCGACCCTGAAGAAACCTCTTTACCCCCCTTTTGAAGAACCCCATGCTGTAGTCTCTTGGGAAAACCTCGGCAGAGAGCTTATTCCATAACCTGAGTGTTCGTGGGAGGAAACATCTCTGAAACCGCGCTGTACGCGACCATTGAGGCTGTAGGACATGAAAGATAAGATGGGGCTCGTGAGCCCACGAATAACTCATTCATGTTTACTTTAAACTAAAGTAAATTATATAACTAGCGGCCCGTCCCGGCGTCGCACGGGTGGACATTTTTACATTTTAAAAAGTGGCCATTAAGGCTGCACACGCGACGGAAGCTTAAAAATGCAGTAACTTCTCCTGTTTTCCCAACATTTCCCTTCACTGCTCTGCTCCTATTGATCGTAGCGTGATGAAAAGTATAATATAACCTGCCCAGGAGTATGAACAATAATTGTACCAAGTTTCGTTAAAATCCGTCGAGTAGTTTTTGTTTCTATAACGAACATACAGACAGACAGACGTAAAATTTTACTGATTGCATTTTCGGCATCAGTATCGATCACTGATCACCCGCTGATAGTTATTTTGGAAATATATTTCATGTACAGAATTGACCTCTCTACAGATTTATTATAAGTATAGATTTGCCCATAACAGAATATCAGTGTTTTGCTCTTTTGAGGGCAAAGCAATAAACTGAGTTGTGACCATTTTGTGTTACTATGGCACACGCATGAAAGAAGGAAATTGTTTTATATATTTTGCTTTTTTTTTGTTGCTTTTTTGTTTTTCATTCTTTTATCTCTTTCACTGTGTATGTCTGTATTGTGTGTATGTTTGTATTGTTATTTGTGTGCTGTAACTAATGTAAATAAATTATCTATCTATCTATCTACAATAGATACAATATGGCAACCCTGCATACAAGTGTAACGTTTGTTTTGTCAAGGGGCAACGTAACCTATGCCGTTGTGGGCATCCTGAAGCGTAGTGAAGTGGACAACGCCAAGATAGTGGGGTTGAAACGCATCATCAAGCACCCTGATTACCACCCGCCGGCGAGGTACAACGATATCGCGCTCCTCGAAGTGGAAACGCCGTAAGTCCATTCATCGCAATTAATTTAATTTAATTTAGTTTAATTCAATTCAATTCAATTCAATTTAATTTAATTTCCTTTCATTTCATTTCACTTCATCTCATCTCATCCCATCCCATCCCATCCCATCCCATTTTTTCATATTCCATCCCATCCCATTCTTTCATATCCCATCCAATTCTATCGCATTCTATTCCATTCAATCTCATTTCATATCATTACATCTCATTCCATCTAATTCCATCCCATTCCATCACACCCTATCCCACTCCAAATCACTCAATCCCATTCTATCCCATTCCATCTTTATATAGGACTTCTTTGTATATGCATGCTAGTTACTTTCCACGATGGTCGTCGGATCGCTTCGCAATATTTCCAAAATGCCTTTTTTTTTGTACAAGTAGGTATGACAGTATTGTATAATTTATAGGTTACAGAGGAATAACATCTGAGTCTTCAGGAATGGCAACGCATGGTGGTTATCATGGGCGAAACAGTATACTCTGTTATGTCCACGGTACTGCTCATGTCTATAGGCGACGGTTACCACTTTCCATCAGGTGGGCCGTCAGCTTGTTTACCATTCTAAGTTGTATAAAAAAAAATACTGAAGTATTTTCTGTTAATATAGATTCAAGTTGGGTCCAACAGTGATACCGGCTTGTTTACACATCGGAGACTCGGTGAACGATGACCGGGCCTCGGCTACGGGCTGGGGGGTAACCGTCAACCGCGGCACGGTCGAAAACAACGCGGAGACCTTGCAGAAAGTAAGTATTGTCTATGGTTTTTTTTTAATGGGTGATAATGGAATGGTAACCCCACCCGCGCTATCGGTGTACACCGGCGGGGCACCAGTGAAGGATGATAGGTGAGGATGAAGCAGGTCAGTCAGCCCATCGTGACGAATTCAACAAGAATTGTTCACGATGATTTCCAGGGGGAACCACGTGGAGGCCGACCTAATAGGCCATTTTGCTGGCAATGGGGCTGTCAAACTCCATTGCTAACAATCCCATTCCCCCTTGTATTGTCTATGGAGGATGTTTTAGAAATAAGGTTTAGAATTAGTAAGGTAACTCATTACCATCTTGGTACTACTATCAACACCTGCAATATCAGGAGTATTACGCGCGCGTTGCCGACCCTGAAGAAACCTCTTTACCCCTTTTTTGAAGAACCCCATGCTGTAGTCTCTTGGAAATACCTCGGCAGGGAGCTCATTCCATAACCTGAGTGTTCGTGAGAGGAAACATCTCTGAAACCGCGCAGTACGCAACCATTGAGACTGTAGGACATCAGGATGAACTCCCTATCGATGGCGAGCCGTACGATGGTAGAAAGTGGCTGTGGGCATCATATTGAACAAATCAATATTATCATATCAGCTTTTAACTGTCCACTGCTGAACATAAGCCCCCCTTGAGGGGTTTTGCCAGTAGTTGCCACGTTTGGCAGGAGGATTGGCAACCGCAGTTAGGCTTTGGAGATGTTTTAAGAGGGACGCTGCTGCCCATGCCTCGCTCTCCCTTAGTCTCTTACGACACCCACGGGAAAGGAAGGGGTGGGCTATTCTATGCCGGGACCAGACGGGACAATGTACTCTCCCTTTATAATATTAATAAAAAATATGTTCACACTTTTGTTTAACAGGTCATCATAAAAAAATTCGCTCCGGACGAGTGTAGAACGAAGTTTCCCAAAAACCGTCACATGAAGCGAGGTTTAGACGACAGCACCCAGATATGTTACGGTGATAAGGAGTCCAACAAGGACACCTGTCAGGTAAAGGCTTACTTTATTTATTTACTTAACCAGAGGGAGACTTTGTACAAAAGTCGTTTGCTTGGCTACCTCTGTCCCATTCGTGTTTCTACCGTGAAGTAGTTGTGTTGGCATGGCTGTGTTTCGGTTTGAAGGGTGGGATATGGCGTGAATTTACAGGGTACAGAGGAATAACACCCGAGTCCTCAGGAATGGCAACGCATGGGGGGTATCATGGGCGAAACAGTACACTCTGTTATGTCCACGGTACTGCTCATGTCTATAGGCGACGGTTACCACTTTCCATCAGGTGGGCCGTCAGCTTGTTTGCCATTCTAAGTTGTATAAAAAAAACGTATTAAAATCCTACCACGACGCACGGAATCAGCTGTGTAAGGTCAACGCTCCGAGCGTACGACACTACGTACGAAGAAGCGCCACTGACCGCACGGTGTAGGTATCACGCGTCGTGGTAATCGTAATATTTCAAATACATTGCGCGGCGTCAACACTAAGTATCGCTAATTATACGGCTGCGGTGCATTACCGGCGGGAGAACAATCTGCCATCTGATTCAGAGCATTCATCTGAATCAGCTGTTTTCGTTTTCGCCAACCTGTCCCTTACACCCTGTATAATACTAACTGATGCCCGTGATTCCGCTTGGCACTACTACTGCCCACTCACTACTTCCTATGCCACTGTGTTAGGTTGACTGGAAGAGATCTCTTTTAGAGGTAAGTTCGCCTTTGCTAACGTTGTTATTAACTTATTGTTACTGTATGTTTTAGTGCAATAAAGATAATAGTTTTTTTAATATATTTCTCAAACATGCTTGGAAATGTGAGCATTATTTTGACAATCGTCTTCGAGATAAATCAAAATTGCCGTACTGGCCAGATACATGCGGGCAGCAGCCGGCAAAAGTATCCATATCTGTCGTGTTTGAATGGAAAAATGGAATGACCTTTTACTTCAAAACATGGCTACCAAGGAGTTAACTAATAAAAGGTTTTATTTAAATTTCGAACTGGCTTGCAAATAGAAAGCTATTTATTGAAAAAAAAAACAAAGGAACATTATGGTGCGTGAAAAATTATTATTGTTCGTTAGTCGTCATTGAACTTAAAAAGTAAAATTGTGTTTTTGATTTCCGCTCATTGTTTGAGAAAAGTACTATACAAGCCTTGGCCACAACTAGGCATTGATGGAATCACGTATGTGTACCTCGGCTACGCCTCGGCCCACATTTGCACGTTCGTCCATCAATGCCTCAGTTGCTGGCCGCTGTAATAATGTACTATATATTAAAAAGCCATTAAAAAAATCTGATTGCAGGGCGACAGCGGATGTCCACTCCAAATCAAGAGTAAGAAAATCAACTGTATGTATGTCGTAATAGGGGTGACGTCATTCGGAAAGGCTTGTGGCCAGCCCGGTGAGCCTGGCATATACACCCGCGTCGTCAACTACGTACCCTGGATCGAAAGTGTGGTTTGGCCATAAGAATAATTAATTTAAAATGAAAGAAAAAAATAAATAAAACATTGCCAAGAACAAAAAAGGTTACATTAATAGAAAACAAACCAGAGGGAGACTTTGCACAAAAGTCGTTTGCTTGGGCACCTCTGTACCATTCGTGTTTCTACCGTGAAGCAATGGCGACACCTGATGGAAAGCGGTAACCGTCACCTATAGACATGAGCAGTACCATGGACATAACAGAGTATACTGTTTCGCCCATGATACCCCCCATGCGTTGCCATTCCTGAGGACTCAGGTGTTATTTCTCTGTACCCAGTAAATTCACGCCACATCCCACCCTTCAAACCGAAACACAGCCATGTAAATACAGCTGCTTCATGGTTGAAACACGAATAGGACAGAGGTACCCAAGCAATTGACTTTTTGTACAAAGTCTCCTTCTGTCTAAAGTCTAAGTTTACTTGCATAAAAATATTTCTTTCTTTCTTTCATATTTATTATTGCCAATATGGCCGCCACACACCATGTGTTGCAGCAAATTTAGTTATTTCATTAAGTTCTTAATACACTTTCAATAGAAGTAATTGAAAATGTAACCGCGTCTCGTTGTAACCACCCCGGGAGCACTGTCCGAGTGTAATCAGTGACGGGTCGAGACGTCCAGTCGATCGGTCGCCGTTTGATTTGTACTGCTGGTGGACATTAGCGGACTGGCTTACGGGCGGGACGAGTTTATAATAATAGTAATTTATTTGGAACAAAAACATTGGTATAATAATAATAATATTTATTAGGTCAAAAAATACATGTTTCAATTTTACATTTGTTCCCAAAACTTCACACTAGGATTCCCTGTGTCGTGAAGTCTTGGGCCCTCTTCTACTATTGGTATTACAATATTATTTAAAAACGATGATATACGCAGAAGTATGAAACTGTGTCGCGAATATCAACGCCCTCCTCGTTATTGCAGGATTCCAAAACGGACCAATTAAAACGTATAGTAATTGTTACATCAACGAAGACATTTGTTTGTATCTAGCAACTAACCAACTGCAATACTAAATAATAACTCTAAACTACAATAAATAAAAAAAAAATGAAAATTTAAATAATTGTTTTTTTTTTTTGTTGGTTGAAAATGGTATAGTAACCCCGCCTGCGCTAACGGGATACGCTGGCGGAGCACCAGTGAAGGGTGATAGATGAGAATGAAAACAGGCCAGTTAACCCATCGTGATGAATTCATCAGGAATTAATCATGATAGTTTCCAAGGAGAACTGCGAGGCGGTCGACCTGGTTGGGTATATTGCTAGCAATGGGATTTTTAGTCTCTATTACTAACAATCCCTTTCCCCCCTAAATTATTATGTTTGTTTATATATTTTTTTCAAGTTTTATTGTAAGAAATTTTTTTAACTTAATAAAGTAAGTACATATTAAGAATATTTCTTAGCAAGAGTTGGTTATGTCTATATTCTGCTTAGAAATGTATTTTTATATTAATTATTTTTTTTTTTTTTTATATTTCTACCTGTATATTGAATAAAATGTATGCTAAAATATATTAATGCTATTTTTATTTCACCATGTCTTCCCGGTATAGAATGAGCTACCACTTCCTTTCCCGTGGGTGTCGTAAGGCGACTAAGGGAACTTAATGGTAGAGAGATACGCAACAGAGTCTCTATTATAACAGTATCAAAGCCTAACTGCGGTTGCCAAACTGCTTGTCAAGCGTGGCAACTACTGGCAAACCCCCCAATAGGAGGAGACCTATGTTCACCAGTCACGGCTGACGATACATATTATGCTTATCATATTGTCTACTCTGTTCTTTAAAAGTTCCCTCTTGTTGGTGCAACTATTTCATGCATTCTCTTCCAGCCATCTTAGGCCTTCTATCTTAGGCCATATCTTTGACCTCCCTATACCATAGTTTATTCAATAGGTGATAATGGAATGGTAATCCCACCCGCGCTATCATTATACACCGGCGGGCACCAGTAAAGGATGACAGGTGAGGATGAAGCAGGCCAGTTAGCCCACCGTGAAGAATTCAACAAGAATTGTTCACGATGGTTTCCAGGAGGAACCACGTAGAGGTCGACCTAATAGGGCATATTGCTAACAATGGGGTAGTCAAACTCCATTGCTAACAATTCCTTTCCCCCCACACTATACCATAGTACCTACCTAATGTTTGAGAACGTCGGAAGGTGAGGTAATGTATCGATTACCATGGCGGTTAAGGGTGTGAAGTCAAGGTCTCAGATTCCAGTTAGTTCGTCACAAAATCTAGTGAAGGTATTTGGAATGCCTACAAATCAAAAACACATTCACAGTAAAATAAAATGTATTCTCTCCTAAAATATAATAGAAAGAATCATTCTGCGGAACTAAATATATCTAATATTAATTTGTAAAATGAACAAAATATGTATTATGCTAAATAGTTTCTATTAAAATAGGTAACTACAGTATTTAAGTTCTAATGTTGCTGACGTAAATTTAGAATAACATTTTGAACATCAGTTTGACGTTTCGAATGGCGGGAATTGTTAAATTGAGGATCATCTTTTTTTTTTAATAATCATAAACAGATTCAAGCAATTTTAATTTTTTTATACACAGCCATGTTTTGATGATTTTTCAATGTTATATTAGTAAAAAATATATATAATTTTTAAACAAAAACGTCAACTCTTTTTAATCTTTGCAAAAAAAGTATATAGAAATATCATAAAAAATTTTTTTGATGATGTTATTAATTTTTTTTTATTGGAGGATTCAATGCAAAATTTTAAATTAAATTATAAATTATAATAGGTTGATGTTAAGAATTGGAAAAAAATGTATGTCTGACATTACGTATATTTGTCGTCTATTTAGTCATCTTTTTTTTTAACAGTCGAGTACATTATTTCTCTGTTTATGACAATTTTTACTCGGTATATTTTTATAGCATAATCTTGTACATTCCTATGCCTATTTTGGTTTATAGGTAATAGTTGTGTGCCCATTTCAAATAAACTGATATGTTATTTCTTTTTACATTTACATATTTCCATTTAATGTTTACAAATTAAATAAAAAGATTGTAATTTCTTAGCAGTTTTAAATACCTGCTAAGTTGCATTCTGTTGATGACGGTGTTCCGAAGGCATACCAATAAAACTGCTAAAATATGATAATTTCGAAACGGTCTGCATAAATATATAAAAAAAGGCAAACTTCTTTTTTTTATACTTTATTTTTTATTTGTCATTCGCAAATGGAATGGTAATAAATTTTGTATTTAATATGTTTATTTCGAATTTTGCTGGCATTGGAGTCAAATAAAATCGTTTATCGTACAAAAACTTGATCGTAAAAAGAAAGATTTAAATATTTATTCATTTTTAGAGAACGGGCTTTATCTCGCACAGCCTTGACTGCATTTTTTTTTCTCAAACTAGTTAGAATTAGATAATTTGTAATAAGAAACTATCATTAAACAGCCATATTTTATTTTGAAATTATATGAAACAATGTTGTATAAATACATTTTAGGCAACAATATAATACTTACAATAAGGGTTCTTTGGCATTAAATAATATAGTTATATTATATTGGTTACTTTGTAGTGTTAATAGATATTCAAAATTTATTTGTAAAATTGTTTTTTTTTTTTTTATTAATATGATATATGTGTTTAGGTAAATACAATGATATAAACAATTTATCTATTAACACTACATTTATACCATTCTCATTAATTTAAAATCTTTTATTAAGTATTTAAAATAAATTTTTATTTATTACATTATGAACAAATTTAACTATCAACGTACCTACGATTATATTTTATGAAAACAACAAAAAATATCAATTTCCTTGCTCTATGGTCTTTCTTTGTAATTTACAACACGATTTAATATTTCGAAAATATCTATTAATCTGAAACTGTATTAAGTCATTTGTTAAAAAAAAAACACTGGAAATTCATAATAATCTGTGGATTTACGCGCGAAAAATAGCAGCGCATACAGTAAGTACTTAGATTATTTCGATAGCTGTATAAAGTTGATTCATTTGAGCAATTACTCCGATTATTATTTCTGATCACCTTCACACTGTTTAGTTGTTTCGATTGTCGAAATTAATAAATAATTAAGTTCGTTAATAACTACTCAGACCAAAATAGACATTTTTAAAAATAGGTACGTAGATACATCCCTTGTTTATGGTTTAAAACAATTTGACTACAGTTCATAAAGAATTACAGAGTACTTAACTATTTCAAATATTTTATTGAATTAAAGAGGTACATTTATTAGTATAAAATTTCTCTATTTATAATATTAATGTTTTATATAAATTCAACTTCTGATAAATATGCCATTATTTTTTTTTTTATTTTTCATTAACACACACTAATTTATTAACTAGTAATCTATATAGATATATTGTGTCATGTTGAAAATGTTCTATGGGAACTGTGACCTCATTATAAATTTTAATCAATCACTAGACTTATAATATTATGATATGACCTAAATAAAAAAAAAGTTCATGAAGTTTTTTTTCTTTTGTTTTGATTGGAGAATGTCCTTTACTGTCGCACAAACCATTGTATTTATTGCACGATTAAAGAGTTCATTTATTTTACATAAATCTCTTTGCCAGTTTAAGATCTAATCAAGAAATGTAGTGGTATTAATAATAAAAAAAAAAAAAAAAACTATTATATTATGCCATAAACTGCGTTATTAGTCTTGATATTGATTTTTTTTAATTTTAGAAGTCAAAGTTCCTTCGACCATTATCAACATGTGTTGTCACCTCCGAATTCATGTAAAATAAAAAAATAACAGATACTTAACATAAACTCTTCATAATGTTCCTTTACTTGTTTGCCGACGATATAAAAAAAAGTGTAACATTAATAGTTGAAAAATTAGTTTGTTTTTAATAATTAGGCTTAAACTCAGATAAATTATTAGCTATACTCAAAACTCTTACACATCAATTCCAATCATTTGATTTTAACATGTCATCTTTTGGTTGGATAAGTCGAATTTGCTTTAAAGTCCATAGATAATAATAGAACACTTTCAAATTTTAGGCGCCAATTTTTCATGTCTTTATTTTTTAAAGTTTATGAACATAAAGTACGATAGATACAGTACTTGTAGTGCTATCTATGGGATAAATTTATTGAAAAAATAATGATATCACAGTATTCTGAGGTGACAATAAATTATTAATTACATTAAATTTAATATTAAAAATCTCACTATTAGTTCTCGTGCCACTAAAAGTGACCGATAGGTATAGTATAAAGAATCGAAATTCTACAAATTTTGTTTATCGACACTGAAAAAAGTTAATAACGATTTAGTGTTTTTTGGATTTATAAATATCACAATTATATAGGATATTTAAACAACAAGAGTTGCAATAAAACGTTAGAACACTAAAGGCATTATTCACACGTTATCGCATTTTGTGACAAATGAACAAAAATCATAAGAAAACATGTATTTTTTTATAGCAACACTAGTAAACTTTTTTAGAATTCTGTCAACGTCAAGTCTATGCTAGTTATACGTCAAAATAATGTCAATATGTGTAACAGTTTAAGCCTAAAAACAAGAACCGAAATCTTTGGCTTATGAATTAGTTGAAAACACTAAAACATTTCTTTTATTATTTAATTAATTTAAAATATAATAATTTTTAATTAATATTCAAACAAGTTTTTCCAGGGTCGATAATTAAAGCGTCTTGTATAGTTGTTGATCGTTTGATTCTAAATTCCACTAGTCTTTTACTCCTTCATCTTCCGTTTCATTTTTCGCTTCATTCTTCTGTTACCTTTTATGAAGCTCTTGAGTTTTCTCCCCGTATCCCATTACCCTTGTCAATAAAACCTCATAGTTCTTTCATTTTATTGATCTATTTGCCATCTTGTACATCATTATCATTTGTATCAACTTCAATCTTATCATAATCATCATGTTTACCATTATTTACATTGTCATTCTTGTCATTATCGTATTGTAAATCTTCAACATCGTCTAAACTAGCTTGTCCTGCTCTAAATTCGCTATCGCTTTTACTTATTTCAGAATTCTTATACATTTGTTTTGGACTTTTCCTTTCGCCGTTTTCTTCCAAACTTTCATCGATTATCTCCAATCGAGACTTCGAGAAGAAACGTTGTAACGATTCAATTTTATCCAAAGCTCTCTCGGTTAATTCAGAACTTGACGACAGCACCGTCTCCTCAGTCATGGACGAGGAATCGATTTTTTTAGACAGATCGGATATCGATTCGGAAATTTCTGTTGTTGATGTCGATCTGTCTACCTTTTTCACTATCGGCTTTATTATCATACTTGGCGGTAAGTCTGGGATGCATCGTAGGTCTATTAAACTTATGGAAGATCGTTTTAAACTGAGACTTAAATCGAATTCATACTCTGAATCGGTTGCTTCTTCAAACTGATCCTGGATCTTGTCTTCAATTTCGTCAAGTAAATCTTCAGCTGCCTGTTTTATGTAGTACATTCGATCTTCATCCGACAATTTTCTATCTAAACCTCTTGATGATGGTTCGTCCTCTTCTATAATATCAGACAATTCAACACTATACGGCAGGTATTGGATGTACTGAAGTATTGGTGGTTTAGTATAGGAATTGAAATTCTCTATATCCTCTTGCTCACTCATAATATCATCTTCTCTCAAATTGTTACAGGTAACCCCGTATATTCTTATGACGGCTTCTTCAAATATACTCTCCAAGTCCTGTTTTATATTGCTCAGATCTACAACTGTTTCTGAAATTCTTCTACTACCAGGCGATTTCTCTGATCGTAAATCTATCACTGTATCTTGCGTTTGCGTTAACGTGGAATCCGATTTCGTTTTACTAATATCGCTAAACGTTTCCAACTTGCTAATTGTGACATCGGACTTAGATTTCTCTGATAGTGGCGGAGTACCAGAAATCGATTTTGTTGGTTCCTTAAACTTGTCTTTACTCCCATAATTTTCCATATATTTAATTAACATTTCTACTAAAGTTTCATTGCTGTCTTCGTTAGGAGTTTCATCTATGTAGGAGATATTTTTGACGTTTATATTAGATTCTGATAAACTGATCCCTTTATTTAATTCTGGCTCAGTGTTTATTTCAATCACAGGTTTTTCAGGCCATTTCCTATCTTCTGGTCCGAACAGAAATTCCATTAATGTTATTTTTTTATCTTCTTTAGTTGTCACTTCTTCTTCTCTATCCATACAACCAGTTGACGCTAGAAACTCTATCAGCGTCTCCATTTTCTGTTCTAATTCTGTATTAACTTTAGCTGGTACGTATGTTTCAATTTTATTATCCGTTGGACTCACTTCACTTTTGAAACAACTGCCACCACTGCCTTTTCTTTCTTCTCTCTGACTCTTGACTATTGTAAAGAAGAAATCAATTAAATTAGCTATTCTTCTATCATTACCTTCCTCTTCTTCGGAGCTAGTTAAATCTGATTCTTCTTTAACTAACGGGCATCTTTTTGGCGTTTCATCGAATCTTCGTGCGAAGACTGTATCTTGGACAACTTGGAGTAGATCCCTGGCTAGTCTGACTGGAGATTTGGTGTCTGAGTGTATGGGTTCGTAGGAGGTACCTGCTGGGGCTGACCGTCGTCTGTCGCGATCTATACGGATGAAGTCCCAGAGAGAACCGAGCTCTGATGATAGGGAGGCCCGGTGGTTAGCTAACCTGGTGCCGAGCCGGCGAAAAACCTGTACAACAAAAGAAAAAATAATTGAAGTCGGTTTTTTTGTGAAATTATTTATTTTATCTTACTTCTTTCCTCCCTTTTCTATATTTCTTTTATACTTTACCTGCCACACTCAGGAGCGCCACGCCCGCAATTTTCTCAATGAGACACGCTTAAACCTTGCTACTTGTGCAGCGAGTGCTTCAGCACCCAGCGACCCGCCGACCGTCTCGCCCTCCGAATGTACCTGGGGCAAGAATCAATACTATCACTTTAGGGAACAACTTGATAGAATAATGAAATTTTTAAGAGATAAAAATGGAAACCCTGCCTCTATCGGTATACATCGACGGGGTACCTGTGAAGGATCATAGGTGAGGATGAAAGCAGGTCATTTGACCCATCGTGTCGAATTCATTGGGAATTAACTTTCCAGATGAAACTTCATAAAGGTTAATCTGCTAGTAATGTTTTTTTAAGGGATGATAATGGAATGGTAATCCCACCTGCGGTAACGGTATACTCTTGCGGGGCACCAGTGAAGGATGATAAGTGAGGTTCAAAAGGCAGGTCAGTTAGCCCATTGTGATGAAATCACCTGGAATTCAGCACGATGGTTTCCAGGGGGACCACGGGGAGGTAGACCTGAACCATATACCCTATATGGTTAGCAATGGGACTGGTAGTCTGCATTCCTAACAATCCCCTCCACCCTTCCCGCTAACAATGACTAAGAAATTACTAATTCCCTTCCACTTTAATTGAATTGATTTGGTGGAAAGTGGACCTCGATGAGATCCTTGGAAACCATCGTGAATAAGTACTGATGAATTTGACACGATGAACAAACTGATAATTTATAAAGTGTTAAAGTACTTCGAATTTTTTTTTGATGCGTGAAAATGGTATGGTAGCCCCGCCTGCGCTAACGGGATACGCTGGCGGAGCACCAGTGAAGGGTGATAGATGAGAATAAGAACAGGCCGGTTAGCCCATCGTGATGAATTCATCAGGAATTGACCATGATAGTTTCCAGGGGGAACCGCGAGGAGGTCCTGGTTGGGTATATTGCTAGCAATGGGATTCTCAGTCTCTATTACTAACAATCCCTTTCCCCCCAAGTATTTCGACTTAGAACTTAGACACTTTAGTTACTAGCTTTTCCCGCGACTTTGTCCGTGTAACTTAGGTTTATTAGACTAGCAGTGAGACCAATAATTTTCTAAATTACAGCCCAGGTAAAACCCTAATATATTGTGGAAAAAAAAAATTGTCAGCAATGGGGTTTAACTGATCCATTGCCAGCCATACCCTATAATAATAACAATAAACTCTTTATTGCGCACAGTAGAGATGTATACAAGGAGTATTTATACAGAATGTGCATATACAAAAGGCGGCCTTATCGCTAGAAGCGATCTCTTACAGACAACCTGGCGTAAAGAATGGATAAGTACAGAGAGAAAGGTAGATGGCGCTAGTCAGACACGTTAAATGTTTAAAAGGAATCAAACAAAATGCAAAATATTCTAAATATAAAAATAAGATTAGAATACATAAACATACATATATAATATAAATAATAATACATAAACATAAATACATTTATATATTAAATAGATCAAGATAAATCACACATAGTGATTGTCAAAGCAAATAAGAGAGATAGGTAATGAGATGTTACCTGCCTCTTGAACGAGGCAAGAGATTGTGCTGATCTACGATGGGCTAACTGACCTGCCTTTTCACTCTCACCTATCATCTCTCACTGGTGCCCCGCCAGCGTATACCGATATCGCAGGCGGGGTTACCATTTCTTCATAATTCATTACAATACTTTATATAACCTATTTGTACACCCACCTCTCTCGATCCGGCTCGCCTTTGCATAAACGTTCTCATGTCCTTGTCGGAGTGTCCTTTGGCGCGACCAATGCCTTTGCCCAAGGGCGTTGTTGATATTCGTCTGTGAATTATACATATTTACAGTCGACTTTACGAGGTTTTCAATTCGGTTATAAATTTTTATACATTAACTATCTCATAACTTCATTAATTGTAAATTGATGGCGAAACATAAAAAATACAAAGCGAAATTAGGAGCTACAGCTTTTTGAAGTCGGCTAAAAGATTAAAATGTGGTCTGCATCAAAGCAAGACTCGATGTAAAGTTATTAGAAGTAAAAATTGTTATAAAATACATTATGGTTTTACATAGTAAACGCCATTTTTCTTTGAAAAAAAAAGTTTCTTTGGTCTATTAAAGAAAAAAATTAAAACATATAATTTTGACTTCACCCTTAAATCGTGTAGAACAAGATTTTTTTTTTATACAACTTAGAATGGCAAACAAGCTGACGGCCCACCTGATGGAAAGTGGTAACCGTCGCCTATATACATGAGCAGTACCATGCACATAACAGAGTATACTGTTTCGCCCATAATACCCCCCATGCGTTGCCATTCCTGAGGACTCAAATGTTATTCCTCTGTACTCAGTAAATTCACGCCATATCCCACCCTTCAAACCGAAACACAGCCATGCAAACACAACTGCTTCACGGTTGAAACACGAATGGGACAGAGGTACCCAAGCAATCGACTTTTGTACAAAGTCTCTGGTTGTTGTTTACTTAGTGTTATCTTTTATTGTATTTCTTTTAATTTATTTATTTAAAGAACTTTAGAAATTGCATCTGGCAACCCCAACTGACGCCTGCATCCAGAGCCGTAAAACATATTAATAAAAAAAAAAGATATATCAGAAAGTAAGGGGAGCCAAACCTGCATTGTGTGGGCTCACTGTACGCGGGTTGTACGGGCGGTTTTCCTTCTGTCGCTACATTCTCTGTCGCCACGCTGCCTCCGAGAGGGAACGCCCCACCTTCAAACAATATAATTAACAAAGTTAAGTGTACATTTAACAGCGTTCATAACAAAGCCGTGTGGTCCCGGCATAGAACGGGGCACTCTTCTTTTCCGTGGGTGTCGTAAGAAGCGACTAAGGGAGGGCGAGGGATGGGCAGCAGCGTCCCTCTTAAAACGTCTCCAAAGCTTAACTGCGATTGTCAAACCGCCAGCCAAGCGTGGCAATTATTTATTTATTTACACTTTATTGCACCAAGTATAAGAGAAATAACAAATACAGTAAATATTAATGAGAAGTGATACAAAAGGCGGCCTTATCGCTAAGCAATCTCTTCCAGACAATCTTTGGGTAGAGGACATTGAGAAAAGAAAGAAAGACAAAGGGTAGGTGGCGCACTATTATATAAATATTATCATATACAAACATATATACATACACATACATATACACACATACATACACATATATACACATACATATATTCTATATACACAATTAAATATATACATAAACATACACATACTTAATAGCACACATACAACAGAAGAGAATGACGAAGGAAAACGAAGAGAGAACACAGGTAGAGAAATAGAAATTAATATAGATATCCGACCAGTACGTGCGATATACATATATTTATTACCAGAGGGAGACTGTGTACAAAAGTCGATTGCTTGTGTACCTCTGTCCCATTAGTGTTTCAACCGTGAAGCAGTTGTGTTTGCATGGCTGTGTTTCGGTTTGAAGGGTGTGATATGGCAGTGAATTTACAGGGTACAGAGGAATAAAACCTGAGTCCTCAGGAATGGCAACGCACGGGGGGTATCATGAGCGAAACGGTATACTCTGTTATGCCCATGGTACTGCTCATGTCTATAGGCGACGGTTACCATTTTCCATCAGGTGGGCCGTCAGCTCGTTTGCCATTCTAAGTTGTATAAAAAAAAAGATGTAGGAATGCGTGATGACCTTTTTCTGCCATCAATGTACAGAGGATCCCATACATATAGATATTGGAGCGGTATCAATATGTTTTTGATAAATAATAAATGAAATAGCAACCCCGCCTGCGCTAACGGTAAACGTAGGTACCAGTGAGTGACGATAGGTGAGAATGGAAAGGCAGGTCAGTTAGCCCATCGTGATGAATACACCAAGAATTCAGCACGATGGTCTTCAAGGGGGATCAATGTGGGGATCAGCCTGACAGAGTATATTGCTAGCAATGGGACTGGTGTTCCGTATTAGACAGATAGATAGATAATTTATTTACATTACTTACAGCACACAAATTACAATACATACATACACATAATACACAGCAAAAGAGATAAAAGAATGAAAATAAAAAAGCACAAAATAAAAAAAAAACAAAATATATAAACTAACAATCTCCCTTCTTTCCCTTCCTTCATGCGTGTGCCATAGTAACACAAAATGGTCACAACTCAGTTTATTGCTTTGCCCTCAAAAGAGCAAAACACTGATATTCTGCTGTGCTGTGGCGAAATTCCTTATTAAAAATAATAATAAAAAGAAATATAAATAAACTGCATTGTATGTGTCCATTACATTCGCCTCCATTTGATATTTTATTCTAAATAAATAAATAAATAAATAACAGATACCATTAGACGAGGGGTAGTCAGAGATCACTTTCTGTCACATTCAGGTATTCAAGCAATAATATTTCTGCTACGTACCTATTAGGTATGCCAATTTTTTGTTTATTAATTAAGAAAAAATTAAGTTCTTTTTTAAAAACGTGTTTAGTTTTAGACGAATCCCTTCCCTTCCCTCCCGATATCAATATGGCCCATGCTCATTCAGAGGCGACCTCTACAATGTGACAAACCTGTAATGGCTCCTCTGGTCATGCTGAGCCCCCGTTGTATCCTCGCTATTGCAGCCCTATGCCTGGGTATGGGCGCTGTACTGCCTTTCTCTTGAAGAACGAATCTGCCTAGAGTTTTCCAAGTTGCCTGCAATGAGATATTGAGGTTTTTTTAAAACGTGATACTTTTTTTTTTATACAACTTAGAATGGCAAACAAGCTGACGGCCCACCTGATGGAAAGTGATAACCGTCGCCTATAGACATGAGCAGTACCATGGACATAACAGAGTATACTGTTTCGCCCATGATATCCCCTACGCGTTGCCATTCCTGAGGACTCAGGTGTTATTCCTCTGTACTCTGTATATTCACGCCATATCCCATCCTTCAAACCGAAACACAGCCATGCAAACACAACTGCTTCACGGTAGAAACACGAATGGGACAGAGGTACCCAAGCAATCGACTTTTGTACAAAGTCTCCCTCTGGTAGATACTGGAATGATAGTAGTAAGAGTCTAATAATAAATCAATCACGATGCTTTCCAGGGGGAACCACGAGGAGGTCGACCTGATATAGTATATTGCTAGCAATGGGGCTACTAATTCTCATTACTAACAATCCCTTATCCCACCAAGACTATGGTGTCATATCTCGATGCCGTATAATTTTTTGCCACAGAAACTGAGTGAGACAAAAATACCCAAGCAGACGACTTTTATGCAAAGTTTCCCTCTAGTAGACAGGACTTACCTGAGCAGCGTACACCACTTCATCATCAGCTAGAGCCCTTTGCTGAGGACCTGTCCCAGTCCGTCCACCCCACTCCAGTTCTTCGACCAGCACAAATCTGGAGAATAATAATTATACACTGACGATAATTATGACATTACTGCAGCGGTCAGCAACTGAGGCATTGATGGACGAACGTGCAAATGTAGGCCGAGGCGAAGCCGAGGTACACATACGTGAGTCCATCAATGCCTAGTTGTGGCCAAGGCTTGTATAGTACTTTTCTCAAATAATGCGCGGAAATCAAAAACACAATTTTACTTTTTAAGTTCAATGACGAATAACGAACAATAATAATTTTTCACGCGCCATAATGTCCCTTTGTTTTTTTGTTTCAATAAACAGCTTTCTATTTGCAAGCCAGTTCGAAATTTAAATAAAACCTTTTATTAGTTACCTCATTGGTAGCCATGTTTCGATGTAAAAGGTCATTCCATTTTTAAATTACAGGTCAGATATGAGTTTACATAGTAATTTATCTGGCCACAAAACACGACAGATATGGATTTTCATACAACTTTTGCCGGCCGCTGTCCGCATGTATCTGGCCAGTACGGCAATTTTGATTTATCTCAAAGAAGATTGTCAAAATAATGCTCACATTTCCAAGCATGTTTGAGTAAATAGCAATGATAATGACGACGACAATGGTAATGACGACGAATTATTCAATTGTTTGGTTCCTTTTTTTTATGTAACTTAGAATGGCAAACAAGCTGACGGCCCACCTGATGGAAAGTGGTCACCGTCGCCTATAGACACGAGCAGTACCATGCATCGGTCGCGTCCACGAGACGACTGAACTTAGGCTATATATCATTATTATTTTTGAAAAATCTTTCACGCTTTCTCGCGTTCCGAGGGATTGCAAAGATAGACACCATGCCGACATACACAGACCATCAGTGTATGTCGGCTGCAAACCCAGCGACCCGGAGGTCGTCGCCTCCGGAGTTGAAGCCGGGGTAGTGGGGTACGCCCCGAGGCCCCTACCTCACCCGCCCACACCATCTGGCGGGCAAAGAGACGCTTTGTTGTTCTTCAGTACCATGCACATAATAGTTGTTGATTTCTCCCACGAACACTCAGGTTATGGTTTGAGCTCCCTGCCGAGGTTTTCCCAAGAGACTACAGCATGGGGTTCTTCAAAAGGGGGGTAAAGAGGTTTCTTCAGGGTCGGCAACGCGCGCGTAATACCTCTTGTATTGCAGGCGTTCATAGGCTACGGTAACCGCTTACCATCAGGTGGGCCGTATGCTTGTTTGCCACCTCAGTGGTATAAAAAAAAGTACTGGTTCTTCCATGATACTCCTCTCACCTTTTAGGGTCATCGTGACATCGGGCTTTTGTGAGCGCTTGGTAGACGACGTACGACGCTGTTGCACTCAACGGCACCTGCAATGCAAGACATTAGGCAACTGTTATTTTTCACACTGTGAAATGTTATTTTTGAGCATGGTAGCAATTGTTATTTTTAATAATAAAAATAAAATGTAAACTCAATATGATGCCCACGGCCACTTTCTACCATCGTACGGCTCGCCATTGAAAGGGAATTCATCCTCATGTCCTACAGCCTCAATGGTCGCGTACTGCGCGGTTTCAGAGATGTTTTCTCCCACGAATACTCAGGTTGTGGAATGAGCTCTCTGCCGAGGTTTTCCCAAGAGACTACAGCGTGGGGTTCTTCAAAAGGGGGGTAAAGAGGTTTCTTCAGGGTCGGCAACGCGCGCGTAATGCCTCTGGTATTGCAGTCGTTCATAGGCTACGGTAACCACTTACCATCAGGTGGGCCGAATGCTTGTTTGTCACCTCAGTGGTATAAAAAAAAAATATTCGATTAAACTTCACTACAAGCATATTTGAATAGAATTTTTTTTATAAATCTATCGCCCAGTTCAGCCGAGAAGAACGGGCAAGAAACTTGACATTGATAAAAAATACAATCACAGTTTAGTGTATAATATAGTATATGTCATATATGTGTATGTATATTTGTTATTTATATATATTTATTCGTTTATATATGTAATTTTAGTATGTATGTATATCAATAATTACTAGTACCGCATTCGAGTATTCTGACACTTGCCTATGGTTGACTGGGAGAGAATGCTTTTAGCATTAAGTCCGCCATGTACACATATTTGTCACACACATCTTCTTTTCCAGTGGACGTCGTAAGAGGTGACTAAGGGAACTTAATGCAACTTTTTTTTATACAACTTAGAATGGCAAACAAGCTGACGGCCCACCTGATGGAAAGTGGTAACCGTCGCCTATAGACATGAGCAGTACCATGGACATAACAGAGTACACTGTTTCGCCCATGATACCCCCCATGTGTTGCCATTTACGGACTCGGGTGTTATTTCATTCATTCATTCATATGATTACGTATTGCTTTTTTCACTGTGATTTTATATAATGACCATAATCTTAAACGATTGTTATTTTTTTAATGTAACGCTATTTGTAGCGGGGGCAAAAGGATTGTTAACAATGGAGTTTGACAGCCCCTTATTAGGTCGACCTCCACGTAGTTCCCCCTGGAAATCATCGTGAACAATTCTTGTTGAATTCGTCACGATGGGCTAACTGACCTGTTTCATCCTCACCTATCATAGGTGAGGATGAAACAGGTCAGTTAGTCCGGCGGGGCACCTTTACTGGTGCCCCGCCGGTGTATACCGATAGCGCGGGTGGGGTTACCATTCCATTATCATCCATTTAAAAGAAAAAAACGCTATTTGTAGCTGCCGTTAATTCGAAAGTAACAGTGTCGACGTTCGACATTTCACATTCACAGGTGTGAATATTTCACATACTTCTATGAATGTGAAATAATTTCCGGTGAAAATAATGTAAATACAACAAACACAAATTGTGAATAAATATATAAATAAATAAATAAATACGTAAATAAATAAATAGATAAATACATATACATATGTATAAGTGCATAGAATTATCATGTACAATTGATTAAAAGGTGTGATTTCAGTCTTCTCTTGAAGGAAGTAATTGAAGGACTGTCCCGTATGTCAGCAGGTAGCCTATTCCACAGTTGTGCAGCACGAAATGTGAGAGTTTCCAAAAAAATGGGTCTTGCAAGAAGGGAGTTCTAAAACTTTGGACCGGAACAGGCAAGCACGCTTGGGACGTGTGGGAGGGGGGCAGGATTTGAAACCGGGAGTGGAGATAAGATGGAGAGTTGGGATTATTAAGAATATTATAGAGAGTGGGGAGGATGTGCATATTATGTCGAAGTCGGATTGGGAGCCATTTTAACTGAGCGCGAAAAAAAGTAATCAATTAGTTAATCGAATTTTGATTGGTTATGTATTCAATATTTTTTCTTTTTGAGTATTTAATTGAATTAGTGCTAATTGGTGGTTTGTATTCACACAATTAAACTTAAAAATGTAAAGTAATAATAAAATTATTTAAAAGAGCAACACGCAAGTTTCTTGCTCGTTCTTCTTGTGATGAGACAGCTTTCCGAACTAGCGGTAGATTAACAAAAATGTAATGACTTTTCAAAAGTGCTTCAATGTAAGTTTATTTGAATAAATGATTTTCTATTCTATTCTATTCTATTGATTTGACCTTAAATTCTATTAAAACTCTTAAATTCTTAAATACTACTAATACTTTTTTTTTTATTGTAGATTAATTGAGCGAAGGTGTTATTTGTATATACAGGGTGTGAGGGTTAGGTTGGCAAAAACTTAAACACTGAATTTAGACCATTATTTTGAACTGCAAACCAGTTTCCGAATTTTTTTTTAATTTTTTTCCCGTTTATAATCATATAATCGTTGATATTATGTAATAATATAAATAAATAATAATATATTATAGTAAAACTAGCTGACTCGGCAAACGTGGTTTTACCATATACATTATTTCTAGAAGATTTAAATTTGAAAATTTATCCTACTACAATTATTATACTGGATTGCCATCTTGCAACCCTATTGCATACATACATACATACATACATATCTGTCACGCCTGTCTCCCATTAGGGTAGGCAGAAACAATGGAACGCCAAATGCTTCGATTGCAGCATACAAAAATCGCGATTAAGAAACAGGAGTTGATCGTAAAACGGTGAAAATTTGATGTGGTATGTATTTTTCAATGCTAAATCGTAATAAAATAAAAATGGAAAAATTTGTCAAAAATTTAAAAAAAAATTTTTTTTGGGGAGGATCACCCTTATCATTGAGGGGTATGAAAAGTAGATGTTGGCCGATTCTCAGACCTACCCGATATGCACACAAAATTTCATAAAAATCGGTAAAGCCGTTTCGGAGGAGTTTGGTAACAAACACCGCGACACGAGAATTTTATATATAAGATATTAAGAAATATCAAAAATCAGCAATATAATTTAATTAATTCTTTATTCCAGCAATTAATTCTTATTAAAATCTTTACGGTGCCGCGAGAAAACAGCTGTGTAAGGTCAACGCAACGAGCGTACGAAAAATACCCACGATAAAGTGTCGTTGACCGCGCGGTGTAATTATTCCGCGTCGCGTGGAGCACAGTACGACGTAAAGTTTCAAATACATTGCGCGGCGTCAACACTAAGAATCGTTAATTATACGGCTGCGGTGCATTACCGGCGGGAGAACAACCTGCCATCTGATTCAGACCATTCATCTGAATCAGCTTTTTTCGTTTTGGCTAGCCTGCCCCTTCCACCCTGTATAGCATCCCTTCCACCTGTATAGCAATATTGTGAAGAAACAATGACAGAGCGTTTCAGGCCAACCTTGAGTATCGCGTAGGGTATCTCGTGGGAGACATTGTGCACGCACACGAGGAAGCTGTCGGGCGGCCGCCGCGTCTCCTCCTCCTGGGCGCTCGACTCGTCGTCCGACTGGACTGTGCGGTCGCGCGACCGGTCCGACGACGCTGATCTGATGGGAGGATTTGATTTTATAAAATAGAGAGCATACATCATCATATAGATAATAATTTTCTTCCATAAAGTTTTATGCAACAATTATGTATTGCTCTCAAAAAAAGGCGATTTCAATCGTGAATATACACATGCACACACGCATGCGTTGACGCACACAAATGTACATATACACGCACTTAAACAAGTATACACAAATGTGTGTTGACACGCATGCACGCATGTATGCATGCACACACACACACACACACACACACACACACACACACACACACACACACACACACACACACACGTACGCACGCGCACACACAAACACACACACGCACACACACACGTACGCACGCGCACACACAAACACACACACACGCACACTCACACGCACACGCACACACACGCACACGCACGCCCGCGCACGCGCTTGCACGAGCACACAAACGCACGCGCACACACATACGCATACACACAAATAAACGCATGCACGCACACACGCCGGTACGCCCGCACATTTCTGAGATCATAGGTGTCATATCTCTATATTTGACTGCCCAATAATTAAATTAATCTTATCGTCTCGCCGTACAAAATTATTTGTAATATATCATATGACGGGGTTATAATTGTTAGTAATAATTAGCGGTCCTATTGCTAGTAATATATTCTGTCAGGGCGACATCCATGCGGCCCCCGTGGAATCTATAGATACGTAAATACTCTTTATTGTTTCCCCCAAAAGATCTACCGTAATTAAATCCCGGCGAATTCATCGCAATGGGCCACAAATTTGACTTCATCCTCACCTATCATCCCTCATTGGTACTCTATGGTTTTGGCTGGCATTTATCGACAGGCTGGACAGAGTTTCCACTTCATTTTCACCATAAAAAATATTTTACCTGATACTAGTCAACCAAGCTCTGCTACTGGGATCATCTCCAACTCTCTTCAAGAGCAATCTCGCTCCAGGTCTGGCTGTGGCCGCTCTTAGCACCCTCTCGTGAGGAGCCAAAACCCTCTGTGTCGGTGCCCTGGAGGGTACTTCTTCCACCAGCACGTAGTTACCCCGGGACGACCGGCAAACCCCAGCCTTTGTTAGGCATTGGGCTATGGCCTGGCAATAGAATTGGGGATGTTTTAGAATTGACTGTAACGAGAGAGAGAATAGAATGGAACAGAATAGAAGTTGTTTTTTTTTTACAACACAGGGGATAAACGAGCATGCGGCTCACCTGATGGTAAGTGACTACCGCCGCCCATGATCACCCATAACACCAGTTTATTCAACAATAATTTATCTAACGACTTCGCACGGGTAAAATGCTAAAATATGTGTTTATTTACGATATCACATTAGAAACCTCTAAAATTATCAGTGTTTCTCTACAATATTATGCATGTATTATACATATCAATCTTCCTCTTGAATTACTCTATCTATTAAAAAAAATCGCATCAAAATCCGTTGCGTAGTTTTAAAGATCTACGCTTATATAGGGACAAACAGACGGGAAGCGACTTTGTTTTATACTATGTAACGAGAGTGATGATTAAATCTAGAATGTTCTCTTTTTGGACGCGAAGATCTTCAGCAAGAACTTAAGTCTAAAGTCCTTACCTCGTTTGCTGTGGTGTCCTGCGTGACCTTGAGTATTGAGTACGGTTCGTGTCTGGCCACCGCGTAGACCACCAGGAAGTGGATCTTCCGCCTCTCGTGGGGCGAGCTCGGCTCCAGGTCCCCGCGGCACGACTCGCCTGCCAACTCCTCGCAGCACCGGGAGAAGATGAGGAGGGACGCCATGTTTAGTGGCTGGTTTGTTGGTGACCTATGGTTTTCACATAATTGCTAGCAATTCTTCTTCATTCGTCCATTTTAGCCTTTAACTGTTTAGTGCTGAACATAAGCCTTCCTAATAAGGGGAGTTTAGCCAATAGTCGACTAGGAAACTTGACGGTCAGAGGATAGGTAGCAACGTCCCTCTTAAAACATCTCTAAAACGGGGGAAAGGGATTGTTAGTAATGGAGACTGAGAATCCCATTGCTAGCAATAAACCTAATCAGGTCGACCTCCATGCGGATTCCCCTGGAAACTATCATGGTTAATTCCTGATGAATTCATCATGATAGGCTAATTGGCCTGTTTTCATTTCGATCACCCTTCACTGATGCCCCACCGGCGTATACCGTTAGCGCAGGCGGGGTTACCATTCCATTTTCACCTATCAAACGTCTCTAAAACGGTTGCCAAACCGCCTGCCAAGCGTGATAACTACTGTCAAAACCCCCCAAGGGGGAAGCTTATATTCAGCAGTGGACAGTTAAAGGCTGATGATGATGATGATAATGATACTGACCGTAGTCGTACGTGTCTGTAGCCGGGCCGAAGACACTGCAGAGGTATCACCCTCTGTGACAGCATATAATTGGTGTCCGCATCGTATATCTCGAAACGGACGAACGCTAGCTCGGGAAAGTTGACCTGTAACGTTGTAAATTATTTGTAATAATAATAATAAACCTAATAATATAATAACAACCTCGTGAAAGCCGAAACTGAGAAAAAGAGAAAATATCTCGTCTTGGCTCACGAGGCGACCGAAATGTGGGGGGTGACATCCACCGAAATCATTCCAATCGTTATATCGGTGAACGGTCTTATCACAACCAGTCTGGAACAACATCTCAGACGGTTGGGATTCCGAGGCGGCTCACTCCCGGGAAAGACGCAGAAAGCGATGCTTTTTTTTTTCATACAACTTAGAATAGCAAACAAGCTGACGGTCCACCTGATGGAAAGTGGTAATCGTCGCCTATAGACATGAGCAGTACTATGGACATAACAGAGTATACCGTTTCGCCCATGATATCCACTACGCGTTGCCATTCCTGAGGACTCAGGTGTTATTTCTCTGTACCCTGTAAATTCACTGCCATATCCCACCCTTCAAACCGAAACACAGCCATGCAAACACAACTGCTTCGCGGCAGACGGTTGAGATTCCGAGGCGGCTCACTCCCGGGAAAGACGCAGAAAGCGATGCTTTTTTTTATACAACTTAGAATGGCAAACAAGCTGACGGTCCACCTGATGGAAAGTGGTAATCGTCGCCTATAGACATGAGCAGTACCATTGAAATAACAGAGTACACTATTTCGCCCATGATACCCCCCATGCGTTGCCATTCCTGAGGACTCAGGTGTTATTCCTCTGTACCCTGTAAATTCACGCCATGTATATTACTATACACACAATAGTAATCACCGAATCCGCAGTCTCACCTTGAAACTGAACGTCTCATTCCATATAGGGTTCAGGGCGTTCTTCCTGGCGACCTTGGTCCTTATCTTCTTGCAGTCCGCCGGCACGCCCAGTATCTCCACTTCCACGAAGGCGTTGTAGAATGAGTACACGTTCTCGGCGACGTACTGGCCCGATATGACCGCCAGGGTCAGGTGGGCCGCGTGGATGCCGTCGAACTCCTTGTCCATTGGATTGAACCTGGTGATTAAGAATGATAATAATCCTTTATACAGTAAGTATAAATATATATAATACGTGTGTATAATATTTAAAGCAAAACCTGATATATTTGTGTTTATATATGAAGATAAGGTAAATCCAATGTCCAAAAAAAATCCATGGCATCCAAAAAACTACAAATCGAAAATCCAGCCCCACATGGAGTATTGCTGTCACTTATGGGCCGGTGCACCTAAATACCAGCTTGAACCTTTCGACTCGTTGCAACGACGAGCTATGAGAATTGTCGATGATCCCAGGCTCACAAGCGGTATCGAACCCTTGAGTCTTAGGCGAGATTTTGCCTCACTCTGCGTGTTCTACCGCCTGTACAATGGATTGTGCTCAGAGGAATTGTTCAATATGATGCCCACAGCTATTTTCTATCATCGTACGGCTCGCCATTGACAAGGAGTTCATCCTCATGTCCTATAGCCTCAATGGTCGCGTACTGCGCGGTTTCAGAGATGTTTCCTCCCACGAACACTCAGGTTGTGGAATGAGCTCCCTGCCGAGGTTTTCCCAAGTGACTACAGCATGGGGTTCTTCATCTGGGGGTAAAGAGGTTTCTTCAGGGTCGGCAACGCACGCGTAATACCTCTGGTATTGCAGGTGTTCATAGGCTACGGTAATCGCTTACCATCAGGTGAGCCTTATGCTTGTTTGCCACCTCAGTATAAAAAAAATATGTAAAAACTAGCGCTTAATTGTGTGTGTATACACGTCTCTCTCTCTCGCTCTGTGTGTGTGTGTATCTATGCGTACGTGTGTGTATATTTGTACGTGTGTTTACATGTGTGTGTGTGAGAGAGAGAGAGAGAGAGAATGAGTGCATGCATATGTGTGTGTGTTTGTGTGTATGTGTCGGTATGAGTATGTGTTCCAAATGTTTAAATATTGGAAAGGTGAGTTGAATATAATGGAATATATTGAAATGGAATATAATGGAACGGAGTCCGATATATGTAACAGAATTGGATAGAATGGAATGGAATGGGACGGAATGTATTACAGTTAAAAAGAAAGAAATTAACTGGTAATAGAATATAACAATATATAGGCACTTTTTTTTTGGTGGATGAAAATGGTATGGTAACCTCGCTTGCGCTAATGGGGTACGCTGGCGGAGCACCAGTGAAGGGTGATAGATGAGAATGAAAACAGGCCAGTTAGGCCATCATGATGAATTCATCAGGAATTAACCATGATAGTTTCCAGGGGGAACCACGAGGAGGTCGACCTGGTTGGGTATATTGCTAGCAATGGGATTTTTAGTCTCCATTACTAACAATCCCTTTCCCCCCAATATATAGGCACTGTCCAGGTCCGTTCGGGAACATTCATTATTTTTGGTGACGCTCGCACACGAGGGGTATTTTTATTATGCCATTCCATTTTCACCAACTGCAAAAGATGACATATCCACAGCATTGTCGATACTGACCGTCTATAAGCGATATGGCCAGGATCCCACATGACAGGCGGTTTCCTAACGTAGCCCACGCAGCCGTTGCTTTCAAACATGGCGGCGTTCACCGCCATCGCCGCGTCCTCAGTCTGGTAGTTGAGCGCGACCAGCTGCACGCCGCACGACCAGAACGTAACCGGGTCGAAGTTCGACGAGTCGATCCTTAGGCTGGGAAATCGAATAGGTTTTTTTAGTTTTAAGAACACTAGCTTTCACCTGCGACTTTGCGTGATCGGAATATGTCCATTAATCAGGATATAAGGTAGCCCATGTCCTCCATCCTGTGTATGTTTCACCAGAGGGAGACTTTGTACAAAAGTCGTTTGCTTGGGCACCTTTGCCCCATTCGCGTTTCTATAGTAAAGCAGTTCTATATGCAACGGTTACCACTTTCCATCAGGTGGGCCGTCAGCTTGTTTGCCATTCTAAGTTGTATAAATATAAAAAAAAAACAGAAAAAGCTACCCCTTCCTTTACCATGGGCATCGTAAGAGGCGTCTAAGGGAACTTTATGGTTTAAGGATGGGCAGCAGCGTCCCTCTTAATATAACACCAAAGCCTGGGAGAAAGTGATTGTTAGTAATGGGAAAGTTAGTCCCGTTGCTATCAAAGTACCCTATCAGGTCGATCTCCACGCGGTTCCCCCTGGAAACTATCGTGACTAATTTATCGTTGAATTCGTCATGATAGGCTAACTGATCTGCTTTTTCATCTCTCACTGGTGCCCCGCCAGTGTATACCGATAGCGCGAGCGGGTTTGCCATGCCATTTTCACCCATTGAAAAAAAACACCAAAGCCTGCAACTGCCGGCTAACTGCAGTTGCCAATCCGCCTACCAATTGCATGGCAACTACTGGCAAAACCCTCCTTTTGGGGGAGATATGGTGATGATGGAAAACCCTTATTGATATTCAAACGTGATTTTCTTTAAAAGAGCAACTTACCCGGCGGGATAAGTCCTAACCAGTTGGGTTTCCGTATGAGCGACCAGGGCAAGTGGATGCTTCCTGCAGATCTTCTTGCCAATCGCTTCGTTGACGGAGGAGCACCGGTAGCACGGGTGGTGGACGGCCGGAGCGTTCAGACAGCGGGCGCGACCGCCGGACGACTGTGATTGCTGGGCTAATTGCTGAAAGCGATAATTATGACCATTATTTTAGACTAGCTTTTGTTGTTATTTTGAACAAGTCCTGAAGACACGTGGCAGCGAATTCGTCTATGGAATCGACATCGTTAGCGAGTCCGTGAGATAGAATGAGGTAGCAACATCGGATGTCTCATTCGAACTCACGGACTCGCTAGCGATGTCGATTCCATCGACGAATTCGCTTCTCACTTGTCTTGAGGACCTGGCGTATTTTAAGGAGAAGTTGGGTGGACCGTACCCACCAAGGATGTTAATTGTCTGGTACCCAATCAAGGATAGGAGCGGAGCTTTTAAGTATGCGAATGGATATGTGTGATACCGTAAAAAATATGTAAAAAACACTAATAGTTTGGTCTAGTCCTAAAATCTGGTGTATGTTTCAAACTCGATAGGATATCTAGAAGAGATCTTTTGAAATCAACGCAATAGCTTACAAAAAGCTAGTTTCAGTCATCATCATTACTATCATCATCATCATCATCATTTCAGCCGTTAACTGTCCACTGCCGAACATAAGCCTTTCCCATAAGGCGAGTTTTAACAGTAGTTGTCACGCTGGGCAGGCGAGTTAGCAACCGCAGTTAGGCCTTTGGAGATGTTTTAGGAGGGACGCTGCTGCCCATCCCTCGCTTTTCCTTAGTCGCCTCTTACAACACTGGACAGTAAGGGATGGCCTATTCTATGCTGGGACCACACGGCATATCATTGCTATATCAGCCGTTATCTGCTGCTGAACATAGGCTTTTCACATAGACTTGCCCCTAGCCACCTGCATCCACTGAGTCCTTGCAATGCATTTGAAGTCTTCACGTATTTTTTGTATACTACTGGGTACAGAGGAATAACACCTGAGTCCTCAGGAATGGCAACGCATGGGGGGGTATCAAAGGCGAAACAGTATACTCTGTTATGTCCACGGTACTGCTCATGTCTATAGGCGACGGTTACCACTTTCCATCAGGTGGGCCGTCAGCTTGTTTGCCATTCTAAGTTGTATAAAAAAAAAAAAAAAAAAATACATATGGTTATTTACCGTCCCGGTACTGTCGCTGCTCTCTGAAGACTCGAAGCTGCTGCAGGGAGCGCTGTCTTTAGCGGCGCTTGAACTGCTCGGCTGTTTGATGGAACTCTTCGGCGATAAGGGGCTGAGGCCACGAAATTTTATTGCCTGCAATTGTACATTATATTATTATGCATTAGTGAAAAAACATACAGGTTAAAAAATAATCACCAGAGGGAGGCTTTGTACAAAAGTCGCTTGCTTGGGTACCTCTGTCCCATTCGTGTTTCAACCGTGAAACAGTTGTGTTTGCATGGCTGTGTTTCGGTTTGAACGGTGGGATACGGCGTGAATTTACAGGGTACAGAGGAATAACACCTGAGTCCTCAGGAATGGCAACACATGGGTGGTATCATGGGCGAAAGAGTATACTCGTACTCTGTTATGTCCATGGTACTGCTCATGTCTATAGGCGACGGTTACCACTTTCCATCAGGTGGGCCGTCAGCTTGTTTGCCATTCTAAGTTGTATAAAAAAAAAAAGTAAAATTTTTGGCCATTTTTCAAATGGCCGTATCTTTGACAAAAGTGGTCGTATTGGAGTAAATAAAAAAACAGAAATTTGAAGCTTGATATTTGTAATTTTAGAATCTTGCAATTCGAAAATATTTCGATCTATAATTTGGTGTACGGACTTGAAAAAAAAATCTAATTAACCACCTTATAGATTAGATAGGTTGTCCATTTAGCATTAATTTCATTTCTTTTTGGCCTCGATGAGACCATTTCTGGCTGAGCTATCAGACTTTTAATGAAAATGGATGAAAAATTAAGATCGAAAATTGTTTGGAAAAACTTTTTTTTTTTCATGATATTCATTAAGATTGTGCGATACGTGTTACTTGAAAATGATTTATTTTTTTATTTTCCCTAATGTTTTTTTTTCTTAACTATACGAGTACAATACTTTGAGTATTCCGACACTTCCCTATGGTCGACTGGGAGAGAATGCTTTTAGCATTAAGACCGCCATGTACACATATATGTACTAATGAATAAATAAATAAATAAATATCTACTTGTACAACAATTAGTCCGTTACCCTAAGGTTGTCTTGAAAAGATTGCCCTCAGCAATAAGACCGCCTCACTGTACTCATACAACTGTATCGTTACATTTATTAATTGTCTTGCTTATTCCTTATATTGTATAATGCAAATAAAGTATACTTATTCATTTATTCATAACAGGACTTAGTAGATATGAGTAATATCGGTACCGCATCGATATATATATATATATATATATATAGGTTATTACCCATTTTGATATCACATATACTGGTCGGATTCTTTTTCAGGGTTATATGGAAACTGTTATTTGGATATTACTGCCTATTACACACTGAACGTGCATGGTGTTAGTCGATCATGCACGTGCTTTTAACTACCATGTAATTTTAGACATAGTACATTTAAATAAATACACATAATGTTAACAGAGATTTGAAAGAGTAACTGTTGAGTCTCTCGCGGGCTCTTCTCAACAGATGACAACTTTCCGAAGCCTGCAGTAGATTTAAAAGAAATGTCGATTTAAAAGTGCTTGTAAATAAGTCTATTTGAATAAAGGCGATTCAAATTTGAATAATTTGAATTCTAAAGAATTAAAATGGAGTATTCTACTATTGAAGCTGGTAATATTTTAAATAAGATTGCATTTCATAAAAAAACCTACTTCAATTGTATAAACACTGGTAATGCTTGGTTATTTTTATTTAAAAACTAAACAACTAAATCTATTTTTGTATACCATTTCAGATAAAAAAGAAATTTTAAAATCGATTTTAAAGTGACCGACTTATGAAGTAACAAATACAAGAAATTACTACCGAATTACAAATCTCCTTTTTTTTTAGGTCGGTTTAAAAAAAACGAGGGTCAAAAAACAATAAAAGATTTACAATAAAATATTTCTAAGAGTAGGCTTAAAGAACATCTTCTATCTCTGTGAACATATATTTATTTATTTATATATGTAGGTATATATATATATATATATATATATATATATATATATATATATATATATATATATATATATATATATATATATATATATATGTGTGTGTGTGTGTATATGAATAGATGTAGGTATATATATTTATGTATATGTGTATTTGTACGTTAAAATATAATGTAATTAATTTAATTTTGTTTAAAAATTGTACACCGCTGTATCCGCTGACATTGATGCTCCTTTCCACTTTGGGTGTTGCTGGAAGAGAACTCTATCATAGTTAAGCTCGCCTTTGTACATTTGTTTACCTCTGTCATATTTTTATAACTAATGTGTACAATAAAGTATTAAAATAAATAAATAAATAAAGATTATAAATTTCAACAATTTGACTGAATATGTCACGATATTATGGGAAATTCAAAATTGTTACAAATATGTTTAATAACTATTTTAATTGATTAGACGCTTGGCAGTTTATTATATACATATTCATAATTTGCAAATAAATATAGAAATCCTTTTTTTTTTATATAAAATACATATATTTACAGAGCAAATGAGACTAATTCTCTGGTCCTTAAGGATTTAATTCTGTGTTAATAAATTAGGTAACGAATATTTGGAAATACAATCCAAAATATTCATACCCGAGATTCCTTAATATTGAAAGTCTTTGGGAGTCGAGTATAAAATGCTTCAAAAGTAATTTACTTATTTATTTATTTTAATACTTTATTGTACACATTGGTTATAAAAATATGACAGAGGTAAACAAATGTACAAAGGCGAGCTTAACTATGATAGAGTTCTTTTCCAGCAACACCCAAAGTGGAAAGGAGCATCAATGTCAGCGGATACAGCGGTGTACAATTTTTAAACAGCCAAAATTAAATTAATTACATTATATTTTATCGTACAAATACACATATACATATACATAAATATATACCTACATCTATGCATATACATACACATACATACACAGTAATGTTGCAGTTACCTGAACATATGTGACCATATCGCTCAGCTCTTTGGCGATTTGATTGCTTCGTTTCCTCGTAGTTGTGTGTTTGACGCTTCCAGTTGTTGTCTCTCCGTCCCCCTCACTCCTTCTGAAGCTCTGATAGAGCGAGAGGGACGTCCGACCGCACTTGTCCTCCATGGATTTGAGGATTTTGTGCAGTTCCTTCTCTGAAATAGTGTATGAATTCTTTAGTAGTATTAAAAATTAGAAATAGGTAATACTCGTATGGGTATCTCTCAACTCGATATAACAATATGTACATACAAACAAAATGAATAATTAATTTCTGAAATTAATCGGATTAACTTCATGTTTTCAATTTGGGATCTTGAAATGTCACTGTTGTCGAAAGCACTAATGGTTCTCTTTGAAATTTGGGGTCCCCGTAATGCGGTATTCAACTTTGTCACTGTTTCTACCATTTTACCAATATTCCCTTGAAGCTCAAAGCCCACGGGATCTGTGGACCATCAGCTACACCAACTTTATCTACAGTACTGATAATTTTCAAGACTCACCATCAAGTTCCTCGTCGTCTTCATCATAGTCCTCGTCGGAGAAGTACTCGGTGAGCGAGCTGCCCGCCGACTGGTTGGACATGATCGAACTGGTCCTGTTGCTTTGCTCCTGGAGTGAGGTGCTGGTGTGTCGGATGCCGTTTGACCTAAAGATATCAAGGTATCTCAGCACAGGTATAAAGATTTTAAAACGTATGTAATAGGAGAGATAGAAGGTTTTTTATGGCACTTAGAATGGCAATCAAGCTGATGGTCAACCTTATGGAAAGTGGTAGGATGGAACAGGAACGTGGATGTCACAGAATGGTCTGTAACTGATATTGCAACCTTCGTGCGTTGCAATTTCTGAGGATTAAGGTGTTTTTTTTTTGATGGGTGAAAATGGTATGGTAACCCCGCCTGCGCTAACGGGATACGCTGGCGGAGCACCAGTGAAGGGTGATAGATGAGAATGAAAACAGGCCAGTTAGACCATCATGATGAATTCATCAGGAATTAACCATGATAGTTTCCAGGGAGAACCGCGAGGAGATCGACCTGGTTGGGTATATTGCTAGCAACAGGATTCTCAGTCTCCATTACTAACAATCCCTTTTCCCCGGATTAAGGTGTTAGGTCTGTGTACCCGATAATTTCACTATCAGATCCCTTCAAACCCAAACAGTTAAGCACAGCTACTTGGACATAAAAACACGACTGGGACAGATATATCCGAGTAGATAGATGAAGCCAAATTAAGAGTACCCATAACCAGCGAGCGTGTGTGAAGAGATTCATGAACGTGGAGAAAGTAAAAAAGGCCTGTTTGAATCGAAGCATTTGGCGTTCCATTGTTTCTGCCTACCCTAATGGGAGACAGGCGTGATAAATGCATGTATAATAATAATATAATTGATTCAGCAAACACATATTTGCCTCTCATTGTATGTTCTACCGCTTGTATAACAAATTGTGTTCTGAAGAATTGTTTGAAATGAAGCCCAGAGCCACATTTATCATCACACCGCTCGTTATCGACAGGGAATTTATCCTCACACGCTTGAATCTAAATGGTCACGTACAGTGCGGTTTTAAAGGAATGTTCTCCCGCGAACGTTCAGGCTGTGAAATGAGCTCTCTGCCGAAGTTTTCTCTAGAGACTACAGTATGGGGTTTATCAAAAAGGGTACATTAAGGTTTCTTCAGAGTCGGCAACGCGCACGTGACACCCCTAGTGTTGCAGGCGTTCATAGGCTACAATGACCATTTACCAACAGACGGGCTGTATACTCGTTTACCACTTTCGTGGTAAAAAAACGATTGTCTTACAAAAGAGTGTAGATGCAAAGTATACAATATATGGGGTCATTCATAAATTAGGCCACAGGAATTTCATGACTTTTGGACTCCCCCACCCCGCTCTTGTCACAGCTGTCAAAAGAATAATCACCTGAAGGCAGTAGCGAGGACTCCGCTGTAGCCTTGAGCTGAACTCGCGCCAGTAAGTCCGACGGTCGGGCTAGACTCTATTGGTGGGAGTTTCTTGTTTTTTATAAGCACCTGAAAACAATCTGTCCATATAATAAAACTGTTTATTTTATTTTTTTATTTATTTATTTATTAAAAAAATTGTAATGTGGCCAGTAAAAAATTGGGAATTAGAACTATATAAAATTAATATTGGCCCTTTTACGAGATCTACTTTAGAAATATTACGTGAAGTGTTAAAAACTTGTGTTTACCACCGACGCTCGCACAGATAGTTTTGACGCAGTCTGGCGTAAAAAGACAGCTTCGATTTTACGTCGAATACGCGGGAGTAGCAACAGTATCCTGAACATGTTTGTTAATAAATTGGATAGTCCTCTCGTGAAAATGCTCTCCGAGAGGACTAGATCATTATTAGTAATAAAGTATTAACATAGTTTTTAAGTACACTTACTAACAAAAATGGATCCAAGTTATCTAAAATTAAATAAATAAATAAAAAAAAAATAAACTACCAATGTAAATACAGTTAATGTCTGTCTAGTACATCGATAAATTAAAGTTAATATATAATTCCTTAAATACTAATACTAATTATAAGTAATCCCCCAACGTACCACACCGAGGCAGCGTACCCAAGGTACTGGCGGCATTACCTCTTTGGATCGCCAAACTTATCTTTTGGGCAAAGTAGCTACCAGCTCTCGGGTCATTGGGTATTAATTTTGCTTGCAAAATTTGATTGAAATTTTTTTTTTATTTTTTAAAGATGGAACTAGACTTTAAATATATAATATATTATTATATGACAACATTAAGCTTGTAAATTAAATACTAAATCATCTTCCTACCCTTATCCCAATCATTTTGGGGTCGGCGTAATATGATTTTAACCATATTACAAAAAGATTTGGTTTTTAGTTTTACGACCGGCCACCTGCCTGACGTCAACCCTCTTTGGGAATGAATTTGTTGGTGGTTTCCGCTAAATTCCGTTAAATACTAAATAATATTGCAAGTTAAATAAAAGCTTACCTTATATTTGAGCTGTTCGGGACTCGGCAGCCGAGGGTCATCGGTGTAGTCAATTTCGAATAGAAATGACGTCACCAGCTTGTCTCCGAACACTGCCTGGATGAAGACGCAACCAGTACAGTACCCGCAATCATCAACATCACCTTGTCAGCCGTTCACTGGTGAACATAGGCTTCCCCATAGATTGCCATAAGAGACAGTCTTCAGCCATATTTTTGAGGTTTTTTTATACAACTTAGAATGGCAAACCAGCTGACGGCCCACCTGATGGAAAGTGGTAACCGTCGTCTATATACTTGAGCAGTACCATGAATATAACAGAGTATACTGTTTCGTCCATTATACCCCCCCATGCGTTGCCATTCCTGAGGACTCAGGTGTTATTCCTCTGTACCCTGTAAATTCACGCCATATCCCACCCTTCAAACTGAAACACAGCCATGCAAACACAACTGCTGTACGGTAGAAACACGAATAGGACAGAGGTACCCAAGCAATCGACTTGTACAAAGTCTCCCTCTGGTATATATCATGCTGCAATAGCTGCCTGCTAGCTCAAGCGATCTTAATCATCAGTACCATTTCAGCCGCCTACCATCTACTGCCAAAAACGGGCCTTTTTTATACCACAAAGGTGGCAAACAAGCAAACAGCATACATACCTCTCTCTCTCTTAATGGCAGTTTTTCAACAGTTGCCACGTTTGGCAGGCTGATTGGCAACCGCAGTTAAGCTTTGGTGATGACTGAAAGGGACGCTGTTACACATTCCTCGATCACTAAATTCTCTTAATCACTTCTTACGATATCCACGGGAAAGAAAGGGATGATCCATTCTATGCTGGGACCACGTGTGCGACAGTTTTTTTAAAAGTTGCCACGCTTGGCAGGCGGGTTGGCAACCGCAGATTTTGGTGATGTCTGAAAGAGACACTTCTGCGTATCTTTGTAACTTTAAGTTCCCTTAGTTGCTTCTTACAACACCCACGGGATAGGAAGGGATAGCCCAATCTATGCCCTAACTATACAGGGATTGGGGAGAAAGGGATTGTTAGTAATGGAGACTGAGAATTCCATTGCTAGCAATATACCACCCATCTCGAAGTAATTTATTTCATTGTGCTTTTTTTTTACTAAAAACATGAGTACAAAGTAGCAGGTAAAAAGGTCATCCTAAATAAATTACATAAAATTTTCTAAACCGATATTTTTTTTCTAAAAATTTCTCCAACTTCCCAAAAATTTTTTACCCAAAATTGCAGAACACACACCGAATATAGCAACACTGTTGAGTGATAGTACAAAGTGAGAGAGTACGCTACGATAGATTTCAACTCTCTGTCTACTCTGTATTCGTTTGTTGTGAAAATACATTGTAGCGATAACAACTGACCTCAAACGTGCTGGCCATGACCTGCTGCTGCGGCAGGCTGCAGTGGTTCTCGATGCTCAGGATCAGGGGGTATGGAGACGCCACGAACGCACTCCTATACAGATAATAAAAAGAAACATATTTCATGTTATTTTTTTAGTACAAGGGAATGATTCTCTATTAGCAATTACTATGCGAACAATTGCTAATTATCAAAAACTAATGGATTGAAGCATTTTATATCTAACTTTTAAATTTTAAATTTCAGATTGCTTTCTAATTTTTGAATGGGTTAAACATGTTTCTTTGACAAAAAGCTTCTTTTGTGATCAAGTGGCAAAACACAATGCAACTAATTTATTATAGTAATTTTAGTTCGAAAATTGCTCTGTAGAGGCGGTATAAATGTTTACTTGCTATAGTTATTAGGTAACACAGAACACATGGGGGGGGGGAGGGAGATGAAAATTGTTAGTTATGGAAACTAGTGTTCCCATTGTCAATATTGCCCTGTGATTGTCTTCCAGCGAATTCACTACGATGGATGAACTCATCCACTACTATTGTTTGTCACGCCATTGTATATATTTTTTTAATGAATGATTATGAAATTATAACCCCGCTTGCACTTATCTTCTCTCAATCACTTGCACAGTTGGCACATCGCGATGAATTTGACAATAATTAATGTATTATAAAAGAAATCCACTATGAATCCCTACCGTGCTATCGTTTCCACGACTCTCCGAAACGGGATTTTGGTTGTGAACGTGTGTCCATGGTAGATGACCGGGCTGCCGTCGTCTCCGTCCCAACAATCCAGTTCCACGCACCGACATCCCGTTAGAAGCACCTGGGAAATACATTGATAATTTTAAGGTACATGTTCCAGCCAGTTCAGTTCCAACAGCAGAAGCTTCAAGGTTTGAAGGGAATGGCAGTGAAATTATAGGATATGGAGGCATAACAGCATAGTCTTCACAAAAGGCTGAAGAGTAAGTCCCCTAACAAGAGTTGATGTCAGGCAGGCGGCCGGTCGTAAAACTATAAGCAAAATCTTTTTGTAATATGTATAAAAAAAAAAAATTACTCCGATCCCAAATAATTATTGGGAAAGGTATAAAGTTCGAAAGACCTCTTGAAAGGTCGAATATCGGATATAGAGAGTCAGAATTTGTCGTCAAAACGAATAAATAAAAGGCAAATTTATGTATTAAAAAAATGCCAGTCTTTTTTCGTTCTTTTGTCCTAGCTGTTTGTTTTGTTTCAAGCATATTCAAAAGAAAAGAGCATATTCCTTTTTAAAAGGCCGGCAGCACACCTGCAATGCCGTAGGTGTTGTGGGTGACCATGGGCGGCGGTAGTCACTTACCATCAGGTGAGCCGCATGCTCGTTTGCCCCCTGTGTTGTAAAAAAAAAAAAAAAAAAAAAAAAAGCCGTCTGTTTTGTCTGTAGAACGTTTTTGCGGCCAGCGATAGAACTAGTCAAAGAGGCCGCAACAATAGGTGAAGATGAAAGCAGATTAGTTAAGTCATTGTGAAGATTTCCACAAAAATTAACCACAACGGTTTCCAGGGGGACATTAACCTGATAGGGTATTTTACTAGCAACAGGACAGCAATAATATTTTTAGACCTCATTGGTTTTCCTTTATCATTAAGTGAGCTAACAGCTTGTTTGCTATTTTATATTGCATGAAATTGTCTTATTTGATAAAATTTTAAAGTCAATGTTAATTTGTTTCAGTCAAGCCAATTATTTTTTTTTAATAGTTTTAAAAAATGTTTAAATACAAATTAAAATTCAAAAATTGCCGCGCTTTTGTAATTACTCCCTCGAATTTTTCTCTTTGGCCAATTTTTTTTATTACATACAGATAAGTTTAAATTATTCATACAAATTCAATGTAGATTATATAAATTTCTTTTAAGTACTTATTCTTGATATAATTAAATAAAGTACTTTACTTAAATATAATATTACCCTAGTAGGTATTTAAGTAATACGTTGTGTAACTGCGCATGTCCGTTAATATTGATTTTTATAGGCGTTAAAACGTTTAGGCATTGTTATATTTTTAGACTTAGTCTCAGAACGGACAAGTTAAATTTAATTAAATATTCATTATAATCGTCCACATATTTAATTTTTAATCGATATTACACTGATGTTACTGGCGACAAAAAAAACCATAGACTAAATTACACGGAAACGTCAAATTGTTGTCAATTTGTTAAAGTCAAAACAACATAACCTATTTTCGAAGCGTCTTTGTGTTTTGCCGGGTTTTAAATACGATTTTCTTGTTATTTTCTTAGATATTTCACAAAAATGAAGGACACACCTACAGAAGTGGATAACAGAAATGTTGTGAAGAACAGAGAGTTGTTATATCGAATGATTATAAGGTAAAAATTATGGTAGTTTTTAGATTTAGCATTGGCAAATCTTTGATTTGATTAAACTCATAATATTAACGTTTAAATGTTTTAAATTATACAAAATTATTAATTTATGTATATTCTGCTCTTATAATGTAATTATGTGGAAAAACGATGGAAAACCTGAGCTTACAAGAAACCAGAGAGGAATTCACCAAAAGGATGCAGGAGTTCGAGGGACGACTACAGAAGGCAACCCTTTCGAGCCCCGGGGCAGCGAACATCGCTTCTGACTTCGCTGTCTTTAAACAGATGACACTGGAGAGTCTGCAATCTTTGCAACACCAAGTTGACTTGCTGGCAAAGGAAGTTGATTTGCAGGAAATGCGTAGCCGACGGAAAATTTTGTTGCTTCATGGCGTCTCAGAAAGTGATCAAGAGGACGTCGTCTCGGTGGTATGTGGTGTTGTTGGTGATCAAATGAAATTGGAGTTTTCAACGGAACATATTAGCCGGTGTCACAGGATGGGACGTATAACAACTAGTAAGAAAGCACGTCCACTTTTGGTGAAATTTCGTGATATCAATATTCGCGATAGGATCTGGTCCAATAAAACAAAATTGAAAGGCACCAATATTTCCTTATCTGAGTTTTTGACAAAAACTAGGCATGATACATTATAGCGGCCAGACAACGCTTTGGTGTCAGAAAGTGTTGGACGCGTGATGGGTTCATTCACGTCCTCGGATCCGACGGAGTACGGCACCGTATCAGTAACATGGCTGAACTGGGTAGGATTGTGGTACCAGAACCCCAAAAACCAGTTCCAGTTGCGGCAAAAACAGATATCGGCGTCAGCAGAACGAAACGAGTTCAAGCAACCAGGAAATAAGTGTTAATAATAGATATTTCATTTTTGCGGGTCGGTGAGTGAGTTTGTAGTCCTTACATTAATAGCATTATCCATTATTTTTTTTTTATTTATTTCAATCAAATAATCAGTAATCATATAATAATCAGTAATCATATACTTTTACCCACTATTTACTATTAATAATTAAGCAGTGATGGCACAGACTTATAAAAAAAAAGCGGGTACCCCGTGATTTAAATTTTTAAACAAGGTAAGTTGATTATCTTATTCTACCTTACATATTCTGAATCTATAAATGTCAATTGTCAGCTATCAGATAATATCTTATTATCTTAGATATATAACTTTACTTCTTTTATTTTATTTATTTTTTTCTTAATTTTTAAACGGATAGATACCCCTAAGTATTGAGGGACTCACTCACCGAATCTAGGTACAGGTCATTAAGTGAAATTGTAATTGTTAGTTTTCTTTCCTAACAACCGGCAGGTGGAGTACTAATGTACTTGACGTACTCATAATATTCACAATATTTTAAATTTTGTATATATATATATATATACATATATATATATTTTATTATATTTATTGTATTTATATTTATTGTATTGTATAGAATTTTTAGGATTTTTTTTTAAAGTATGCTCAATCTGTTTTGCAGTAGTGACGCGGACTCGGATAATGATGACTACTTCTCTGTTTCTACAATTGATTCATCCTGTAACACCAACAACAGTTTCTCCAGTTTGCCATGTCTATCGGATTCTTTGGCTGGGCTGTTCACAGATGTAGCTAACAATTTCAACATTATCCACATTAACGCCCAAAGTATTCCGGCAGATTACTCTGATATGATTACTTCTCTTGATCAACACAACATCCACGCTATATTAGTCTCCGAATCTTGGTTAAAACCATGCCCCTCTTCTACTTCTTATTCCCTCCCGGGGTTCCAACTTATTCGAAATGATCGAACTAGCAATGGTGGTGGTGGTGTAGCTATTTACCTTCGTACTCAATTTACTTACTCTGTGGTTAATATATCTGCACAGCCACCTCCATACAATGCTGGTGAACATCTTTTTATTGAAATCTCCCTCTCCCATACAAAATTACTACTCGGAGTCTACTATAGTCCTTCCATGCGCATTGATTATTTCTCGTCCTTTGAAAAAATTCTTGAAAATCTTACTCCTTCCTATAATCACACAATCATAATGGGCGATTTTAATACTTGTCTCCTAAGGAATGATTCACGTGCTTCCACTCTTATTTCAACTGTAAAAGCTTGCAATTTAAATATACTCCCGTTATCTGCGACACACCATTTTCCCAATGCTACACCTTCAATTCTCGATTTAATTATAATCTCATCCCCACAAAATGTTGTGAAGCATGGTCAGTGTGCGGCGGACTCCTTTTCTTATCATGATTTGATTTATCTATCTTACAAAATTCGTCCCCCAAAAGCAAAACGCAAAACTCTTTTCCAGCGTAGTTTTGGCAGTATGAACGTGGAGGGACTGCGCAATGATGCGAAAGCAATAGATTGGACACCTGTTAGAGAGGCAATGTCCGTGGATGAACAGGTTGTACAATTTAACAAATTGATAACTCAATTGTACGATGTGCATGCACCCGTCAAAGATATCAAAATTAAGCACGCACCTGCCCCATGGATTAATGATAAAATTAGGACATTGATGCATGGAAGGGATGCCGCAATAGCTCGTTACAAGTATCGTCCCAGTGTTGAAAATAATTACGAAATATAAAATGTACGGCTGGTTTTAAAACAAAACTGAAGAACTATTATTTGAGCAAGTTGTCATCTTCTTAATATGTTTATATGTCTGGTTAGCATACTTATTACGTGCATACTTTACGTGAACAGTATTTATATATTTTTATGTATTTGTGTAGGCGTTTATGTCCATGTATGTATATGTGTATATGTATGTATTTGTATATGTATAATATGTATATATATATATGTATATGTGTGTGTAGGTGTATGTATATAAATATAATAATGAGTAGGGATAATATTTATATTATTATATGTATCACATCTCCCATATTTAGAACTAACAAAATTTTTCATCGTGCCTCCCACCAAACTGTTTATAATTACTCCTCTCCATCCAAAGGTTGGCTGCAAGAGATCGCTCATAGCGATAAGGTCGCCCATTGTTCTCTCATTGTGATTATTTCTTGTAATTATTTATATTTATAATAAGTTTACTATTGTAATCTTTTGGAGGAAACAATAAAGAGTATCTATCTATCTATGTGTATCGGACTAATGAACAATTTAGTTGGGTTTGAAAGAAAATCGTGTTTATTTACATATAAGTTAACCCTATTCCGCAGCTTGAACTAGAGTAAAAAGTGTGTGTTAATGCAAGACATGACCTATCTGTTATACTCGTATTTCATATACATCTGTTTAGTCATTAAACTGTGAATAAGTACCAAACATTTCTACATTTTTTTTATACAACTTAGAACGGCAAACAAGTTGACGGCCCACCTGATGGATAGTGGCAACCGTCGCCTATAGACATGAGCAGTACTGTGGACATAACAAAGCATACTGTTTCGTCCATAATACCCCCCATGCATTGCCATTCCTAAGGACTCAGATGTTATTCCTGTGTACCCAGTAAATTCACACCATATCTTCACCTTCAAACCGAAACACAGCTATGCAAACACAACTGCTTCACGGTAGAAACACGAATGTGACAGAGGTATCCAAGCAATCGACTTTTGTACAAAGTCTCCCTCTTCATTATAGTGTCAGCTTTTACTAAGCGTAGAAAATAGAGTCCTATTTAAATTACATTTAACTGTCCACTATTGAAACACACACTACACATATACACTACACATATGATTAAATAAATATTACATGAATATACTATTTTATATTATTACTAGCATCCCGGCTTCGCACGGGTGGATATTTTTACATTTTAAACAGTGGTTATTGTGACACAACGATAATAGTTGGACATATAGTGTCGCTAAGTTTTTTGTAGTTATCGATATTTCCTTCAATATTGTAGAACATACTTTTGTTCTATCACCGATAGTTTCCGCAGCGCACGCGACCAAAGATATTTTATATCAATTTTTTACACTTTGAGTTACGTTACTAAAGTTTTAGTAAGGATCCCTTATCTTTTCTAGCAATAAATATAGCCTATTTTACTCGGGGTGAATGTAGGTTTCTAATGGTGGAAGAATTTTTGAAATCGGAGTAATTTTAAAGTTTATTCATTACAAACATACATATACACACAAAAATACAAATCTTTCCTCTTTATAATATTAGTGTAGATTTATATCTAATATATAAAATTCTCATGTCACAGTGTTCCTTACCAAACTCCTCCAAAACGGCTTTACTGATTTTCATGAAATTTTGTGTGCATATTCGGTAGGTCTGAGAATCGGCCATCATCTATTTTTTATACCCCTTAATGATAAGGGTCAGAGACCCACCCCTAAATAATTTATTTTTTATTTTTTTGACAATTTTTTTTTATTTTTATTTAAATATGATTTAGCATTGAAAAATACATACAACTTCAAATTTTCACCTTTTTACGATCAACCCCTGTTTTTTAAGCGCAATTTTTATATTCCGCAATATGGTTGCAAGATGACAATCGAATATAATGATTGTAGTACGATATATTTTCATGTATAGTTCTAGAAATAATGTATATGGTAAAACAACGTTTATCGAGTCAGCTAGTTAGTTTATATTATTGTCGTTGTTTTTGCTTGAAAATAATGGTATTGTTTTAATAAATTAGGTATTAGAAAACGTCACGTTTTTTAATCTATGTTTGTTTTTGATCACAGCCAGCTGTATTATGATGGATTCCAACCCATAGCGGCCACGTTGGCGGCCGCCGTTCACGCAGATCCACCTTGTCCGCCTAGTGATAGGTACAAAATATTGATTCAAATTTTCTTTTTTTTTTAATAATAAAATGATTTTTTTCTTCTCCCAAAGGTTATCATTAAAGTTTAAATTATGATTTTTTTTATACAACTTAGAATGGCAAACAAACTGACAGCCCTCCTGATGGAAAGTGGTAACCGTCGCCTATACACATGAGCAGTGCCATGCACACAACAGAGTATACTGTTTCGCCCATGATACCCCCCATGCGTTGCCATTCCTGAGGACTCAGGTGTTATTCCTCTGTACCCAGTGAACTCACGTTCAATTAATTTGAAGGGTGGGAACCCTTCAAACCGAAATACAGCCATGCAAACACAACTGCTTCACAGTTGAAACACGAAAGCTGAAAAATCGAAAATTGTAATTTTAAAATATTTCTATTTTTATTTTTCTATTTTTATTTATTTATTTTCCTATTACATTCAATATTTAAATATAATCATTATATCAAATATTGGTTGAAATATATATTTATTCGAATGAATTAATATATTTTTATTTATTGATACCAGGCTATTGAACCTGATGATGGTGGGCCTGCAGCACGAGCCAGATCGCAAGGATCGTCTCGCTGCGTCCAGCGGGGCTGAGCATCTGCTCGGAACAACTGGTTTTGGTGAGGATATATAGTCACTAATATAATAGCCTAAAGTCGGTCCTAGCATAGAATAGGCCACCCCTTCCTTTCCCGTGGGTGTCGTAAGAGGCGGCTAAGCGAGAGTGACGGATGGGCAGAAAACATCTCTAAACCTTAATTGCCGTTGCCAATCCGCCTGCCAAGCGTGGCAACTATTAGCAAAACCCTCCAAGGGGAAGATTTATGTTCAGCAGTGGACAGTTAAAGCTAGGTAGCTAATACGATTTGATGCCAATGAATTATATTATTCTCAATTTCGTGTATAATATAGTATATGTCATATATGTGTAAGTATATTTGTTATTTATATATATATATATTTATTCGTTTATATATGTAATTTTAGTATGTATGTATATCAATAATTACTAGTACCGCATTCGAGTATTCTGACACTTGCCTATGGTCGACTGGGAGAGAATGCTGTTAGCATTAAGTCCGCCATGTACATATATTTGTACTAATGAATAAATAAATAAATAGTATAAAAGTGATAGTGAGTTTATTTGTTACCTCTTAATGACTTAACAGCTTAAAGAATCACTCTGATGGTTGGTATTCATACTATATGGGATAGGGAAGTATATAGGCTTTTTCTTTAAACATATCACGGTCACGTCGACGAAGACGCGGGTAAAAGACAGTTTAAAATAACGACTACTTGATAGAGAGGATAAGAAAAGAGTCACACAGACAAACTTTCTTGTTTTTGCTATTGCTTGTGTCTATTTCTGTTTCTCCTTTTGTTACTATTTCTGTTTCTCCTTTTGTTACTATTTCTGTTTCTCCTTTTGTTACTATTTCTGTTTCTCCTTTTGTTACTATTTTTGTTTCTCCTTTTGTTACTATTTCTGTTTCTCCTTTTGTTACTATTTCTGTTTCTCCTTTTGTTACTATTTCTGTTTCTCCTTTTGTTACTATTTCTGTTTCTCCTTTTGTTACTATTTCTGTTTCTCCTTTTGTTACTATTTCTGTTTCTCCTTTTGTTACTATTTCTGTTTCTCCTTTTGTTACTATTTCTGTTTCTCCTTTTGTTACTATTTCTGTTTCTCCTTTTGTTACTATTTCTGTTTCTCCTTTTGTTTCTATTTTCGTTTCTCCTTTTGTTACTATTTCTGTTTCTCCTTTTGTTTTTATTTCTTCTTCCATTTGTTTCTATTCCTTCATTTGTGTCTACTTCTGCTCGTTTCTGTTTCTTGTTTTGTTTTACTTCGGTATGTTTCTATTTTCGTTTCTTGATTTATTTCTACTTCTTATTTTATTTCTGTCTCTGTTTATATGTTTATTCTTGTTTCCATTTGTATTTCTGTACGTATATGCGATTGTACAGATCTGGAGTTCGAGATGGACGCGTCGTCGCTGGCGCCGGAGCCGGCGACGTATGAGACGGCGTATGTGACGTCACACAAGATGGCGTGCCGCGCCGGCGCCTTTAGTGCCTGCGGACAGCTCGTGGCCACAGGCAGCGTCGACGCCAGTATTAAGGTAACGTTTTCTTTGTGGGATGATAATGGAATGTTAATCCCGCCTGCGCTATCGGTATACGCTGGCGGGGCACCAGTGAGGCATGATAGGTGAGGATGAAAAGGCAAGTCAGTTAGCCCATTATTACGAATTTAACTATAAATTAGTCACGATGGTTTCCAGGTGGAACCGCGTTCTTGATAGGGTTTATTTACAGCAATGGGGACTAATCCCTTCCCCCCTTAAGGTAACGTTCACTAGCTGCTCTCCGCGGCGTTACACACGTGCAGATGCACTAGATCTAGAAATCTAGATATAGTTTTCTATATAGAAAAAGATTGAGAAACGAACATTAATTAAAACAATAGAGAATAGAAGAAGCAGAATGCTGGGCCATCTTATACGACATGACGATTTTTTAAAGAGCATATTAGAAGAAAAATAGAGGGCAAAAGAGGAAGAGGAAGACCGAGGAATAACTACATGGGACAGATAAAGGAAACACTAGGCGTCATGTCGTATAGGGAGGTCAAGGATATGGCCTGGGATAGAGCTGGCTGGAAGAAGATGCATGAATCAGTTGCACCGACAAGAGGAAACTCTTGAATGAAACGAAGAAGATAGGAAAAATGGATAAATGGGTTTATTACCTATAAAGGAAATTACCTCTAATCGAAATTTGGTAAATCAAAAATCGGTGACGCAATGGGTGTAGCGAGCTAGCGTAGAGCTAATCGCTCCACGGGTTAAGCATGAGTGAATATATTTATAAGTCGGATTTGTTTGTTATTTTAGAGATTTAAAGATTAGAAATTGGAGAGAGGATTTTTTTTACAACACGACGGCAAACGAGCATGCGGCTCACCTGATGGTAAGTGACTACCGCCGCCCATGATCACCCACAACACCAGCGGCATTGCAGGTGTGCTGCCTTTTAAAAAGGAATATGCTCTTTTCTTGAAGGTTACGTTGTCGTATCGGTTCGGAAATACTGCTGCTGGAAGTTGATTCCAAAGAGTGGTTGTGCGTGGAAGAAAAGTGGTTAGAGATAAGTGTGGACTGAAAGACGATGTGGTGACAAAGATTGAAAAGGGAATGCTGTGTTTGTTTGGCCATTTGGAGAGGTTGGATGACAGAAGAATTACGAAAGAGAGTAATTTTTTTCATGTTTTTTTTTATTAAGAATTTTTTTAAACTTCATCAATTGTTTGAATTTTTATATATATATATATAATATAGTTTGTCCAGAATTGGTCCAACCATTCTAGAGTTTTGTTCTTAGAAATACATTTAGAAAAAAAAAAATGTGCATTTTAGATTTTGGACGTGGAACGTATGTTGGCCAAGTCGGCTCCCGAGGAGGTGGACCCTGGGCGGGAGCAGCAGGGGCATCCAGTCATCAGAACTCTGTATGTTTTTATATTTATTAATTATTATATTAAATTTATTATTATTGCGCCATTTTTATAGTAACCCCGCCCGCGCTATCGGTATAGATTGAACACAACTACGTTTGACGTCATACTCGTGAACGGGTGTTTTTAGGGACTGGTTAATTTGAGATAATTTTACTTACTTTATTACTTTTTTCCACTACTATTTATTTATTTATTTTTACTTTATGTACACATGTATTGTTATATCTTATAGAGGAAATAATAGTTTTTTTTATGCAACTTAGAATGGCAAACAAGCTGACGGCCCACCTGATGGAAAGTGCTAACCGTTGCCTATAGACATGAGCTGTACCGTGGACATAACAGAGTATACTATTTCGCTCATGATACCCCCCATGCGTTGCCATTCCTGAGGACTCAGGTGTTTTTTTTTTAATAGATAAAAATGGAATGGTAACCCGCCCGCGCTATCGATATATACCGACGAGGCATCAGTGGAAGATGATAGGTGAGAATGAATGCAGGTCAGTTGGCCCACCATGATGAATTCGAACTCGACAAGAATTAACCATAATGGTTTTCAGGGGGAACCGCGTGGAGGTCGACCTGAGAGGGTCAATTGCTAGCAACGGGGCTATTAGACCTCATTACTGACAATCCCCTTCCCCCCGGACTCAGGTGTTATTCCTCTGTACCCTGTAAATTCATTGCCATATTCCATCCTTCAAACCGAAACACAGCTATGCAAACACAACTGCTTCACGGTAGAAACACGAATGGGACAGAGGTGTCCAAGCAAACGATTTTTGTACTGTCTCCCTCTGGTAAATATCTATTCCTCTATCTATCTATCTATCTATCTATGAGAATGCAGATAGTAATTTTAACTCTCTCTGTTCCATAGATACGATCACACAGACGAGATCACCGCTCTGGACTTCCACCCTCGAGAGCAGATCCTGGTATCAGCGTCCAGAGACTGCTGTATCAAGCTGTTCGACATAACGAAGGCATCTGCTAAGAAGGCCTACAAGTCAATCACGGTTTGTTTATAACGCTTGTTATTTGTTTAGATTTATTTAGTTTAATTCCGCCACCGTTAGTATGTGTGCGACTGCCAACACTCGAAGACTGACCGCCACTGTTACTACCAGGAGTTCCACAACCCTCCATATTGGTCATCAATCTCCGACTGCCATTTCGTCTACGCACGTTTTGCGAAACTGCGAAAGTTTGGGTTAGCGGAATGGTTAATATTAAACAAGCAGCGATTTGTTAATTTGCCTGAAGATGCCTCGTTTAAATGTGAAATACGTGAATACGAGTCGCAAAACGTGCGTGGACGTAAATAGGTTTGTGGGGAAATAGTTACAGACGTGTATATATATATATATATATATACCATTACATTAAGTTGTAGATTGTAACAAAAGTGTAATATTAAATGCGGTAGATGACGTTTGTGTTATATAAAATAAATATACTGTAATCAGGACATAGAGCAAGAAAAATGTAAAATATTTTTTCCTCTCACAACGCAGACTTTGAAAAAAACTTTATTTATTTATTCATTAGTACAAATATGTGTACATGGTGTACTTAATGCTAAAAGCATTCTCTCCCAGTCAACCATAGGCAAGTGTCAGAATACTCAAATGCGGTACTAGTAATTATTGATATACATACATGCTAAAATTACATATATAAACGAATAAATATATATGAATAACAAATATACTTACACATATATGACATATACTATATTATACACGAAATTGAGAATAATATAAAGCACTTACTGCTCGGATAAAGTGAATTTATTTAGTTATTAGTATTCTAGAAAACTGGCTGCTTTTTGTACATACCGGCTCGCCTTTCACATAATTTATTCACCAGAGGGAGACTTTGTACAAAAGTCGATTGCTTGGGTACCTCTGTCCCATTCGTGTTTCAACCGTGAAGCATTTGTGTTTGCATGGCTGTGTTTCGGTTTGAAGGTTGGGATATGGCGTGAATTTACTGGGTACAGAGGAATAACACCTGAGTCCTCAGGAATGGCAACGCATGGGGGGTATCATGGGCGAAACAGTATACTCTGTTATGTCCATAGTACTGTGCATGTCTATCGGCGACGGTTACCACTTTCCATCAGGTGGGCCGTCAGCTCATTTGCTATTCTAAGTTGTATATAAAAAAAAATTTACAGAACACAGAAAAATAATTCTTGTAACGATTTTTTTTATTAGGCCGCAGAAAAAAAAAATATTTTTTTTAACCAGAACGCAGAGCGGTAGTTTTTTTTTGCAATCAAGACTTGGGTAAATTTTTTTTTTTGTTTCTATCAGGACGCGGAGCAAGTGCTGTGCGTTGCGTTCCACCCGCTCGGCGACCACATCATCGCGTCCACCACCCACCCTGTGATCCGGCTGTACGACGTCACCACCAGCCAGTGTTTCGTGTGCCCCATACCCACGCACCACCATAAGAAGCAGGTCAACTCCATCAAGTGAGTGGGCATATTAATGTTTCACTTTTATATGGCTCGGCTACGCCTCGGCCCACATTTGCACGTTCGTCCATCAATGCCTCAGTTGCTGGCCGCTGCAGTAATGAACTATTTATTCAAGTAAACTTAATAATTTATTTTATTATTAATTTATTATCAATCGACATATCCCGCTTTTATGCAGACGAAGTTGCGGGTAAAAACTAGTTGTTTGTATTCTAGAAGGACTTCTCCGTTCTAGATTCTCCCCTAATGGCAAGTACTTCGCGAGTGGCAGCGCGGATGGATCGGTCAAACTGTGGGACACTGTCTCCAATAGATGTTTCAACACGTTCATAAATGCACACGACGGGGCCGAAGTGTGCTCTGTCGCGTTCACCAGAAATAGCAAGGTAATAAAGTTGGTTCCAATACAATTTAGTTAAAATGTAAACAGACGGGTCATTGGCCCGACCATAGACAATCTAGTGATGTCCAATGATGGTGTCAATCGAAAGTTGACTAATCAATTTAAGGTTTCGACTTATTACTCATTTAAGATGTAGTTGAAACGTAAACAGACGGGTTATTGGCCTGACCATAGACAATCTAGTGATGTCCAATGATGGTGTCAATCGAAAGTCGACTAATTAATTAATTGTTTCGACTTATTACTAATTTCAATTGTAGTTCAAACGTAAACAGACGGGTTATTGGCCTGACCATAGACAATCTAGTGATGTCCAATGATGGTGTCAATCGAAAGTCGACTAATTAATGTATCAATTTATTACAAATTTGATTTAGACAGTGTTTCTATGATAATTCTAACAAAATTTTGTTAATTTTGATTGAATCGATTTAATAGAATTCTGTTGAAAACTAAACAGACCGTTCATTAACCCAACCATAGACAATGTAGTGATGTATTTTTTTTTATACAAATTAGAATAGCAAACAAGCTGACGGCCCACCTGATGGAAAGTGGTAACCGTCGCCTATAGACGTGAGCAGTACCATGAACATAACAGAGTATACTGTTTCGCCCATGATACCCCCCATGCGTTGCCATCCCTGAGGACTCTTCTTATTAGGTGTGTGTATTAGGGGTGGTTCTTATGAGGTGTTATTCTTCTGTACCCAGTAAATTCACGTTTAAATAAATGATTTTTTTTTTTATTTTTGATTGAATTTATTATTATTTGTTCCAGTATCTTCTAACTTCGGGTTTGGACTCGTCTATAAAGCTATGGGAATTGGCAAGCAGCAGGTGTCTCATACTGTATACAGGCGCTGGCACTACAGGTGAGGCATATACAGGGTGTATTCGAAACAATTCAGTTCTCAGGTCTCTTCAGACGTAAATAAATACATATTATTGTTATTTATTAATAAATGTGGATAGACATGACTTATTATGATGGATAGAGAAGACTTAAAAAACCAGGGGGGAAAGGGATTGTTAGTAATAGAGACTGAGAATCCCATTGCTAGCAATATACCCAACCAGGTCGACCTGCACGCGGTTCCCCCTGGAAACTATCATGGTTAATTCCTGATGGATTCATCATGATGGGCTAACTGGCCTGTTTTCATTCTCATCTATCACCCTTCACTGGTGCTCCGCCAGCGTATCCCGTTAGCGCAGGCGGGGTTACCATACCATTTTCACCCATCAAAACAAAAAAGTTCGCATTCATTTCCGCATTCACTCCCTTTCTAGCCATATCGTCTTTCATACAGTCCATCCATGGTTTTTTAAGTCTTTTTTTCCATCATTCATGGGGTGGGCCGTCAGCTTGTTTGCCATTCTAAGTTGTATAAAAAAAAATCTATTTCTGTCTACCAGGCAAGCAAGAACATCACGCGCAAGCTGTGTTCAACCACACGGAGGACTATGTGATGTTCCCTGACGAAGCCACCACCTCGTTATGTACCTGGCACTCGAGGAGTGCCAGCCGCTGCCAGCTGATGTCTCTGGGTCATAATGGAGCCGTCAGGTGAGATACCGTCACGCCCAAGACCCTAGCGGAGTGGGTAGAGGTATACCGAGGTGATAGTAACTTATCTTCACGCTGAAACCTTAGTGTGATGGGTAGAGGTATCAGTATAACTATATCGTTTAACTGTCATGGAGGGACAGCAGCGTCTCTCTTAAATTTTTTTTTATATAACTTAGAATGGCAAACAAGCTGACGGTCCACCTAATGGAAAGTGGTAACCGTCGCCTATAGACATGAGCAGTGCCATGGACATAACAGAGTATACTGTTTCGCCCATGATACCGCCCATGCGTTGCCATTCCTGAGGACTCAGGTGTTATTCCTCTGTACCCTGTAAATTCACTGCCATATCCCACTCTTCAAACCGAAACACAGCCATGCAAACACAACTGCTTCACGGTAGAAACACGAATGTGATAGAGGTACCCAAGCAATCGACTTTTGTACAAAGCCTAACTGCGGTTGCCAACTCGACTGCTAAACGTGGCAACTACTGGCAAATCACCATAATGGGGGGGGGGAGGCCTATGTCCAGCAGTGGATAGTTTATTAATTAATTTAATATATTTTCTAGGTACATAGTCCATTCTGGAACGGCGCCCGCATTTTTGACCTGCAGTGACGACTACCGTGCCAGGTTTTGGTACAGACGGAATACTCACTAAATTATATATATATATATATATAAAGCGTTTGCCTACGGTTTTGCTCGTGTGTGGTATTTATTTTCGATTTCTGTTCCTATAAAATTTTACACAATTTCCCAAACTTTCAACCCCCGTTTTATCGCCTTAGGGGTTGAATTTTCAAATCCCTTTCTTATTGTTCACCTGCGCTATATAAAGAACCTATCTGCAAAATTTCAATATTCTAGATCCAGCCGTTTCAGTCAGTGAGACAGTCAGTCAGTCAGTCAGTCAGTCAGTGAGTCAGTCAGTCAGTGAGTGAGTCAGTCAGTGAGTGAGTGAGTCAGTCAGTCAGTGAACCAGTCAGTGAGTGAGTCAGTCAGTGAGTGAGTGAGTCAGTCAGTCATCATCCATTTTTATATATATATAGACTATCTGACCCGGTAAACATAGTTCTGTCATATAAATATTTGTTTTTTGTAGATAGGGACACCTTAATAGTCTAGCGGTATGAAATATATGATCTGTTCTCAAAGCTATCAAATATATATATATATATATATATATATAAAATCATAAAAATCGGTCGATCCGTTTCGGAGGAGTGCGACCACACACCGTGACACAAGATTTTAATATATATGTAGATAAATATTAAGTAAACTAGCGATCCGACCCGGCTTCGCACGAGTAGACAGACTTTTATTTTAAAATAAAATAATACATATAATTAAGCCAATTGCAACTGATCGGTTATTTTATAGCATTTCATATGTGACTCTTTAGATTGATATAACTTTTTTATTTATGAACCGATTGAAATAAAACAAACACTAAATGTTAAGTGGAGAAAACCGCAACGACATTAGTGGAAATCACATTTAAATCGGTTAATCAGTGAAAATTACATTCATATCGATAAAGTCGTTTCTGAGTATAGCGTGCACAAACCTACAGACAAACGGACACAAATTCTAAAAATCATTGTTTTGTGTTCTATTGCGTTCATCAAGCCTCCCTGTAATGGTTTTTCTTTATATATCTTCCATGTACAGACAGCGACCAGTTACGACTTTATTATATATATAAAAAATTTTCAATGCTAAATTTTAATTAAATAAAAATTAAAAAAATTGACAAAAAAATATTTTGGGGTGGGTCACCCTTATCATTGAGGGGTATGAAAAATAGATGTTGGCCGATTCTCAGACCTACCCGATATGCACACAAAATTTCATAGAAATCGGTAAAGCCGTTTCGGAGGAGTTTGGTAACAAACGACAGTGACACGAGAATTTTATATATTCGATATAATTATTAACTTACAAAAGAAATTGTTCAAAATTCTATTTCGGAAATAAAACCGACTAATACTCGTATGTTTTTTTTTTTAAACAACACCTGTACACTCTGATGAATGAATCTTAGATTTTAACCAATTTGTGTCGAAGCGGACTGTACTGTATTACGAATAAAGTAAATCACTTACTATATCGTCATAGTCGTAGAATACAGACGGATCTGACAAATGTTACATACATCCGTCAGTATTCTACCACTATGACGATACGTTAAAAAAAAAAGTATATGTAATTATTAATAATTAAAAAAATAAAATATCTTTCAGCCTATATGTGTTTGTTTTTACCCAACCACCAAATAAAAGTGTCTTCCTTTCTTTATATTTTTGGCAATCTACAGTCAAGTGTTTTTAGCACACTTACGAATGGCAAACAATCTGACGGTCCACCTGATGGAAAGTGGTAGCCGTCGCCTATAGACATGAGCAGTGCCATGGACATAACACGAGTATACTGTTTCGCACATGATACCCCCCATGCGTTGCCATTCCTGAGGACTCAGGTGTTATTTCTCTGTACCCTGTAAATTCACTGCCATATCCCACCCTTCAAACCGAAACACAGCCATGCAAACACAACTGCTTCGCGGTAGAAACACGAATGGGACAGAGGTGCCCAAGCAAACGACTTTTGTACAGTTACCTTCCTGTCTGTACTTTGCCGCCGGTTTCAAAACGCAAGAGTAAAAAAAACCATTCAATTGTATTTTTTTTATGTCTATTACTTCATAACTCTGTCAGTTGTAAACGTTAGTTTTCAGAAACCGGGTGAAGGTAGACCTGATCCCTTATATTGCTAGCAATGGGGCTGTTATTACCCATTGCTAGCAATCCCTTCCCCCCTTGAGTAATTCAGTGGCACTTATCAATAAGTTTCATGTCAACTTACCTGGCTGTACAGCTCAACGGAGGACTCCCCCTTCAACTGGTGGCCGGTCAGGTAAGTATTATGGCTGCTGGCTATGTAGTACTGGCTGAGTGGACCGCTCATCTGCTTGGAGATATCCCTGCTTAGCTCCTCGTCGTCAGTTTTGGGGGGCTTGCTGGGGAAATGTGAGTCGTGAGCCGATGGTGGAAGGACCACAATACAATCGAGTTTTAGGGGTTCATTTATTAAATTTATAAAAAAGAAATTATTGTATGGGAAACATAAAGTTAAAATTATTTTTATAGATAGATAGACACTATTGTTCCCTCCATAAGATTACAATAGTAAACTTATTATAGATACAAACAATTACAAGAAATGATCACAGTGAGACAACAATGGGCGGCCTTATCGCTGAGAGCGATCTCTTGCAGCCAACCTTTGGATGGAGAGGAGTTATAAACAGTTTGATTGAAAAAAAAATTTATGTCATATATATATACACTATGTCATGTTAACTGGTAGAGAATGTCATATGGAATTAAGCTTGCCACTAGTGCAAAGTATTATTGTGCAATAAATAAAGTAAAATACCATAAAATAAAAATAAAGCAGTTAAACGACGTCTGTACATAAGAGATTTTTGAGAAAAAATAATATAAGAGGTCTTTATAAGACCAAAAGAAGCCAAAATGGTAATTTATTAATCCCAGACTTAAAAGCGGTATCGAACCTAAGTCTTAGGAGAGATTTTGCCTCACTCTGCGTGTTCTACCGCTTGTACAACGGATTGTGCTCAGAGGAATTATTCAATATGATGCCTACGGCCACTTTATGCCATCGTACAGTTTGCCATCGGCAGGGAGTTCATCCTCATACCCCAAAACCTAGATAGTCGCGCACAATGCGGTTTCAGAGATGTTTCCTCCCTCGAACGCTCAGGTTATGGAATGAGCTGTCAAAGTTCTTCCAGGAGTTTCTTCAGGGTCGGCGACTCGCGCGTATTTTTCTGTTATTGCAGGCGTTCATAGGCTACAGTGATCGTTTACCATCAGACGGGCTGTATGACTACCTCCATGATATAAAAACCAATTTAATATAATATCTACATAATAAAATAATAAAAATTACATAGATACTTATTAATTTTATGCAACTTAGAATGGCAAACAAGTTGACGGCCCACCTGATGCAAAGTGGTAACCGTCGCCTATAGACATGAGCAGTACTATGGACATAACAGATTACTATGTCGCCCATGATACACCTCATGCGTTAATTAAACATACTATTTTATATCTATACATGTTATATATAGGTACTTTTATAGGATATGAAAGGATAAAATATTACCTAATGAAATTGTTAGCTCTCCTTTGCTCAGGCACGAATGCGTAGTTGTCCTTGTCCGTGAGAAATCTTACGAACCCCTCGAAAGAGAGGCAGTGTTCAGAGCGCAACGTCGAGTCCGGTTCGTGTCTCTGAAAAGGGCAAGAAAATGTAAGAATCCAACATAATCATTCACCAGAGGGAGACTTTGTACAAAAGACGTTTGCTTGGACATCTCTGTTCCGTTCGTGTTTCTACCGTGACGCAGTTGTTTGCATGGCTGTGTTTCGGTTTGAAGGGTGGGATATGGCAGTGAATTTACAGGGTACAGAGGAATAACACCTGAGTCCTCAGGAATGGCAACGCATGGGAGGTATCATGGGCGAAACAGTATACTCTGTTATGTTCATGGTACCGCTCATGTCTACAGGCGACGGTTACCACTTTCCACCACGTGGGCTGTCAGCTTGTTTGCCAATCTAAGTTGCATAAAAAAAGTTGCATTAAGTTCCCTTTATCGCCTCTTAAGACACCCACTGGGAAAGAAGAGGTGGCCCATTCCATGGCGGGACCATTTTACGGTTAATGCGAATAGACAAAATAAATTTAAAAGGCCGGCAGCACACCTGCAATGCCGCTGGTGTTGTGGGTGATCATGGACGGCTGTAGTCACATACCATCAGGTGAGCCGCATGCTTGTTTGCCATCTGTGTTGTGAAAAAAAAAGATCTAACCTGAATTATATCTCTCAGCTGATCCTCAGTCTTTGGTTCATTTTGTCTTGTCTCACAGAATTTGCCTAGCGTTGGCATCGACAGTACCCTGCCGCTCACGTCTGGGCACGCCCCTGCAAATAGTAACGGGTTAGATTAGAAAAAGCGGTCAACAGCGAATCTAACCCGGATATCGAGGGTTCCGTACAAATTATTTTTCGTCAAGATCAACTGCGTTCATTTCCAATACACATTATATTAATTAATTATTAATATTTTACTATTTAATTTACTTATGAATGTCTCGTACATTAGTCGAGTGAAATTAGTGGTCGAGTGAAATTAGTAGTCGAGTGAAATTAGTAGTCGAGTGAAATTAGTAGTCAGATGAAATTAGTAGTCGAGTGAAATTAGAAGTCGCATGAAATCAGAACTCGAGTGAAATTAGAAGTCGCATGAAATTAGTAGTCGAGTGAAATTAGTAGTCGAGTGAAATTAGTAGTCGGATGAAATTAGTAGTCGAGTGAAATTAGTAGTCGAGTGAAATTAGTAGTCGGGCGAAATTAGTAGTCGGGTGAAATTAGTAGTAGAGTGAAATTAGTAGTCGAGTGAAATTAGTAGTCGAGTGAAATTAGTAGTCGGGTGAAATTAGTAGTCGGGTGAAATTAGTAGTCGGGTGATATTAGTAGTCGAGTGAAATTAGTAGTCGGGTGAAATTAGTAGTCAGATGAAATTAGTAGTCAGATGAAATTTGTAGTCGGGTGAAATTAGTAGTCGAGTGAAATTAGTAGTCCGGTGATTTGAAAATCATTCGAATAATCCCAATTGATTGCTTAGTCGAATAATTAGTAGATTAGTAAAGTTGCGCATCGCTTTAATATTTCGAGTAACACACGCGACCTTTCCAAGGGTCGCGACCTCCAGTTGAGAAATGATGCTCTAAGGAACTTGGCTTGAAGATATATACTCACCAGGTAGAGCGGCGGCCGCCAGCAGGTCGAAAGCCTTCTTTCGACTCGCTTTATCACTGGGAGGTTCTAAGTCTAACGATCCATTCCTAGTTAATAGGCCTGTAAAGAACAAATGAATGAATGAAATCTGACTCTCTCTCTTTATTAATCCTCTCAGAGAGTAAAAATTATTAATTCCCTCTTGTGCCACCTACCCACTTCTACCTGTTCTCCTTTAACCAAAGCTTGTCTGTAAGAGATTGCCCTAGCGATAAGACCGCCTTTTGTACCTTTATGTGTATATTTCAATCTGTATTTATGTTACTGTATTTTACTTGAATTTTCTAATTGTCATTGTATATTTTTATGTTTTTTGTGCAATAAAGAATTAGTGAAGAAGAAAGGTAAAGACTGGTAAAGAACATGCGATTTAACTTGTCTTTTAACCCATAAATACCTGAAGTTTCAAATTTGATACCGGGTTTATAAATCGCATTGGGCGCCTACAATCGATTTTATTTTAATATTTGGCTGTTTACATGTTACCAAATGTTTTTTTCAAAATAAATAAAAATATCGTTTTGATTTTTTTTTTTACTATTTTTCCCCATTAGTAAACACAGTAAAGGGTACACTTATATATTTTTTTATTTGATTTAAAAAAACAGGCTTTTAAGGTTTAAACGGAAGTAAAGACTGGGCACTTTGTATAAAATACATGTTGGAATAAAGAACCCGATGGAAATTAATATAGATTATCCGACTAACATGGGCGATACCGGGGGGAAAGGGATTGTTAGTAACGGAGATTGAGAATCCCATTGCTAGCAATATACCCAACCAGGTCGACTTCCTTACGGTTCTCCCTGGAAACTATCATGGTTAATTCCTGATGAATTCATCATGATGGGCTGACTGGCCTGTTTTCATTCTCATCTATCACTCTTCACTAGTGCTCCGCCAGCGTAACCCGATAGCGCAGGCGGGGTTACCATACCATTTTCACCCATCAAAAAAAAAACATGGGCGATACCAAAGTGGTGGATATGCTTTTTCTCCGCCATCAATGTCCATATTGACGAATAAATCATCATCTTATTAGATTTCAACTGTCCAGTGCTGAGCATAAGATTCCTTGGAGGGATTTGCCAGTTGATACCACACTTGGCAGGTGGACTTTTGGACGAAAATGGAATGGCAACCCCGCCTGCGCTAACGGGATACGCTGGAGGGGCACTAGTGAAGGGTGATAGATGAGAATGAAAACAGGCCAGTTAGCTCATCATGATTTATTCCAATTGAATTAATCATGATAGTTTCCAGGAGGCCGACCTGGTTGGGTATATTGCTAGCAATGGAATTCTCAGACTCCATTACTAATAATCCCTTTCCTCCCTGGCAGGTGGACTGGCAACCGCAGCAAGGCTTTAGAGATATTTTAAGAGAGACCGTTCGAAAATTCCCTTAGTCCCCTCTTACGACGTCCACGGGAAAGGATGGGGTTGATCTATTCTATGCCGGGACCAGACGGCTCGATGAGGAAGGCAATAAGGAATGAATGTGGAACCCAATATACATATATAAATATCGTGGCGTTCCCTATATTACCAATTACTAGTAATTATGTCTAATAGAACTTACCAGTTCTAAAGGCAGCTTTTCCTCTAAACAATTCTGGGGAACTTCGACTCTTCTCTGTCCCCAGCAGGGGTGATTTATTTCTAGGCACTGCTAGTTGTTCGAACACATCACGCAATTCTGAACGCATTACTAAACTGGAAAAAAAGGGAAAAAATACGGTGAGTAGTGTTGGCAAACGAAATACAGAGCAAGAAACAACGGCGACCCTGTTGTCTGAGGGCCTACCATGAAATGTTTTTCGAAATTTCGGAGCCAAACAGATCACAAATTTGATGTAAAACTTACATAATACATGCCGTTTGGAAGTATTAAAAATTTATTTATTTATTTATTCATTAAAAATAATTATAACATTATAACAGCAAAAGCCAAATCAATGTTATAAACCTAGTGTGCTAACATATACAAAGTTATAATAAATGTGTTTAACCCGACTCTAGATATGTCTGAGCCGCTTCCAATATCTTTGGCAGGCTGCTACTAAATATATCAATGATGTTTATAATATTATTTAATAACCGTACTGCGTGAGTTAAGTGAGCGTGTTAAAGTAGGTTAGTTGTTAAAATATCGTTCCTTCGGACTTCTATGATAGGATGTATGATGAACGAAATGTTAAACTCCATTTATCGGTCCGATTTTGGTATAAACATAAACACGAAATCGAGTCCGAAAATTCGGGATTTCATTTCATGGTAGATCCGCTGGTCTCTAATTTTGGCCCCGATAATGGTGAGATGTTTAAACTACAGAAACAATGACACGTAGTGTTCCTTCTACGTACGTTGTTACCATTCGCTTGTTCATAACAATTACGTCCCGTGTGAAACTAGTGCTCACTGTTGTTCCTTTGTTTTGGAGTTTTGGGGCATTCCTTGATTGAACCGCGAAATGAACACTTGTGCTTATCGTAGCGGCAAACAAGTTGACGGCCCACCTTTTTTTTTTATACAACTTAGAACAACAAAGAAGCTGACGGCCCACTTGATGGAAAGTGGTAACCGTCGCCTATAGACATGAGCAGTACCGTGGACATAACAGAGTATACTGTTTCGCCCATGATATCCCCCATGTGTTGCCATTCCTGAGGACTCAGGTGTTATTCCTCTGTACCCTGTAAATTCACGCCATATCCCACCCTTCAAACCGAAACACAGCTATGCAAACACAACTGCTTCACGGTAGAAATACGAACGAGACAGAGGTACCCAAGCAATCGACTTTTGAACAAAGTCTCCCTCTGCCCACCTGATGAAAAGTGGTAACCATCGCCTATAAACATGAGCAGTACCGTTGCTTCTTTGCTTGACTCAAAAAATATTTGAAGCGATTTTTAAAAATCATTTCACCTATAGAAAGCTACATTATCAACAAGTAACATAAGCTATATACTATACCTTCATATGTATATACAGTAGAGGGTGGAAGGGATAGGTTGGCCAATACGAAAACAGCTGATTCAGAAAAATTGTCTGAATCAGATGACAGATTATTTTTCCATTGGAAATGCACCGCAGCCATATATAATAATTAAAGATTTTTAGTTTTAACAATGATTGTTAATATTTAAAATTTTACGATGCACACGACGCGCGACACCTACAGCACGTATAGGGAGACGAACGAAATAGAAATTTGATGCTAAAATTACATAATATTGCCGTTTAAAATTATTAAAAATATTAAAATATCGTTCCTTTGGACTATTAGGATAGGATTTATGATGAATGAACCGTTAAGCTCCATTTACTGGATCGATTTAGGTACGAACAAAAACACGAAATTGAGCCCGAAAATTCGGAATTTCATTTCATGGTAGGCCCCCAGTACTACAATCAATGGCGCTTCTTCAAAGGTAGTGTTCGTAAGCTCGTAGCGTTGACCTTATACCAGATAAGTCCGCGTGTCACAGTAGAATTTTAGCATGAATATTGCATTGTTGTTTTTTGGAATTTCATAGTATTTCATTATAAAATATTATTCTTTCTATTATTACATAATTACATAGATGACATAATTTTAAATAAAAAAAAAGCACTGAAAGAATTTCCACTGGTTTTGAATTCAGAATAACGGTCTAAATTCATTGTTTAAGTTTTTGCCAATCTATTGTTTACAGCCTGTATTATTTTTTAAAGAAATTGCATCTGGCGACCCAGATTATTATAAAAAAAAAAAAAAACTTAATATTCGACATTTTTTTTACAACACAGGAGCAAACGAGCATGCGGCTCAGCTGATGGTAAGTGACTACCGGCGCCCATGATCACCCACAACACCAGCGGCATTGCAGGTGTGCTGCTGGCCGTTTAAAAAGGAATATGCTCTTTTCTTGAGGGTTATGATATAGTATCGACATGGTGCTTACCTAAAACTTCTGAATAAGGCGACGAAGTCCATAAAATCTAATTGCGTATCGTAACCGACGGAGCCAGTCCTCAAGTGTTTCAGGTTCTCCCAAAATCTTTCGCTGGTCTCCAGTCTTCTTAAACTGGAAATGCAAAGCCATTTGTATTTTTTTATTTTTATACCACTGAGGTGGCAAACAAGCATACGGCCCACCTGATGGTAAGTGGTTACCGTAGCCTATGAACGACTGCAATACCAGAGGTATTACGCGTGCGTTGCCGACCCTGAAGAAACCTCTTTATCCCCCTTTTGAAGAATATAGTTTTGTATGGTAGAGCAACACCTTTACAACGATACAATAATCGAGCATTACACGGTAGATTCATCATCATCGCCATTGTAGTGATCACTATCACACAAAATGGGGATTTAACCATTGCTTGGGTACCTCTGTCCCATTCGTGTTTCAACTGTGAAGCAGTTGTGTTTGCATGGCTGTGTTTCGGTTTAAAGGGTGGGGATATGGCGTGAATTTACTGGGTACAGAGGAATAACACCTGAGTCCTCAGGAATGGCAACGCATGGGGGGTATCATGGGCGAAACAGTATACTCTGTTATGTCCATGATACTGCTTATGTCTATAGGCGACGGTTACCACTTTCCATCAGGTGGGCCGTCAGCTTGTTTGTCATTCTAAGTTGTATAAAAATAAAAAAAATCATTTATATATATATATATATATATATATATATATATATATATATATATATATGACGTATAGATATCGCTCAAACTGTTTATATAAAACTCCTCTCGGATAGCTGTCTCACCTACTCCTGTTCGGCGAGCCGGCCATGATGCTGGTAGCCGCCGCTGTCAGGCTGCTGTGCCGTGGGGCGCACGGGTGGTGTTGACTCATAGCAGCTGAGTACGAGCTGGGAAAGAAAGAGTTTTTTAAGCATAACTGAATAATTATAAAACTTTTCCGTAATTATAAAATCGTTTCGCGCATTAAATGTGTTACGATTTGCGCTATCCTGAATACCTCTCGCCGGGGGGAAGGGATTGTTAGTAACGGGGTCTAATGAACATATTGCTAGTAGTAATTTTTTTGTCGTAGTTGTTGTGTAGTTTGCCGAGCGTGGCACAACTGCTGGCGAAATTCCCCTTATGGGGAAGGCTTATGTTCAGCAGTGGACAGTGAACGGCTGAAATGGTGATGAATGATGGCCCGGTTTTTTTTTAATGGATGATAAGGGAATGGTTTCCAGGGGAACCGCGTGGAGGTCGACCTGATAGGGTATCAGGTCGACCTCCACGCGGTTACCCCCGGAAACCATCCTGAACAATTCTTGTTGAATTCGTTTAGATGGGCTAACTGACCTACTTCATTCTCACCTATCATCACTCACTGGTGCCTCCCCAGTGTATACCGATAGCGCAGGTGGGGTTACCATTCCATTATCACCAATAAAAAAAAATACCTCTCGCCACTTATAAATATTATGTTTATATTTTTATTTGGAGCGATACCTTCTCGGCCGTTTGTATTTCATAGAGCTTAGTGTATATTTATTGTATGCTCGTTCGAATTTAGTGCGTGTGCTAGTGCGCCAGTTGATTTCACTTCACAGAAAAACCCTCGCATTAAGTGGTTAAAATCACATAAATTATAATATTGTCAAAACTGCTGTTTTATTTGGATAGTTATTAAAAGTGAGTTCGAGTCACTTGCGTCTTCATCATCATCATCATCATCATCTCAGTCATTATCTGCCCGCTGCTGAACATAGGTCTCCCCCATAGACTGCCATACAAAACGGTTTTGTGCTACGTCCATCCTGCATTTTGGTGAGTGAGTATTTAAAATGAATGTGGCTTAACTGTGTTTTAGTGTGTGAGTATTTAAAATGAGCGTAACTCATTTGCGTCTCGTGAAGTGAGAATTAAAAAAAAGTGTGACTCATCGGCGTCTCGGTGAGTGAGTATTTAAAATGAGCGTGCTTACGTACATCTCGCTGAGTGAGTATTTAAAATCTAACTAACTCATCTGCGTCTCGCAGAATGAGTATTTAAAATGAGTGTGACTCATCTACGTTTCGCTGAGTGAGTATTTAAAATTAATGTAACTTTAACGTGTTTTGGTGAGTGTTTAAAATGAGCGGTAACATTTAAAATGTGTGGTAAATTCTTAAAAAAAATATATGATTATTCAGAAATGCTTATAATTAAGTTTACTTGAATAAAAAATATTTTCATTTTGATTATTTGTATATAGAATGTAAATCACCTGTGTCTCGGTGAGTGAGTTAGCACCACTTCATCCTCACTCCGAGTGCCTGACGTGTGCGTGGAGCCGTAACTCTTCGGCGAGCTTGTCTTCAGTTCTGATGTGGATTTGTTTTTCTGAAACAAATAAATAAAATATTATAGTTAAGGTAGTGAAATAACAATGTACCGAGGTATAACTCCCTAGTCCTAAGGAATGGCAGCGCATGAGTGACACAGTGTATTCAGTAATGCCCACGGTGTTTTCTGGTAGTGGGCCATCAAGTTTAAATCACATAAATAAACGAATAGAAATACAATCATTTGGCGTAAAGTCATTAGTAATTTATTCAAAAAACAATGTAAGTCAGATTCTTGTGTTACAGCTGCTTATGACTAAGGATCACATATTGATACCGAAACTAGTCGAGCTTTTTCTATTTAATTACATGTAATACAGAGGTACAGAAGAATAACAACCGAGTCCTCAGGAATAGCAACGCGTGGGGGGTATCATGGGCGAAACAGTATACTCTGTTATGTCCATGGTCCTGCTCATGTCTATAGGCAACGGTTACCACTTTCCATCAGGTGGGCCGTCAGCTTGTTTGCCATTCTAAGTTGTATAAAAAAAATTTAAGTTAACCGGTAGTTAATATATTAAAATGTATACTATGTCTGAAATTATGTATGATTTTATAATTAAAAGTATTAAATTAAATTGAATATTAGAAATATTATAATAATAATAATAAATATATTAAAAATTCAAAAAGATAATTAAAGTAACTAACAGTCCAAATCGGTCAACGGTTTTTGTAAATAAAACCTAAAAATAAACCCTAATATCTGACTTTCATTCAAGTGAAATAGGTCAAGGTCACTGCACTAGCTCTGACCTAAATAAAGCTAATTAGGTGGAAATTTCAAGGTCAAGGTCATCGAGTTATTGATTTAATATTAATTAATAAAGAGCTTACTAAGTTTTAAATTTTCATTAAATAAAATTAAATTTGATATTTTCAAGACATTTATGCGTTACGCATAAGACAACTATGGAATCTATGAATCTGTCTCCGCCTACCCTCTAAACGAAAAAAATATTATATTATTATTACATTATTGCATTAAAATATACATATGCAACGTATGGAGGTATCGTGGGCGAAACAGTATACTCTGTTATGTCCATGGTACTGCTCATGTGTATAGCGACGGTTACCACTTTCCATCAGCTGGGCCGTCAGCTTGTTTGCCATTCTAAGTTGTATAAAAAAAAACTATGGTCTTATAACTATTATGGAATCAAAACATAGTTCTACACAGTTTACATATACATTACATTACATTACATTACATTACATTACATATATATATATATATATATATATATATATATATATATATATATATATATATATAAATTATAAATATACAATAATACAAAAATACTTTTTTTTTACAACACAGGGGACAAACGAGCATGCAGCTCACCTGATGGTAAGTGACTATCGCCGCCAATGATCACCCGCAACACCAACGATATTGCACGTGTGCTGGCGGCCTTTTAAAAAGGAATATGCTCTTTGCTATGGTGCATCATACCTTAAATTTAATCCCTGTACTTCTAATGGAATCCGAGTGCGAGTCTGTGTAGGCCCCCTTGACGGGTGTGGAGTGCGACGAGCTGCCACATGTGCTCTCCCGTCCGCCGAATACCTGAAAAATAAAAATAAATAAGCTTGTTTAAAAATATTTTTGAAAATTCATCTTATAAGTTAGTTATAGAAGTCGCTGGCGGAAGACCCAAAAAGAAAAACCAATTTTATAAATATAACTAAATTTAATTCTAAAATTAATTATTACAATAATAAGTGTGTTCAGATCGATGTGTGATCCGTAAGTGAAGTCATATCGAATCAAACATAAAGGAAATGGGTATTTTTGCTGCGGGAATTGAAATGCTGACTGGACGCAGGTGTCTTTCTCGGTAGCGCACCTTCTTGCGTCGTGCTAGGTAGTCCGATCCGATCGCCGTTGAGGGTGTGTCGTAATACTTGATAGGTATCTACTGTGACAAGATTCTAAACAAACTTACATATATATTTCAAAGTAAACAAAAGCTTTAGCCGTGTGGTCCCGGCATAGAATAGGCCACCCCTTCCTTTCCCGTGGGTGTCGTAAGAGGCGACAAAGGGAAGGCGCGGGATGGGCAGCGGCGTTTCTCTTAAAACATCTGTAAAGCCTAACTGCGGTTGCCAATCCGCATGCTAAGCATGGCAACTACTGGCAAAACCCCTCAAGGGGAGGTTTATGTCCAGCAGTGGACATTATTTCCTCGTTTTGTATAATTCACGCTGTTAAGTAAATTTTTTATAGTTACTTACATTCTGTAAGAAAAACAAAAATATGTACTAAAATTGATAAAGTCTTGCAAGATAACGGCTTGCACGACGTTAAGCCTGTCTTCCGCCGCAGACACCCCATCGTAGATAAATGTGGCCACATTATAAAAGAAGAAAACGTGCTACGCAAAGTTGCCGATCTTCCGCCGACGATAGTAGTTCGACTACAGTTACAGCTACGATGACGGTAGTTCAACGATGTTTCTCGGTACCACGTGGATGTAATGGCCGATCTTCGGCGCAGTGTGACCGAGATTAGCGAATCTTATTCAATTTGTTATATTGACATTCCGTCGCGGATGATCGGCGACTAAAAATCGGCCTGATATGGCGCTAGTCTAATTGATTTTGGTAATACTCACCCTAATAGCATCAGAGACGAGTGGCTCGCAACAGCACCCGTCTTCGTAGTACAGTGCTGTGTACTTATTCTTCAGCCATGCTAAACTCCTATCAGCCAGCTTGGCTTGGCTCATCAGCGCTCGAATGACGGAGTGCAGTCCCACCGCCCACACCCTGGAACAAAGCTGAAGTGTTGCAAATGCTTTTGCCATCGTACAATTAGAGGAGTAAAAAAAGAATTCAGTTTAAACGAATATTTGAAACAACGTTTGAACAAATGTTAGCTTATTGGTGCCAAATTGTTACTCAGTTCCTCGTAAAATTATTTCATATAAATGACTGCAAGCTCCCCCTTGCTCCTTTTCCCAATAAATCCTTCTCTGAACCTCCACCTTCGTCTTTTAATACGACCATGGCTGTGGTATTTGGGCGACGGTAGCCACTTATCATCAGATGAGGCGCTAGGTCGTTTGTCCCTTGTGTTCTAAAAAAATCTTTTAGACTTTCTTTAGCCATGTAGGTCCCGGCATAGAATTGACCACCCCTTCTCCTTTCCCATAGATGTCGTAAGAGGCGACTAAGAAAGCTTATGGTGGAGGGATGGGCAGCAGCGTCCCTTTTAAAATATCACCAAAAGCCAAACTCCAAACCACCTGCCAAGCGTGGCAACTAGTGGCAAGTGGTGTGTCTAGTGTAAGTGGCTTGGAGTGTCTAACGTACTTTTTTTATGTTCTGAGGAATATAAAAAATCATCCAAATTGAGACCGTCCTTCTTTTTGAAGTTGATTAAAAATAAAAACGGTAGATGGCAGAGAGACAAAGAGAAAGAGAAAGAGAGAGAGATAAAGAGTTTGCTAAGTCAGCTAGTGAATATTTCTCACCTATAAGAGTAAGATGGTAGCACCAAATGCACAGTCCGGTTGTCGCTAAGCGTCCGGCCGTACACCAGGGAAATGATATGTGGTCCATGCGAACAGCTCTCGAGGCCGTGCCGTTTCGCGCAGGCGGTCAGCTCGGAGTAGTCTCTCGGTTCCAACAGCTTGCCACCGAGGCGCATGTCCTTCACGCACTGGAGGTCGATGAAGCTGTGATATAAAAATGATTAATTGTAATTCATCTTTATAAGCGAACACTAGCAGAACTTATACAGGTTTCCAAATTCCACCAAGTGTGAAAAATCATCAGCATTGACTTTTGTACTGAACTTGTTCCTAACAGTTTCATCATCACATTAGCCGTTAATTGTCCGTTTTGTTTGAGTTATTGGAATGGAGATAACTACCATGACTGATGACTGACTCTCACCCTTCTTCACCAACAATCCCCGCTTCGTTATCATGAACATTCGCCGTGTACTTCAGGGGTATAACTTCTTCAGGATTGTAGGAGAGGCTGACTTCTGGCTGTTGCATGTTTTCCGATGGAGTATCCCCTGTAAAATACTTGAAATTTAACATGGAAAGAAAAGACCAATGTATATACTAGTACATATGTTCATCACGCTTGTCTCCCATTGGGAAAGGCAAATATAATGGAACGCCAAATGCTTCGATTCAAACAGACTTTTCGCTTTCTCCATATTCAACAATCTATTCATACAAGCTAATGTATATTTGACTTGATAGGAAACCGACGCCGCAGCCCGTGGACGCTTGTAGCAGTACCAACATCATTCTCGTAGCGTTGTCCTTCGGGATGTGAAGATTTCGAGTAACAGTAATATCACTGTGTCTTACCCTCCCAACCAGAACATAGCGTACGAAGAAGCTGCTTGGCGGCAGAAACGGGTAAGACCCACGCAGACTTTGTTCAAAGTTCCTTTATGGACGGACTATAAAATTTAGCTGTGTGGTTCTGACATAAAAAGGATCAGCCCTTCGTTTCCCGTGGGTGTAGTAAGAGGCGACTAAGGAAACTTAATAGTCGAGGGATTGGCAGTAGCGTTCCTTTTAAAACATCACAAAAAGCCAAACTGCGGTTACCAAACCGCTTGCCAAGTGTAGCAACTACTGGCAAAATCCCCCAATAGGGGCATGTTTTGCAGTAGACAGTTAACGTTTGAAATGGTGATGATAAGATTTGGGTACATATGGATGGAAGTTAACACTTGGTACTCTCTGCTTTCTCATATGAGTTCTAATACATTACGTCACATCCGAGTTCCATGGGAGCAGAAACAATGGAACGCCAATTGCTTCGATCCGAATAGATTCCTTTCCCTTCTTCCACATCCTTCAATCTATTCTAAGCACAAAGGTTACGAGTACTTTGAACTTGACTCTTCTTCGCACATCACCTATTTGGTTAACAGACGTTCATAGAGGCAGATACCTACTGATATTATTACTAAACTGGAGATGATGATACAGTTTACTGCTGGGCAGAGCCCTTTATCTTCGATTCTTCACTTCCAGTTTTTTTATACAACTATGAATGGTAAACAAGCTGATGGCCCACCTAATGGAAAGTGGTAACCGTCGTCTATAGACATGAGCAGTACCATGGACGTAAGAGAGCATATTGTTTTGCTCATGATACCATGCGTTGCCATTCCTGAGGACTCGGATGTTATTCCTCTGTACCCTGTAAATTTACGCTATATCCCACTCTTCAAACCGAAACACAGCAATGCAAACACAACTGCTTCTCGGTAGAAACACGAAAGGAACAGAGGTACCCAAACAAATGACTTTTGTACAAAGTCTCCCTCTGGTTTACCAACTACCCTACCCTAGCCGCAGGATGTTCTATATAAGTTTGGCGATATACTATTAATTATATCTTTTGGAATACAGACCATGTTGTGTATGGGGTCTGTGGGCAGTTCTACACCAAGTGAGCAGCGCACAGGCTCGTTCCAACCGCAGCTGCGCAAGAGTGCCTCCCCATTCTGCCTCCCCTACTATACATGCGGTTCCATGATGCATTATCTGTAAATGATAAATATTTTACAAATAAATTAATTGCGATGTAAAAAATGTACCTTAAATCGTGTATGTAAACAGTGATGAAAGATGAGATGTATTGTAAATTGCATTAAATTGAAAATATTAGAGTTTAAAACCTAGAATCGTAAACTCTTACTACACTATGTTAGAAGTAAATTTTGGTACGCAACAGGCATTGGCATATTTAGGATTATCTTCTAGAGGGGAGCTTGGCCCCTTACAAAAGGTACATTTGTACCCTCAGACACATTTTTGTAATGTTTCGTTTTGCGGTGGGCACAAGTATATTCTGGAGTAAATACACACATGGCAACAAGAAGTAAAAAGCACATCTATGGCAACAAGAAGTTACCATGCTTGGCAGGCGGGTTGGCAACTGCAGTTAGACTTTTAGTGATATTTTAAGAGGGATGCTGCTATCTATTCCTCTATCATTAAGTTCCCTCGCTTCTTATGCCTTCTGGTATAACTTACTTGTAAAACATGCCTATCGATTCTGTCGCCATTTTGTGGTGCTAATGGGAACATGGTGACACCGTGGTCATGGGGGAGCGGCTGTACAGGGCAATACCCGCCCCCCTCCAGCTCGTATAAGGCCTCATTCTCAAAGTCACAGCCGGACGTCTTCTGCGAGGATTGGGTGAACACTGGCTCTTCGCACGCAGCCATTGCTGCTCTGTGAACAGTATTTGTGGTTCAATTGGGAAATACCATGTTTTGAGAAGTCGATATTATGGGTAATTGTTGTAATTTATGCTTTAATTGTTGTAATTTAAGTTTAAAGGTAATTGTAACTATATATTTACCAGAGGGTGACTTTGTACAAAAAGTCGATTGCTTGGGTACCTCTGTTCCATTCGTGTTTCAACCGTGAAGCAGCTGTGTTTGCATGGCTGCGTTTCGGTTTGAAAGGTGGGATATGGCGTGAATTTACTGGGCACAGAGGAATAACACCCGAGTCCTCAGGAATGGCAACGCATGGACCTCCCATGCATTGCCATTGGTATCATGGGTGAAACAGTATACTCTGTTATGTCCATGGTACTGCTCATGTCTATAGGCGACGGTTACCACATTCCATCAGGTGGGCCGTCAGCTTGTTTGCCATTCTAAGTTGTATAAAAAACAAAATTGGTCCAATAACAAATATGTTAAGTTTGTTATCCAGAAAATAATATTGGATAACAGACTTTTAACAAATTCGAAAATAGACATCCAACCAATATGGGTGATGTCGAAATGGGCGATGATTTTTTATCCGCCATCAATGTACAGGGAAACCCAATATATAAATAATAGGGTAAATAAAGGATAGGTATCTATATTAACCATGCTTGCTAGCCAGATCAGGAATCGAACCCAGGATCTCATTTACGCAAAATGCCCACCACTGCGCTCCGGTAGTCGACTTTGAGCATTCCTGACAAGAACATATCATCACCTTAAAAAGTCCCCAAAAATGGGAAGGTTGTTCCTCGCCAGCGCGTAATGGTGCTGATGGAAGCTAGCTATGTGGTCCATCACGGCCTGCGTCCGGTACACCTTCTCCAAGTTGACCAGACCCTCGGGACCTACGCGCCTCCAGCCGGGAGCCGTTTCGCCTTCCTCGTCGAACGATGCTATATACTGGAACAAAATTGATCAATGACTAATTGATGCTATTGGAAACTAGCAGCGACATGTCTACAAAGAATAAAACAGAATGCATTGAGTGGTTTCTTGGGTATCGTAAGAGGCGACTAAGGGAGGGCGAGGGATGGGCAGCAGCGTCCCTCTTAAAACATCTCTAAAGCCTGACTGCGGTTGCCAATCCGCCAGCCAAGCGTGGTAACTACTGGCAAAACCTTCCAAAAGGAAGGCTTATGTTCAGCAGTGGACAGTTAAAGGCTGATATGACGACGATGATGAAGTGGTTCCTTACATAGGTACATATATGAGGAAAAGTTCTTGAGTGGCGACCCCGTACGGGCAAATGCAGTGTAGAGCGATTTTATTTTAATGTAATAACTCTCAGTTTAATTTACATGTAATTAGGTTGAAAAAACTCGACTAGTTTCGAGACCATTCGGGATTTTTAATCTTGAGCGGCTGTGATGCGAGTGCGTGTTAAGGTCTTCTGTTTCTCTTGATGGAGAGGGTTAACTTTTTAACAGGGCCGAATGGAATGGTAACCCCGCCTGGCTATCAATACACGCTGGCAGGGCACCAGTGTGGGATGATAGATGAGAATGAAAAAGCAGAGGGAGACTATGTACAAAAGTCGATTGCTTGGGTACTTCTGTCCCATTCGTGTTTCAACCGTGAAGCAGCTGTGTTTGCACAGCTGTGTTTCGGTTTGAAGAGTGGGATATGACGTGAATTTACTGGGTACAGAGGAATAACACCTGAGTCCCCAGGAATGGCAACGCATGGAGGGTATCATGGGCGAAACAGTATAATCTGTTATGTCCATGGTACTGCTCATGTCTATAGGCGACGGTTACCACTTTCCATCAGGTGGGCCGTCAGCTTGTTTGCCATTCTAAGTTGTATAAAAAAAAAGGTAGGGACATCAAGGCACCTCCTTTCTTCTGAAACCATTACAATGATCATTCTATTCTACGACACCAGGTGGCGCCACTAGTTAAAAATAAGCATATATTTTTAAAAATATTTTTTGTTGCTAGCAATTTGCGGCATCGATATCCAAAGAAAGCCAATATATAGATATAGAAGCGGTAACGGAACACATGACTACTTCAAAGAACTATTTTATATCTTCGTACACTGTTGTAGACTTGAATGAATGAATGATTGACTGGTTAGCTGATTGATTGTTGGACTGATCGAATGGTCGAATAGTCGAATGATTTAATGATGTAACGATTTAATGATTTAGTGATTTAATGATTTAATGACTTAATGACTTAATGACTTAATGACTTAATGACTTAATGACTTAAAGATTTAATGACTTAATGACTTAACGATTTAACGATTTAATGATTTAATGATTTAATGATTTAATGATTTAATGGTTTAATGATTTGATGATTTAATAATTGAATGGATGAATGATAACTATTCGTTTAAATACAGGTCATTACGTTAACAACTTATTGATATCAACTACTTACCACTTGTCGACTAGGCTCGTTGACCCTGGAGTCACGTTTGCTGTCCCGGAGTGGACTAGTCGTGGTGCCCTGGTCGACTCGCTTTCCACTCTCCCGTCTGGCGTCCTTCTTTAGAGACCCTCTGGGAAGTAATTTAGTTCAAACATTCACTATCTTGATATTAGAAAATTTTTAATTTATATGTATATTATATGGCATTTTACTTCATTTCCCATGGATGTCGTAAGAGGTGAATAAAGTAATTTTATGGTTGAGGGATTAATAGTAATGTGGACTACCAGTCCCATTGTTAACAATCATGCTGAATTCCAGGTGTATTCATCACGATGGGCTAACAGACCTGTCTTTTCATCCTCACCTCTCATCTCTCACTGGTGCTCTACATACACTGGCCGTGCACCAGTGATGAATGATAGGTGAGGATGAAAAGGCAGGTCAGTTAGGCCACCGTGATGTATACACCTGGAATTCAGCATGATGGTCTCCAGGGGGGACCTTGTGGGTCTTGTTTTAATGGATGATAATGGAATGGTAACACCGCCTGCATTATCGGTATACACTGGCGGGGCACCAGTGTGGGATGATAGATGAGGATGAAGCGGGTCAGTTAGCCCGTGATGAATCTTACAATAAATCTATCACGATGCTTTTCAGGGGGAACCACGAGGAGGTCGAGCTGATATAGTATATTGCTAGCAATGGGAATCCTTCTCATTACTAACAATCCCTTCTCCCCCCGACCACGTGGGTCGACCTCCACGTGATCCCCCCTGGAAACCATCGTGCTGAATTTAGCGTGTGTTGTGCTTACAGTTTATATTGCTAGCAATGGGGCTGGTAGATAGCAATACTAACAATCCCTCCCCCCCCCCCAGCGTATACCGACGCAAATGGGGGTTACCATTCCATTATAATCCTAAAGCTTTCTAAGGGCGCAATAATTTCTAAAGTTAGTAAAGCATTCTTTGAGTGTATTCAACAAATATTACGAAGGAAACAAAATTATACACAAAAGATCAAATATTTGGTCTTTGTAATATTACTCGTAGTTGAAAAAAGGTGAAACTTCTTACAAATTTCGTAGAAAACTTTTTTAAAGTAACTTATCAAAGAAATAAACTTTCGATTCATTAATTTTTTTTTACAACAGAATTAAAAAAAGAAGAAGGTTCACGTTAGGTTTGTACAAAAGTCGTTTCGCTTGGCCATCTCTGTCCCATTCGTGTTTCTACCGTGAAGCAGTTGTGTTTGCATGGCTGTGTTTCGGTTTGAAGGGTGGGATATGGCAGTGAATTTACAGGGTACAGAGGAATAACACCTGAGTCCTCAGGAATGGCAACGCATGGGGGGTATCATGGGCGAAAATGTATACTCAATTATGTCCATGGTACTGCTCATGTCTATAGGCGACGGTTACCACTTTCCATCAGGTGGGCCGTCAGCTTGTTTGCCATTCTAAGTTGCATATCTCTACCGTAAATTCCTTGATATGACATTAGCTATTGGCTGTCTATTCCTGAATATAGGACTCCCCCATAAAGAGTGTTTTGCCATTAGTTGCCACGCTTGGCAGGCGGATTGACAACCGCAGTTAGGCTTTGGTGATGTTTTAAGAGGGACGCTGCTGCCCATCTCTCGACGACTAAGTTCCTTTAGTTGCCTTTTACGAAACCACGGGAAAGAAAGTGGTAGACCATTCTATACTGGGACCACACGGCCGTCAATTCCTTATTACAGTTACTCATTAATATTTCTCATACATTTGTAAGTACATAAATCCGCCATGCGTGTCCCGGTATAGCCATGCGTGTCCTGGGCCACCCCTTCCCTTCTCGTGGGTGTCGTAAGAGGCCAAAGTACGACAATGGATAGGCAGCAGCGTCACTATTAAGACATCTCTAAAAGCCTAACTGCGGTTGCCAACCCGTCTGCCAGGGGTAGGGATTGTTAGCAATGGAGTTTGACAGCCTCATTGCTAGCAATATGCCCTATCATGTCAACCTCCACGTGATTCCCCCTGGAAATCATCGTGAACAATTCTTGTTGAATTCGTCTCGATGGGCTAACTGACCTGTTTCATCCTCACCTATCATCCTTTACTGGTGCCCTTCCGGTGTATACCGATACCGCGGGTGAGGTTACTATTTCATTATTACCTATAAAAAAAACCCGTCTGCCAAGCGTGACAACCACTGGCAAAACTCCTTTTGTGGGGAAGGCTCATGTCCAGCAGTGGACAGTTAACGGCTGAAATAATTTGTAAGTAGGTATTAGTAAATCATATTCCACGTGGGTCTACTAAAAATATTTAATTACCTATCCTCTTTAGTGGATTCCCTCTTGAAGTCACGCCGGTGCGTGGGCGTCGCCGCCACTGAGTGGCTGGTGAGCGCCGGAGACGCGGCCAGGATTTCCCTTTGAACAAATTAATATTTATTTATTATTTATATTAATATTTATTTATTATACGATAGATAGATAGATAGATAATCTTTATTACCAGTAATAACACTTCTGCTGCCCGCTAACAACATGCTTTCTCACTGTATCGGGTTGACTGGAAGAGATTTCTGTCAGAGATAAGTCCACCCTTGCTCACAACGTTTATAAATACATTATTTTATATGTAACTTACAAGTGCAATAAAGAATATATATATATATATATATATATATATATATATATATATATATATATATATATATATATATATATATATATATATATATATATATATATATATATATATTTTATACAACTTAGAATGGCAAAGAAGCTGATGGCCCACCTGATGGAAAGTGGTAACCGTCGTCTATAGACATGAGCAGTACCATGGACATAACAGAGTGTACTGTTTCGCCCATGATACCTCCCATGCGTTGTCATTCCTGAGGACTCAAGTGTTATTTCTCTGTACCCTGTAAATTCACTGCCATATCCCACCCTTCATACCGAAACACAACTGCTTGGGGAAAAGGGATTGTTAGCAATGGGATATATTAGTTCCATTGCTAGCAATGTACCCTATCAGGTCGACCTTCACGCGGTTCCCTCTGGAAACCATCGTAGTTAATTCTCACAGAATTCTTCACGATGGGCTAATTGACCTGCTTTCACACTCACCTATCATCTCTCACTGGTGCCCCGCCGGTGTATACCGATAGCGCCGGCGGCGCCATTTCATTTTGACCAATTAAAAAAAAAACACATCTGCTTCACGGTAGAAACACGAATGAGACAGAGGTGCCCAAGCAAATACCTTTTAAAGAAATTGCTTTTCAATTAAGGTTTTTTTTAAATTTATTTAAAAATCGACTGAATCGTAACTTTATTAAAGTCTTATTCTTCTGTCCCCTCTATATATATATATTCTTTATTGCACTTGTAAATTACAATGTTAATGCATTTATAAATATTGTGAGCAAGGGTGGACTTATCTCTGACAGAGATCTCTTCCAGTCAACCCAATGCAGTTAGAAAACATGTTGCTAGCGGGCAGCTGAAGTGTACCTATTAGAAATATCATTATTGTCTTAGTACTAGCAATCACTATGAACTAACTCCACGCGGCCCCTCCTGGTGAATTAATCATGACGTGTCATCTTGACTGCATCCCCATTTATCATCCCTCGCTGGTGCCTTGCTATTGCATGCTTATATCGCAGGCGGGGTTACCATTCTACCTTATTTTCATTCGAGTTAAAAATAGAAAAAAAAAAATACCTTTTTTAAATATTTAACTGAACTAGATGTTATTTGTTTTGCAAAATACGGCAACTTTTTTTATTGTTGACAATTTAAATATATAAACAAATAAAACATTGTCTAAAATTAGTCGGTTCAGATTCAGGTTTAGGTTCAGATTCTTTATTTGCATTAAACATGGTCACATTAGAGATTCAGTTGTGTAAACTTCGAGTTACATGTTTCACCAAAATACTGGTATGCAGAATTTACTAAAATACTAAATAAATAGTATAAAATTTAATAATTAATATTAGAGTAAATTAAATAAATGTCTGTTATTAATATTACTGGTATTATTTAAGCAGATAAAATAAAATAACAAATTAGCATTCATAATAAAAAGAAATAAATAAAAATATTGCAATCGATAAATTGTTACCCTAGATATTTTTTTTTATACAACTTAGAATGGCAAACAAGCTGACGGCCCACCTGATGGAAAGTGGTAACCGTCGCCTATAGACATGAGCAGTACCATGGACATAACAGAGTATACCGTTTCGCCCATGATACCCCCCCATGCATTGCCATTAATGAGGACTCAGGTGTTATTCCTCTGTACCCAGTAAATACACGCCATATCCCACCCTTCAAATCGAAACACAGCCATGCAAACACAACTGCTTCACGGTTGAAACATGAATGGGACAGAGGTACCTAAGCAATCGACTTTTGTACAAAGTCTCCCTTTCATATACATATATTAATTATATATATTTTATATATGTAAAAAATAGGACCACACGTCCCACTAAAGCTAATATAATACTAATTTATCTTTCTATGTAGCCACCCGTGCGAAGCAGGGTGGGATTATTAGTAATATTATAACAATCTCAGTAGAAGCTGTTCCAACGCGTGAAGTATGAATTAACGCATAGTCAGCAAACTTTATTACGTATTCGGGGACACGGTGGCCCGTGGGGTCTCTCCGTAGCTCACAGTGACCCTTAATGACAGTTGTTGTAATGTACATACATGTCACAGACAAGAATATATATCCCGGTAGAAACGACATCCCCGGCCGGTAGGGGTGACCCTGAATGGGCGACGTAGATGTCGTGTGGGGAGGAGGGGGGGGGGTATGTTTTTTTTATACAACTTAGAATGCCAAACAAGCTGACGGCCCACCTGATGGAAAGTGGTAACCGTCGCCTATAGACGTGAGCAGTACCATGGACATAACAGAGTATACTGTTTCGCCCATGATACCCCCAATGCGTTGCCATTCCTTAGGATTATATTTATTTCTCTGTAACCAGTAAATTCACACCATATCCCACCCTTCAAACCGAAACACAGACATGCAAACACAATTGCTTCACGGTTAAAACACGAATGGGACAGAGGTACCCAAGCAATCGACTTTTGTACAAAGTCTCCCTCTTGTAAAGCTTTCCTATCGTTTCTCGTGAGTGTCGTTAGAGGCGAATAAAGGCACTTAACAATCTAGGGATGGGCTACAGTATCCCTTTTAAAACATCGCCAAAGGCTAACTGCGGTTGCTAACCCGCAGGCTAAGCATGGCAACTACTGGCAAGAACCCCTTATGGGAGAGGTCTGGGTTTAACAGTGGACAGTTAATCTTGATCATGTTACAGTAGAGAAGTAATATGATATTAATGCATTTATTTATATGGGGGAGGCTCCCCATAGACTATAAGGAACGAACCTGAACTACCTACATACATTAACATTGTCCCTGCAATGCATTTGAGGTTCGTCACTCCTTCTAGTGGAGGGAATAGAGAGAATATTAACTACTATACGAGGTCTGTCCGGAAAGTTCGTATAAAAGTGTTCTGGAATGCGAGAAAGAGGAGTGGGGAGGCCAGGTAAGCGCAGGACCCCTTCCTTATGTCCCTAACAATGCTTCAGTTCTGGTCTGACCGCCGTGCGGTGCGAACTGGCTTGTCACGCCATCTGTGAAGTTACCTCTTAACGAAACCCCGTCGGCATGGAGCCCGCTTCCGTTGAAGAGCAGCGCGTCGTAATCAAGTTTCTCTCGAAACTCGGCAAGAATGGCCGTGAAATTTATGCCGATCTCAGAACAGTTTATGGGGATGATGCTGTGAAGGAACCAACCGTCCACAAGTGGCTAAAAAGATTCAGAGAGGGCCGAGAAAGCGTTCAAGATGACCCACGTTCAGGACGTCCTTCCACTTCACATTCCGACGAAAACGTGGAAAGAATTCGAACTTGTGTTAATGGGGACCGTCGTTTAACGGTCAGACAGGTGGCTGAAGAGCTTAATTTGGGCAAAACCGTGGTCCACGAAATTCTAAGAAACGAACTTCAAATGAAAAAAATTTGCGCCAAGATCGTTCCGTGAGTTTTTGAGTAAAAATTCCATTACGGTGACCGAACACCCCCCTATTCGCCGGATTTGGCCCCGTGTGACTTCTTCTTGTTCCCAAAAACCAAATTGGTACTTCGGGGGCGGCATTTGGGGGACATAAATGAGATAAAAAAAGCTACGACGGGGCAGCTGAGAAACCTACAACCAGAGGACTTTCAAGGAGCCTTCTCACAGTGGAAACGGCGTTGGCACAAGTGCATTATGTCACAGGGGGAGTACTTTGAAGGGGATAAAATTGATTTACCTGAATAATTGTAAAATAAAATTTTTAAAAAACTTTTATACGTACTTTCCGGACAAACCTCGTATTAATATACTAGCGGCCCGTCCCGGCGTCGCACGGGTGGACATTTTTACATTTAAAAAAGTGGCAATTAAGTCTGCACACGCAACGGAAGCTTAAAAATGGAGTAACTTCTCCCGTTTTCCCAACATTTCCCTTATAAATAAATAAATATATTTTCTGCAATTCCTGTCTACGGTCGACTGGTAGATAACACAATATGGTGTTAAGTCCGCCATTCTAGGTGTATTAACACTTCTTTGATTTTTTTTTATTGGTGAAATAAATCAAGGTGATATAATTCGTGTTTAAAATTAAAGGAAAAAATGGTTAAAACAATAAATTTGACAGCTATGGTTTTTTTTCTGCAATGGACATTAAAAAGGTGTCCAGACACGATCGACTTAAAATGAAATTGTTCTTTTATATAATTTTTGGGCATTCAATATTATGATGGAAATTTCCACCATTATGCAAAGAAGGGTTTAAGTTAAATAAATAAATATCATACATATAAAGGTCACTTCCACCAAGTTTCAATTCTTATTCCATAAACAAACTGTCGGACGGTAATTAAAAAATAACACGTTTCGAGTGGATGAGTGGGACGGGATGATTAATATTTACAAAGAGTTGATAATGATTCTCTTTAATATATATAACTAGCGACCCGCCCCGGCTTCGCACGGGTGCAATGCTGATACTACACAAATAGCGTCGCCGGCCCCCCATTACATTACGACATCACATTAGAAACCTCTAAAGAGATAGACATATACCATCGCGGACTTTTTTGTTGACCTTTTACAATACTGTAGTACATTATTTTGATTTATCTCGTGATGTTCTCGCCAGCGTTTGCAATGGAAGCGCGAAAAAATGTATTTATTTACGACATCACATTAGAAACCTCTAAATTTATCAATGTTTCTCTACAATATTATGCATGTATTATACATATAAACCTTCCTTTCGAATCACTCTATCTATTAAAAAAAACGGTTTCAAAATTCGTTGCGTAGTTTT